ATTCCCCATTCATGTGGTCCCTGAACACGTGCTCCCAGACTTGAGCTCTGTGTTGATGTGCTCCTCAGACATGAGCTCCCAGAAAATCCAAATCTTGGATACTTGTTTCAGCAACATGTTTCTGGGATATGCATACTCTGCACATTCCCTGGATGCTTCATGAACAAATGCTCCGTAGGCATATACCAGCACTACTACAACCTTGTATCACTCCTCTCTGTCTCCATATTCACTTTATATTTCTCGTCTTGAGTCTCTTCGCTTCTTCCTACTTCGAGCAGCATTACACATACACAGAGTAACGGTACCAGAAACATACCTTTAGTGAAAGTGTGTCTGAGTGTGCTCACAATATTTAGAAACCTGTTCAAAAATCAGAAGCTGTTTTACCAAAGTTTGTTTGTTGTTAGTGTGGTTCTGGGATTGGTTGTAAGTTTCAATTTGCTGTTGTATTTGTGAATTCATTTTGGAAAATAAAAGTACTTCAATTCCACAAAAATGACTACAACGTTAATGTTTTACTTGGATTTCTCAATTTACTTTAATGGAATGCAGTGGAAACAGAATATATTTGTTTTGGACCCAAGCAGGGTGGGATCGGGAAGGGTAGAGAGCAGGGAGGGATTGTGGGATGGAGTTCCAAAGGGTTGGGGCACAGAGGCTGAAGACCTTACTGGCGATGGTTGGGCAGGCTGGACCGGTTCGGGGATGTGGAGCAGACTGGAGCCTGGTGAGTGGAGGAAACGGATAGCTTGATACGGCATTAGCGGGTCACAAAGGTAGGAAGGAGCAAGGCCGGGGAGCATTTCGAAGGTGAAGAGGAGGATTTTGAACTCTATCCTGTGGGGGATGGGGAGAGAGTGGAGCCGGGCAAGAGTGAAGGTGATAGGGTCACAAGGCCTGGTGTGAGAGAGGACACGAGCTGCAGAGTTTTAGATGATCTGCAACTTGTGGAGGGAAGAGTTGGGAAGGCTGACAAACAGTGAGTTGGTGTAGTGGAGCTAGATGTAATAAATAATTGGATGAAGGTTTTGGTGGCCTGAGGGTAGAGGCATTGTTGGAGCCAGGCGATGTTGCTGAGGTGGAGGAAGGCAGAACGGGTCATGGCATGGATGTGAGTAGAAAAGACAATTGATGGTCAAACAAGAAGCTAAGGTTCCAGACTGGCTCAATGAGGTGGAGTGTGCATCCATGGATGATGAAGCTCACACTGCCTGAGGTGTGGAGGCGCTGATGGAAGCTGATCAGGAGGGCCATACAATTCAATTCTCCTGTTATCAGCCCTCATGAATTATCTGAAGCCACTAATGTTTACATTGATGGTTCCTCATTTCACTTTAATGGTTCTCCCCATATAGGATTTGCCATATGTCTCCCAGATACTACTGTATCGCAAAAAGTTACTACTCATTCATCCCAATATTCCGAATTAGTTGCATTATTTTTAGCCATTCAGTTAACTTTGCATTCACATGTTAATATTTGGTCCGATAGCAAGTATATGGTTAATACTGTTTTAATGTTACCACTTTATTTTCAGAATAAGTTCTGTACTACGGAAGGGTACCAATTTGTTTATTCCAACCTTATTCATCATTTATGGTGCCCTTTAAAACATAAACTCCACCTTGTTTTATTGGTAAAGTTAAAACACATTCAAAAGGTACTCCACATTCCACGTTTAATTCTTTTGCTGATCAAAAGGCCAAAGAGATGGCCATGCATTCCCTTTTATGGACTCCTCCAATTCCTATTCCCATAATGGTTGTCTCTCCACCTATTCCTATTTGCATTAGTTCATTTCAAAATTGGTCTCAATACAAGATTGTCTCTGAACGGTATATTAATCACTGTCCATTAGTCTGACCTTCATCTTGGGCACACATGACATTTTTATCATTCCATGAAGTTTCTCTGTTAATGTTCCAATGATCAGATCCATTATTTCCGGTATTTGTGTTAATCCAGAACTCGCCAATGAATTTTTTTCTCTTTTTCATTCCCACCTAGTTGGTGGTCATTATTTCATCCCTACCACAATTAATAAGATATTAAAACTTTGATGGCCTTCCCTTCACACAGATATTACTCAGTTATATCAATCATGATTACCTTGTTTGCAAACTAACCCCTCTTTGCATACTAATTGGGCTTATTTACAATCTGCCCTTCCTCCAGAAGGTCCTTGGACCAATATTCAGATTGACTTAATTGGACCCCTCCCTGCAAGTAGTCCAGGTTACATATATGTACTAGTTATCATTGATTGCTTCCAAAAAGGATGGAAGCTTCCCCTGCAGGAATTGTACTGCCATCACGGCCGCTTGTATTCTACTTTGCAACGTAACGTCAAGGTGGGGACTTCCTATCCGATGGACAGTGATCGACGATCTCATTTTACTGCAACATCTTCACAGAATTATGGAAAATAATGAGAATAACACAAAAATGGCATGTATCTCATCACCCACAATCTTCTGAAATAGTGGAAAGAAGTAATCGAACATTAAAAATAATGTTAAAAAAAATTTTGTTCAGAAAATCCTACAAAATGGTCAACCATGTTCCCAATGTGTCTAATGGCAATCAGATCAGTGCCACGCAACACAACTAAAATCTCTCCATACCAGGCTATGACGGGGAGATTGATGAAAACACTGGACATTTGTTGTGCCTGCCTCATTAACTACATTTATTCTTCATGGAACTGTGGGGAAAGTATGGTTAGCAAAAATGGTGGAGGCTATACAAGAAACAAATAAATTTTGGGCTAAAGAAATTGGAAAATCTAAAAATCAAATAAATATTTTGACAAAAAGGTGCAACCATACGAATATCAAATTGATGACTCAGTAATTGGATTATACAAACAAGAAGTACGTCTTTGTACCAAAGTGGAAAGGACAATTCTCGGTCGTGGACAAAGCTAGTGCTGTGATGTACTTGATTCATACCCAGGATAAACAGTAAAGAAAAACATTACAAGGTGGCATCATAAACCAACTCAAAAGTGTACCTCATGCTGGAAACATAACCGCTAAGTAATCAGATGTTATGCTTGATATTACAGGACAACAAGAAAGGATCATGGAGCTGCTAATATTCTTTCTGTTGGGTCTTTCAATGATGTCTGGATGGAGAAGGAATGGAGTTTTCTATCAAATGGACTATCATAGGACAACAACAACAAGATTACATTTGTATAGTGCTTTTCATGTCGGGAAGACGTCCCAAGGCGCTGGACAGTGCACAGCATTTCTGACCCGAGCTGGAGGAACCTGGAGGAACAGTAGCTGCCAACAATGATCGAGTGCTTGAAGTACAGAACTTTGTGTGTTTCCTTTCTTAGTCCCTTCTCCATCTCCCTCAGCAACCGCCTGGAGATATCCCGGAGCTTCTCTTTGGAAATATTGAAGCTGTTGAGGCAGTCCTGTGTCTAAAGGTGAAGTGTCCAGAGTCAGTAACAAATGTATGTTTTTTTTTGGTTTGGCCGGTTGATAACAACAACAACAAAATTACATTTGTATAGTGCCTTTCATGTCAGGAGGACGTCCCAAGGTGCTGGACGAACAGAGTTTCAGTCCCGAGTTGGGGGTCGGGATCAGGGAGAGTGGAGAACAGGGGTGGGGGGAAGCAGGGAGTTCGAAAGCAAGGTTGAAGAGGAGGGTCTTGAGATGGGTCTTGAAGGAGGCAAGTGAGGGGAAGAGGTGGAGGGACTGCGGGATGGATTTCCAGAAGGTGAGGGCAGAGTGGCAGAAGGCCCACCTGCCAATAGTGGGGCGAGTGAAGCGGCGGATGTGAAGCAGGCCGTAGCCCTGTGATTGGCGGGAGCAAGCAGGATGGTAGGGGAAAAAACACATGCAAAATACCACCACGGTGCTTAAAATTAGCCAAAGAAGACTGAGCACTTCGTGCATTCCACCCTGCACATGGAAATTCCTGTGTATTGGGAAAGAATGCATACTGTCTCCCTGAAGTGACACATCCTGTGTCACCTAATTCCGGAGATATTAGGTACAAACTGGCAAGAACTAATGGTTGGGAATCCCAGAGTGTGCTTTGGGTAATGCTGGACTTCAACCACATAAAACTAGGCATTGTTATCGCTGTGTGGCAAGCTTTTCCACTGCTTGTCCCACTAGTTCACCCTACCCATTATGGCTTTGGTTTTCAGGGTTAACAGGAGCTGAGTGTGAAGAATTCCTGCCACAAGTCTGCTTATGAGCCAGGCTGGATCAGCAATGCCCTGGTGTACTGCAGACCCACCTGGTTCAGAAACGAGATAAACAAAACTAGCCCAAAAAATTGATTCATTCCTGACATTTTGTTGCCAAGCATGTTATCTTAGAGCCAGTTCAGCTTCAAGAGTACCCTCCGAGGATTGTCACTACTTTGTGATTTGACATCTGACAAGCATAGCGTTGAGCCCACAATATGTTGATAGCAGGTAACAAGAACTATCCTGTTGAGCAGCACAGCTCAGAACATTTGTGAGAGCATTTTCCCCCATCTCCTGCCCACAGCTTCAAAACACTCTCTGCCCCCACCTTTTGGAACTCCATCCCACAGTCCCTTTGACTTTGTCTCCTTCAAGGCACATCTTGAGACCCTCTTCTTCGACTGCACCTTGGCCCTCCACCCCTCCTGATCCCAACTCCCTGCTTGGGTCCAAAATCCCTGATTATCCAACGCCTTGGGACGTCCTCCCGACGTGAAAGGGGCTATACAAACGTAATTTGTTTTTGTTGTTGAAGGCAGAGCCTGCTTCACAGTGAGCATGTTTACTTGCCAAGACATCTCGAATGAGGACATGGATTAAATGAGGAAACACCCAATAAGTTAATTCACTTTACATTAAATCATGTGAAGCACTTTGAGACATCCTAATAAATGCAATGATTATTTTTATAACTTTTTCGAATATATTGTGTCTCCACTGCATTTCATTGAGTAAATTGAGAAATCAAAGTAAAACATTAACATTGTAGCTATTTTGGGTGGTAATTGAACTACTTTTATTTTCCAATATTAATTCACAAACACAACAGCAAATTGAAACTTACAACCAATCCCAGAACCACAACTAACAGCAAACAAAAAGTTTCGTCAAACAACTTCTGATCTTTAAACAGGTTTCTAAATATTGTGAGCACACTCAGACACACTTTCACAATGGGTGTGTTTCTGGCACAGCTACTCTGTGTGTGTGTATGTGTGTGTGTTTTTGGAATGTTGTTTGGAGCAGGAGGAAGGGAAGAGAGACAAGACTAGAAACATTAAGCAAATGTGGAGACAGAGAGGAGTGATGCAAAGCTGGAGTTGCCTACGGAGCATTTGTTCATGAAGCATCCAGGGAATGTGTAGAGTATGCTCATCCCAGAAGAATGTTGTTGGAACAAATATCCAAGATTTGGATTTTCTGGGAGCTCATGTCTGAGGAGCACATCAACACAGAGCTCAAGTCTGGGAGCACATGTTCAGGGAGCACATGAAAGGGGAGTACATGTTTGGGAGCACATGTGTAGAGAACATATATATGGAAAACGTATCTCCAGTGGCTTTATACATCTCTGGAGCAGAAATCTAGGGAGCATGTTTCACAAAACAACATGTAGAAAATGTATGTATTTATGGGCCACGCGTGTTGCCACATATCAGGGCAATCTTGTGATTCAGTTTCGGGAGCGCATATCCAGGGAACAAATGGTCTGACTGAACCTGGGAGCTTCAGGAACATTGTCTAATGAGTGTACACTCAGCAAGCACAAATTCCATATACTGTATTCTCATTGAGTGAGAACATGTTCAATGAGCAGATGTCACAAGAGCCCAAATCTGACAGCATAATTCCAGGAATGTAACACACAATGAGTGTACATTTAGGTCTGGACACTTTTGCTGCCTGGTCCACAGGAAGGAACAATATGAGGTAGATGATACCTCTTCTTTCAATGATCCTCAGAGAGTTTCTAGGCATTCCCTAAGACTGACAGCCAATATTCCTAGTTTGTTTTTTCATGACAGGTTTTCTCTATGTCAACACTTGTTCACGTGACACCACTGCTGCAATAAAAGCCGCACCCTTGCCTGATCCATCGTCTGAAAACTGGAGGCTAACTTCACAGTTTGGGGCCAACATGTTCACTGTATCATCCACGACCTTGGCAAAACTGATGAGAAACAGAATGAGGTAAATGATAGCACAACAGTGAGCATCGACCTCCAGATCTGAGTCACATTTAAGAGTCAAAGTCAAACTTCACATTTCTGGTTACTCTCATTTGCGGCCTCCCATGGGGAACCCCTCACTGCTCTACACTGACCCTGACCTGACTTTATTGCTCAATGTGGACAAGACAGAAACCATTCTTTGACTCCCATCAACCACCAGCTCTGACCTCCTTCAACCTTCCCAGCCTCTCTCCAACTCCCCTTAATACTGATGAAACTCAGCGTCCAGTTTGATCCTCAGCTTTCCTTCATACCGCGCACCCAGTCCCTGACCAGACTGTTTTCCTCCACCTCTGCAATATTACCTGTCTCACACATACAAATCCCTGCATGCCCCAGCACCTCCTGACCTCTCTGACCTGTTCGTACCCCACTCCTTTGCCTGTTCCCTCGCTCAGCCAACACAGACTTGCTTTGTATCCCCTGATCCCTCCCTCCTCACTGTCATCAGTGACCAAGCTTTCAGCACATCTGCCCCCTGACCTGTGGAAATCCGTGCCTCAATCCTTGCTCCTCGTCCTCTTTTAATCTTAAATTCCTTCTCTTCAACTGTGCCTAGAGTCACCTGTACTTCACCTGCACCCGTCTCGCCTGCTAGTTGTCTAACCCCGCCAATGTATAGATGCTAACCCGTTTTACACAGCACTGTTCCCTTGGTGCTAAGGAGCCAGGCCTGCTCCCGAAAGGTATACAGTTGCAATCAAGTGTCAACTTGGCTCAATTAGCTTTCTCTCATATCTGAATTGGAAAGCTGCGAATTCAGGTTTCATGTTGGGACTTAACACTAGAATTAACAAACATTTGATACATTGTCAAAATGTCTAAAGCTCTTCACAGGATATGCAGTAAAGTGAAGTTACTGTGTATTTTGATTCTGAACAAGCAAACAGGACCTCAGTTTAATGTCTCATCTGAAGGACAGCAACCCCAATAATGCAGTGCTCCCCCAGTACTGCATTGGAGTGCAAACTTGATCTGTAAGGTCAAGATCCTTGATTTGGGGCTTAAACCCATAAGTTTCTGACTCAGCAACAAGAGTGCTATCAACTGAGCCAGGCTGTCTTTAAGATCATAATTAGGCAGACACTCTAATACAAGGTTGGCAGAATGGCCTTCTTCTGTAGCTTGATTTCTATTGTTCTGTCTGCTTGAAATGTGTTTTTTTTTCCAGTCTAGTACGTTATCTTTACATTATCTTTGTCATCTGTTTGTATTTCAAATCTTAAAGGAATGTGCTGTTCGTTGAATGTTCCACACCTGATTTCCTAGAAGTAGATCAAGCACTGCCTCCTGCGTAGCTGGATTGGAGACATTCTGATCTAGAAACCAGTCCTGGACACATTATAGAACAGCATCCTTTGTTTGTTCACTGACATTATTTTTCTCCTGTCTATCTTCGGATAATTGAAGTGAAACTTTCATTTTATGTCATTATCCAAAGGGATATTGAAAAGCAGGGATGGACAGGGAGTTGGTAGTAGAGATAGTCAGTGCTAAAGAAAGAAAGATCTTTGAGATTAAAAAATCTGACAAGATCTAATAAATTGGTGGAACAGTCTCGAAGGGCTGAATAGCCTCCTCCTTTTCCTGTTTTTGTCTGTTCCAAAGCCCAGATATGAATCAGTACAAGAGGAAGTTGAAACTGTGTTCAATATGCGTCCAACTTTGCCATTGTAATACTTACCGTGCACTTAACATGTATGTGTTACCAGTCACACTAGCGGTGATTGTCAGATCCTCTAGTCCTCGGTTTTCTCTTATTTTCTCCGTTATAGCAGCAATTCCAACTCCGCAGAGATGGCCCGCTCTGTTAATGATGGTCTTACACACCTCCTTCACAATGATGCTGTCATCACATGTACTTTCCAATTCCAGGTCTTGAAGGATCGAACGGACTTGAAACAGCCCGAGGTTATCACTGATAGACAGAGAAGAGCAGACATCAGGCAGATGGACCACTGAAATACATCCTCACTTACTGACTGCAGTCCAGGAACTCTCTAGTAAAAGGCACAACATGATAAGTTTGCCAGCTCAGGACCCTGCAACTCGGCTTGGAACTGCCCTCTTGGCGCTGGTCAACAGGATTCTCTTTGAGTCACACACTCTGTCAATGTTCCAAAATGCAATAGTAGTTTCTACCCACAAGAAGGGTGAAACCGAGTGAAACCAATAACTACAGTGAGGGATCTCACTGGTTTCAATGGCTCTAAAAGAGGTGCTTCCGGTTGTCACTACACGTGTATCGCACCTATTGGAGGCTCGTGGTTTGATCAGGAAGGAGCAAGCTGGTTAATGTTCTCATGAGGAATGTGGCACTTGTTTGTGGATGATATTGTTTTACTCACCTGTGGGCCTTCCGCACTGCACTCGCCATGTTTAACACTGGGACAACTAGTGGGACATGATGGAAGGTACCCCAAAGTGCGGAATCTTGGTTCTGCACGACCCAAGGGAAGAAATCGAGGGAATTGATTGGAAGATACAAATTGTTGTAGACTTCCTCCGGATCATTCGCAATTATTATTATTATTATTATTATTATTATAAGCATTGAGGTGGATTCGTGCAAACATGGGAAGCTGCTGCAGGCATGGAGGGCTCTGGCCTACACTTATCTGTCGCTAAGCACCCTGGTAACAAAGGCAGCTTCACAGCAGGCTTGGCCATTTGCCAAGGCCTCTTGTATGAGAATTAAGCAGCTGGTGTGAATACGCCTGGTACACGACAATGGAACTCAAGAAAATCAAGGTAGCCGGCATGTCACAGGCTAACTGTCCTGTAAAGGTCTCCTGCCACTCTGTAGCCTTTCATGTTGGGAGGATGTCTCAAAGCCCTTCAAGGGATATACTGTAAATTGTAACTTTTTCTACACAAACGGAGCAGCCATTTTGTGCACAGCATTGTCCCACAACGGTCATGAGGTGGATGACTAATTTTATTTGGGAGATGACTGGCCAGGACATTGGGAGAGAGAAACTCTCTTCTCTCATTTTGAACAGTGACATGGGATCTTTAACATCCACCTGAACAGGCAGATGGGACCTCGATTAAGTCTGTCTCACAATTATCTCTAGTGGAGGAACTGACAGCAGAATGGACTCAGTGATTTTAATATTTTAAGGGTAATTTTTGTGAAACACAAAAGTCAATGATTTAGTCACCTTTCAACCTGTGAGAGGACATCTACGGTAAATATGTATTCTGTATTCAGCCTTTCAGAGACCTTGCCATGAAAGAGGATTCCTTTTTCAGTCAATTCAATGAGAATATTTCGGATAATTTCACCCAGGTATATAACACTGATCATCTTTTCATACCTGTGGAGAGGACAGAGCAGTCAGATACAGCAGCCTCACAAACAAGCTACTTTGCCAGTTTTTGGTGTTCCAGAGACTGATGACCCACAACACACAGTTAGAACTGTGGTATCTCATCCAGAGTGTGAGATATGGTTTAAACCCCAGCCAGGTCCCATCTTGCCATAGACACCTGTCTGGAAGGGGTGGGATGTCTGACATACACACCAACTGGCTGGTCAGACAGGAGTCAGACATCACTGCCTGGAACCACACTTCAGACTTTTGCCACATTGGTAACTGAAAGTCAAGCCCAGAAGCTTTGAGCTGCTGGTCTTGAGCCAGACCTGGAATTATTGCCACTATAGTGATCATCCATGGATTTCATGCTCCTTTCACACTTTTGTGTCTTTTAATCACCATTTGATTCATTTAAGAAGCTTCAAGATGTGACTCCACGTGAAGGGAGCTATATAAATGCAAACTGTTGTAGGCAAATGCAGCAGCCAATTTGCACACAGCAATGTCCCACAACAAGAACACGATTACAATTGTGTAGCGTCATTCACATCGAGAAACAGCCATGACAACAGCCATGACATAGGTTCAGGAATGCTTGACCAGCAGAAACTCTGACTTTCCTTAACCTTGGAAAGCAGTGGTCAGTTTAACCTCTCCCATGGAGCCCCAGCTGAGACCAGCAGAGGCAGCATAGTGTGGGATTCAAGCCAGCAATCTCTTGGACCATCAGTTGCAGCTCTCTCCAATATACAAGTGACAGAAGCAGAGCATCCAGTAGTGGATGAAGTTGCCCATTTAAGACAAAGCATGTTATCTCTCATTACAACAAGCACCTTATGGATTGAGACTTTAATCAGGGAGAAAGTTTTGGCAGAATTTCTTACGTTTGTTGTCCTGGGTTCTGAGAATATCTATCCAATTGTTTGTCAGTTGATGTGACAAAGTCTTCCAGACAACCGTTGTCCCCAAACGCTCCCCACTCCATATTGATGCACATTTGTCCTTCGTCACCAGGCACCATCTCAATGTTCCTCATCTCCTCCATGTAACATGCGTTGGTGTTGGTTCCTGCAGACACAGTGTGAGATTGTCATACAGAATCATAGAAATTTACAGAGCAGAAAAAGGCCATTTCCATCAAGTGTTCAGTGGCTCCCAGAACTAGCTGTTCATTCAGTTCCACTGCCCTACTCTAGCCTCATATCCTTCAAGCCTCTTCTTCCATTTTGAAACTCACAACAGAGCTTTGAAATGAGAGAGAAAACTCTGGAATTTGCTTTTGTTTGAGATTGAAGCTGTGTTAGTTCTGAGGCTGTGACTCTTCTAATTCTGCTCCTCTTAACCTTGAAACCAAAGTTTACAATGGCTAGCTGTGCGGCTTTAGCTGGTTAAACTCCAGCAGTACACTAGGTAATAGTCTGACCTTGGCTCTAGCAAACCCACTACAAAACTTTCCAAGGTTTGGTCATCAGGTTATGTCCTTTTGGTAGAAAAACAGCCAACTCCATGATGTGCTTGACCAAAGAACATTGGAAATATGCCCATCCTCTGTAGTAGCCTGCATTCCGGTACCTCAGTCAACAACAAATTGCATTGATATAGTGCCTTTCATCTCAGGAGGATGTCTCAAGGCACTGGTAGCCAGGCCGGTCCACAGTACTCCAGGGAACTGGTACTGACAGCCCAGCAGTCTGGCTCATTAGCAGGACTTAGAGGGCCGACCTGTCATTTGGGAACAGGGATTCTTCCCTTTGAGCTCCTGTTAACTCTCCAAACCAAGCACTAATGGGTAGGATGGTCCTCATTGGACAAGACACGGGAAGCGCTCTTAGTGGCAAGTTATAGGGTTTTAGGATAGACTCCAGATGTTATGTTAACTCCATAGCTTGCCATTGTGAGCATTGTCTGGCAAGCTTCCAACATCTGGTCCAACGAGGACCCAAAGCACTACCTGGTGTCTCCAAGACCTAGCTTTTGCTAAACTTTGTGCAAAACATGTGTATATATTTGGTAAGACAGGTGCAACCCTATCTGGCCTTTCCTGGTTTTACCTATCCTATTGTCTACATTTTGTCTCCTCCAACAGCTTCTCCTCTTTCTTCCTGCACCGTTATGTGCAGCATTCCTCAGAGCTCTATCCTCAATCCGCTCAATATCGATCTACTCCCGCTCAGCAATGGCATCTGCAGACATGCAGTTAGCTTCCACATGTATGTGAATGACCCAACTGTATTTCTCTGCCTCCACCCTTGATTCCAGGACCACTGCTGACCTGATGGACTGTCTGTTAAGTCCTGGGTGAGAGCCAACTTTCTCCAGTTGAATATCAACAAGACCGAAGCCCTCTTGCTTGGTTGCCACCAGTGCTTTCTCACCTCAGGTGCTGACAGCATAAATCAACATGGTTTCACTCTACACCTCATGGAGCTAGCCTGGATCCTTGGTCAACTTTCAACTGTCCTTCAAATTCCACATTCCACACCGGGTCTCTTATGCATTTGGTTTGGTCAGTCAAGTGCCTGACACACCCATCAAGATGATTAAGAGTAATTAAATCAAACTGAGCACCATGCATTTCACATATACATGTAAATTTCCAAGATATTTATCGGAATGGAATGTGCACTCTTTTCCTGGAGGGAACTATGCTCCTGACGTGAAAGGCGCTATACAAATGTTATTTCGTATTTTCTATTGAACCTAATTCCAGAGTGTTTTAGGTGCAGGTTGGCACAAGCCAAGGCTTAGGGACAGCATTGGCCATCAAGCTTGCCCATTGCTTGTCCAGCTAGGACCACCCTACTCATTAGGGCTTTGCCTTCCAGGGTTAACAGGAGCTGAGTCAGAAGAATCCCTGTCCCCAGTGGCCAGCCCTTCTAAGTCCTGTCGATGAGCCAGGCTGGGCTGTCATCGGCAGTGCCCTAGAGTAGTGCGGTCCCGTCTGGCTCAGGAACTGGAATACCAAATTCCATTATTAAACACATCACCTTGGAGCAAGTTCATCTCCAAGGAGACCCCACTTGTGTACCGCGCCCCAAGGAGGACAGTTTCTAGTGGGTCATTTGACAGGAAATTTTCCAGAAGTCAATTCTAGCAATAGCTATAAAGTATATCTGCAAAAATGTGAAGCAATTTAAATGAGGAAGACCTGAAGGAGGGGTTTAAGATTAAAATTCTTCTGTCATTTGCCTACAACTAGTTTATAGTGTACCCTGTGAAGCGCTTTGAGACGTTCTCCCAACTTGAATGGTGCTATGTCAAATGCCAGGTTATTATTTTTATAATCTGCGATTAATGACTTGTTTAAAAGAGTGTTTACCCATAATGACACCAACTTCACACTTTGGGTTTTCATAAGCACAAGTTATCATTGTTCCAACTGTGTCATTTATGAGAGCAACAATTCGCACTTCAATGGTCCTGGGTAACTTATCAGGCTCGTTTTTAATTTGATGCATTTGACGAAAATAATGATTTTTGCGGGCAATGGCTTCTTGCAGTAGAGCCACCACATTCTTCCCTTCACAGCCTGTCATCTTGAATCCCTTGGTCCATTTTATGAGAAAACCCTACATAGCAGAGAACAATAATTAAACTAATCAAAATCTTTTTATTGGTAAGATGGGTGTCTGACACATGCAGAAACCCAGCACCACGCTTAACAACAACAACTTACATTCACAGCGCCTTTCACTCAGGGTAGTGTCTCAGAACGATCAATGAGCATGGCGCCTAGCTGGGCGAAAAGGGGAGGGTTGACTGTAACCATGATTATCATAGGAACTTTGAATTTTACACCACAGGAAGCCATTCGCCCCATCATACCTGTACAAGCTCCTTGAAAGAGCTATCAACTTGTCCCACTCCCCCGATCTTACGCCCATAGCCCTGCACACTTTTCCTTTTTAAGTACCTATCAAATTCCCTTTCGAAAGCTATTATCATATCTGTTTCCACTACCCTTTCAGGCAGTGCATTTCAGACCATAACAACTCTCTGGGTAAAAAATAGTAATAACAGAAACTGATGGACTTGTGTGCTGCTTTCTCTAACTCAATGGACTACAACTTACTTAAAACAACATTTGCCTCTAACAACAATAGCTTGCATTTATATAGCGCACTCCATGCTGGGTGGCATCGCGGAGCGTTTAACAATAGTGGAGCCCGATGCCAAGCCAGGAAAGTGACCAAAGTCATGGTCGAAGAAAGAGTCTTCAAGTGCAACCTGAAAATTGGGAAAGAGGGGGCAAAGTGAAAGGATTAAGGGAGAGAGTTCCATAGTAGTGGGTGAAGGCACGGCCATCGATGGTGGAGTGGAGGATTCAAGGGACCAGGAGGAGTCGGAGCCAGTAGAGCGGAGGCAGCGGGCTGTGCTGTGAGGAGAGAGAGGTTGGAGAGATAGCGTGGTGCCATGGCATGAAGGTATTTAAACACCAGAGTGAGGATCTTGAAGTCAATTTGCTCTGTGACAGGGAGCCAGTGAAGTTTGGCAAGGGTGAGAATGCGGGAGGCGGAGTTTTGGATGAATTGCATTTTGTGAATAGTGAAGGAGAGACCGTCCAGCCGAGAGGTGACAAAGCCGTGGACAAAGGTTTGGCTGCTTGTGGAGTAAGGTATTGTCGGAGACCGGCAATGTGGTGGAGGCGGAGGAATGCGTTCCTGGTCAGGGACCGGATGTGGGGGGAGAAGAATAACTGTCGATCGAACCTGACGCTTAAGATGGGCGCGGGTTCAAAGAGTTTTAAGAACAGATCGGGAAGGTTCAGGAGATTGGAACTACTGGACAGAAGACGTCGACGGGAGTCAAGAAGTATGGCTTCCGTCTTGTTGATGTTTAACTGCAAGAAATTTGCGCTCATCCAGGCCTTAATGTCTGTCAAACAAGCTGACGGAACATCAGAGGACTGGGGGCCGCAGCTGGAAGAGGAGATGTAGAGTTGAGTGTCATCCGCATACATATAATAATAATCCTTGCATTTGATATAGTGCTTTTCACGTCTTCTAGACATGTAGAAGTTAACCCTGTGTCCGCAGATGACATCATCGAGAGGGAACATATAGATAAGGAAGAAAAGGGAGCCAAGGATGGAGCCTTGGGATACCCTGCAGGTGACCGGGCGGGGGCAAGAAGAAAAAACATTTGCAGAAATATAGTGCTGGCGGTTTGTAAGGTAGGACTCGAACCCAGCGAGTGCGGTCCAACTGAGGTACATGATGGAGGAGAGACGGTGGAGGAAGATGGCGTGATCGACTGGGGAGGGAGAGGAACAGGAGGATGAGGAGACAGAGGGAGCCCTGGTCACAGATAGAGAGGACACTCTTTGTGACTTTCACAAGCACAGTCTCTGTACTGTGGTCAGGGGGGAAACCGGACTAGAGGGGTTTGAGTAGGGAATGGAGGGAGAGGTGTGCGTGAAGTTGGTTAGCAACAACATATTCCAAAGCTTTGGCCAGGAAAGGTAGATTTGAGATAGGGTGGTAGTGCCAGAGATTGAAGGGGCTGAGGGTAGTTTTTTTTAAGGAGTGGGGGTGATGATGGCGGTTTTGAGTGGGAGTGGGACTGATTAATGGTGTCTGCCAGCAGTGGGCAGAGGATGGGGAGCTGGGTAATCAGCAGTTGGGTAGGAAGGGGGTTGAGTCAGCAGGCAGTGGGTTTGATCAGGATGATGGAGGATGAGAGCAAGGAGAGATGGGGGCAAAGGAGGGTAGGATGGGGGCCGTGGTGGGGGCTGGGGGTGCTGAGGGGCTGGTGAAGGAGACAGAATGGGGTGTGGGGGACTGTTGAGACCACGGCTGCCAGGTGGATGTTTTCTATTTTAGACATAAGGGAGACCATGACCTCTTCACACTTGGCGTTTGATGTAATGATTGAGGGTGCTTGAGGGGGCACATGGAAGAGGTGGTGGATGGTGGAGAATAGGATTTTGGAGTTATTTTTATTTATATCCAGTACACAGTTTTTGCTTGCAAGAGGGAGCAAAGTAGGTGTGAAGATGCTCGAGCCACAGCTGGAGATGAACTGTGAGGCTGGTTTTCTGCCACCTGTGCTCGAAAAACCGGGTTAATGATTTTAGGGAGCAGAGATGGCTATTGTACCAGGGGGAATGGTTGGGTTTGAAGACGGACCTAGATTTCAGGGGGACAAGGGAGTTGAAGGTGGAGGTGAGGCAATCATGGAGCAGCTTGATGGCTGCATCAGGGTTTCTGTGAGTGGAAGGCCAGAAAAACAGGAGGTCTAAATATAAGAGGGCAATTGTGAAGGCTCGATGGAGGGGAGAGGCACACGAGAGGAAAGGGAGACGAGGAAATGGTCTGAGCAGGCCTCGTCCATGATGAATAGACCGGAGATATCTGAGCTGTTGGTGATAAGTCCAGATATGACAGAATCCGCCGAACCCATGTGCTATCACTCTCACTACAGCTTATCCTCTCATTATATAATTCATCACTTCATCTGTAAATAATACACATATCCAGCCTCACCTCGTCCAGTTTGGTCTGTTTACAGGGGAAACAGAACGTGAATCCCACCGGCAGAGATCCCTTAATATTATTCTTTTGCAGAAAGTCATCGATGCAATCCACAACATGATCAAAGAGCTGGGAATAATAAATCAGTGTACAAAGAAGATTGTTATTACAGATAAATGAATGAAGCGTGAACAGCTATGAATAATATTCTGTCATTGAATCCAAGAGCATAAGAGCATAGAAAGAGGCCATTCGGCCTCTTCTAGAAGTCTCAAAGCGCTTCACAGAATATGCTGTTAAGTGAATTGACTGTATATTTGTGGGCGAAACGCGGCAGCTAACTGCGCACAGCAGTGTCCCACAAACAGTCATGGATTGAAAATGACCAATTTATTATTGTTTTTTTTTGAGGATTATTAGGCGTGTGGAGTAAGGAAACTTGCCCAAGGTTTCGCCCTGCCTGGAATTGAACCCAGATGAGATACTGTCTGAGCATATCTGACAGGAATGATCTGGTTTTACTTTTTCAATCCCATTCAAAATATTATACACCTGTATCACTGAATAGTTTTCACTCAAGACTGAAGATCGGCAGCTTGACTAGTTGTTACTCACAGCTCATTCCTCTAACACTGAGGATGATCCTCACTGTTATCCCTGCACAGCCTCTAGGGCCTCTTCATGTTGCAGTGGTCTTCTGCCACTCTGCCCCCACCCTCTGAAACTCCATCCCGCAGTCCATCCGTCTCCTTCAATACCCATCTGAAAGACCCACCTCTTCAACCACCCTCCATCCCCCCCAGACTCTACCCTCCCCAATCCCGACCCCCAGCTCGGGTCTGAAACACTGATTGTCCAGTGGGCCTTGGGACATCCTCCCGACGTGAAAGGCACTTTACAAATTTAATTTTGTTGTTGTTGTTGACCGGAAGTGGATGCTGTATTCTCAGTAAGACTTGTGCAGAGCACTGTACAGCCAGAGGATATGAACTGATTCAGCATCCTGTTTGCCTTGTTTATTGCTGCCTCACATCGAGATGAGTCAAGTAATGCCCTTAGATCTCTTCCCCTTTGGTAAATTCTAACCCATCCATAGGTTACACTACAATCTATCTCTGGAGGTTCAATAATTCAAATGAGATGTTAGACAGAGGTCTTGTCTGCCTGTTCAGGAGAATGTTAAAGATCCTCTGGCATTTGTTGTACCATACGGCACAGAAATCACTTTGTTTATAGAAACTCTTTTATTGGACAATTTTTTTTGGGTGGTCAGCTGGTGTTCGATACACACAGAAAACCATCAGCGTGCTAAAGAGTTTCCAAACCAAACTAGGAATTCCGTGGTAGCTCTCACACATTATGGAGTCCTGTAGCTGTAGCTCAGTGGTTAGAGCACTCGTCTCGCAAGCAAGAGACCTGGGTTCAAATTCTGGCAGGGCGAAATGTTGGGCAAGTTTCCTTACTCCAGACACCTCTGTTTACCCAACAGTAAGTAGAAACCCAGTTGTCAGTGGATTGGCGGATCGCTTTTCCAGGGATAATGATTCCTTCAAAAAAAATAATAATTTGGTCACTTAAGTCCACGTTCATGGAACTCTGCTGTGCGCAATTGGCTGCCACGTTTCACCCACAAAATATAAGCTAATTCATTTACAGTATATTCTGTGAAGCACTTTGAGACATCTCGAAAATGTGATAAAACACGACAAGGATTATTATTATTATTATTTCATGCTGAGTTATGTTGCCCACCAGGAAGCTCGCAGGAAGTTCCTGGTTCCTAACATCCACCTGGTGAGGGGTCAACCCCCTGCTTTTCAGATGTCTAAAGACCAACTGGTGACTCTCCTCCTTGGGTGGGGTGGGAGGTGAACTGGCTCCAGGATGACATGATTGGCAACGGAAGGTTGGAATCGAACCAACCCTTTGTGGCTGACTTGGTAGTCCGGTTCCTGAGCCAGGCATATCCCCAGTATTCCAGGGCACTGCTGATGACAGCACAGCCGGCCTAATTCATCAGGACTTGGAAGGGCAGACCAATCACTGATGGCAGAGAATTATCCCACTCAGCTCCTGTTAACCCTGCAAACCAAAGCCCGCATGAGTATGGTGGTGCTAGCTGGACAAGTACCCGGCAAGCATCAGAACTGACAAAAGATCATCGACCTGAAATGTTAACTCACTTTCCTTTCTCCATAGATACTGCCTAACCTGCTGAGTGTATCTATATATTCTATATATATAGTGTATTCTATATAGATCATTCCAAGTCCTAATAATCCTCTGTATATTTTAAAGAATCCTGGCTTTAATTCCTTCTTGTTGCAAATTAAATGGCCACCCAACCGTTGCTGTTTCTACAATATTTTTTGTCAACACGCGTTACTTGGATACTTAATGGATTATTTCATTTCTAATTGACCTTGTTCTAAAACTCACTTTAAGATATTTATTTTACAAGAATGGCATTGGCTAACTGTAAGCAGTTACTATGCATGTATTTTGTGGTGTAAGGACCTAAATGAACTTGTTAGCCTGTCAGTACCTGTACTCCAGTGGCTTGAATCATATCCTGAGGAATACTGTAGGTCGTAGTCACCATTTCTATTTCTTCCTCATCGTCACTGGGAATATGCATCTGTAGAATACGTACATCAAAATCTTCCAGATGTAGTGCCAGGAAGGTGCCTTGCTCTGCAAAATCAGTGTGGAAATAATAATAAAAGAAAACATTGCTTTTGGTGTAGCTCCTTTGACGTCAGGAGGACGCCCCAAAATGCTTCACAAGATTTACTGTACATTTGTGGACGAATGAGGCAGCCCAATTGTGTACAGGAATGTAACTGTGTCTTTAATCAATTTTGCATCTTTTGGAAATCTGCTTGCAGATTTGCTCGTCTATCTCCTTCCCACTATTTGATGGCCTATAGCATACACCAAACAGAGTAACAGCTCCTTTTCTGCTGCTTAACTCTAACCAAATAGATTCTGTTTTTGGACCCTCCAACACCTCGTCCCTTTCCAGGGCCGTAACCATGTCTTTAATCAATATTTCCATTCCTCCCTCCATATTTTCTTTCCCTATCCCTCCTGAATACATTGTAGACAGGAATATCCAGCTCCCATTCCTGCCGTTGTTTGAGCCAGGTCTCCGCTATTGCCACTACATCATAACCCCATGTGGCAACTTGAGCCTGCAGCTCACCAACCTTATTTGTCACACTCCGTGCATTTACACGCATGCGCTCCAAGACCAACTGAGTCAGCTTTGCATTTCTCCACCATCTAATCTATCCTTTTCTGGATTACTCCATATTGCATTGCTATTCGTTTCTCCCAGTCCTCTCTGTAACTTGTTTCTCTTCTCTGACGCTACATCATGATTCCCTTCCCCCTTGAAATTAGTTTAAACCTATCCACACAGCACTAGTTAACCTCCCTGTGAGAACATTGGTCCCAGCGCTGTTCAGCTGTCACCCATCCACCTTGTACAGGTCCCACCTGCCCCAGAACTCGTCCCAATGTTCCAGCAACCTGAAGCCCTCCTTTCTGTACCATTTATCTAGCTATGCATGATCCTGCTGTTTTGATATTCACTTGCACTAGGTACTGGGAGTAATCCGGCAGTCACCACCTTGAGGTCCTACTCTCCTCCTGGAGGCAACTTACCATGCAAGAGTCATGTCATTGGTTGCAGAAATACCTGTCTACTTCTTTCACTGTTGTGTTTCCAATGACAACTGCATTGACACTCTTCCCTGTGTGCTCCTGTGCATCCATTTATTTTTGACTCCTCTCCCCAGGTGTCATCACCCTGACCGGTATTCAGTACAGAGAACCGGTTTTGTGAGTGCCACAATCTCAGGCGATTTCTGTACTACCCATCCCCTCTGCCTAGAATGCCAGGTGGTCACCCACTTACTCTCCTGAACCCTCTGTGGCTATGGGGTGACCACTTCCTGAAATGTTCGATCCATTAACTCTTCAGCCTCCCGTATGCTGTATAGTGACACCAGCCTCTCTTCCAGCTCAGAAACCCTGAGCTCAAGCTCGAGCAGCTGGAGGCACTTCCTACACTCGTGTCTGTCCAGAGCACACAAAGCATCCTGGAAGTTCTGATTTATCACACATTGTGCATCCAACTGGTCTCAGCTGCCCTGCCATATTCCCAGACATGTTTTATATTATTTTAACATAAATACCATATATTTTACAATGATGCATCTCTTTCCCCCTCTGTACCGAATTCCCACTCTCACCAAATTCCTGCACAGAATTCCCTGGTCCGTCCTCACTCAGGTATGTCCTCGCTCTGCTGCGCTCTCTGCTTGAGTGGGTCTTGAACCCATAACCTTCTAATTCAGAGGCGAAGGTATTCCCAATTGCGCATAGTTGTGTCCCACAAACAGGCGTGGATCGAGTGACCAAATTATTATTATAATTATTTTTTGAAGCAATTATTACCCCCTGAAAAGCGATCCACCAATTGTGCAACAATCAGGTTCCTACTTACTGCTAGGTAAACAGAAGAGCGTGGACTAAGGAAACTTGCACAATGTATCGCCCTGACTGGGAATCAAACCCAGGTCCTTTCACTTGCGGAGCAAGTGCTCTAACCACTAGGGTACAGAACTCCACAGGATTTGTGAAGGGTAGATTATGTCTGACAAATCGGATAGAATTTCTGTGGAGGTCACTAACATGGTGAATAAGAGTGTCTATGGATGTCATCTATAAGGACTCTCAGAAGGCATTTGATAAGGTTCATGATGAAAACATGGACAAGTGTCTTGGGGGCCCAAGGTTAGAGGTAGTGGGGGAGGCTGGCAATGTTGTGGAGGTTGGAAAAGGCTGAATGGGTCAGAGTATGGATGTCCGGTTTCAAAGGGCAGTTGAGAATAGAACAAATCATCGAGATTCCACACTGCTTCGTGAGGTGAAGTGTGCAACTGTGTAGATTGATGCTGTCACAAGATTAATTGGCCCATCTAATAGCATTCTTCCACAACACCCACTCTACTGTATTCCCATCACAGATAAACACAAAAACAAGGTACAAAAAACAGATGAATCATTTCTTCTATGGATCATTTCATAGAAGTGAGTCTGTGCTCAGCCATAGAACAAATTGGTGTTTGTCTGAAATTGCCCATTACATCCCAAAACCTTTGTCCTTTTGTTCTATTGTCTTGGTGCACCCAAATGTATTGTTCTGAGTTTACTTTTTCTATCCCATTTAAGGTTTCCTTCCACAGTTGTAAAGGATTTGAAAACTTCAGCAAAGAAAATATCTGAAAGGAGCTCACCTGAGCCATCAGGTAAAGTGCGTATGAATGATGGCAACATAGCAATTGAGCTCATATCATGGGTCTTTGCCTTTAGACCCATTTCCATCTCCTTCCTCATCCTTTGCTTCATATCGTTGAGCTGCTCTTGGCTTAGTTTGAATTGATAGAGGATCTTGTTGATCTCAAGACGCTGGGCAGAGAAACGGGTGTCCGCAGCTATAAGCATTGCTGCACCTTTACCACCACCATCGTCAGAGAGAAGAAAATTGACCTCAACATTTGGAGACAGCAATTTAATGGCAGCATTCAGTGTAATTTGAAACCTGATACAGAAACAAGGGACAAAACAGCTGAATATATTGCTGGACATAGGATTGTTTGATAGAAAGTGAGTCTGTGTTTTTCGGGATAGAAACCCAACAAGAGCTATTAGGAATTCCCTTGTGAGTTTCTTGGTGAGTAGCACAACTCAGCATGAATTACGTGAGACCATTATCACAACAAAAGGTGAAGGAGAAATAAGATATGAGGAATTGAACATAGGGAAATAGTGTGAAGGGGCCAGATAGATACCTATCTTTAGGTCTTCCTCATTTCTTTGAATGGTATACATTATCTTGTCCCTTCAAAATCTTAAAAACCGTAATCATATCGCCCCTCAACCTTCTCTTCTCCAGTGTGAACATGCCCAGTTTACCTAATCACTCCTCGTAGTTCAGTTCCTCCAACCGCTCTATCATTTTGGTTGCCCTCCTCTGTATCCTCTCAATCGCTGCAATGTCCTTTTTATATTGCGGTGACCAGAACTGCACACAATATTCCAAGTGCGGTTGCACCAGTGATTTATAAAGTGGCAGGATTACCCCACTACTTTAGCTCAATATTGTCCTTTTAATACAACCCAGCATCTGGTTTACCATACTCACTGCTACCAAGGACAGTTGGAATAGCTTCAATTTATTATCGATCAGGACCTCCAGGTCCTTTTCATTTTCTGATTATAGGATTTTCTACCCATTTAAACTGTAGTACCATTCAATAGAGCAAGAAGTATAAAAGGCAACTTATAATAATAATCCTTGCATTTGATATAGTCTTATCACGTCAATGAGACGTCTCAAACCACTTCACAGGATATACCATAAAGTGTAATGACTGTGTGTTATATGGGCGAAATGTGGCAGCCAATTCCACATAGCAGTGTCCCACAAACAGTCGTGGATTGAGTGACCACATTATTATTATTTTGAAGCAATTCTTACCCCCGAAAAGCAATCCGCCAATCAACTGACAAGCGGGAACACAAAATACTGCAGATGCTGGAAATCTGAATATAAAAACAGAAGTCGCTGGGAACACTCAGCAGGTCAAGCAGCATATATAGCGATCTCTCTGTGGTCTCCTCTACAATGGGGAGACGAAACGCAGATTGGGTGACCGATTTGCCGAATGCCTCCATTCTATCCGCAAGCACAACCCTGAGCTTCTGGTTTCTTGCCACTTCAACTCTCCCTCCCACTCGCACTCTGACCTCTCCATCCATGGTCCACTACACTGTTCCAATGAGCCACAGCACAAGCTTGAGGAACAGCACCTCATTTATCTGCTAGGGACCTTACAGCCCTCTGGTCTCAATATTGATTTCAACAATTTCAGACCATAACAGCTCACCTTCCCCTCCCCCTCTTATGTGACCATTACCACATCTTGGTCCCAGACACACCTTTTCTCTCCCTGATCTGCCTGTTTTGTTCCAAGTTCTTTTTCCCCTTTTGTTCTGCAGTATTAACACCTCTATTCTCCTGCTTTGTTGCAATCCCCCCTTTGTTCTGCATCATTAACACTTCTTTAACCCATCATCCCCTGTCCTCTACCCCATTTTCTCCTTTGTCTTCCTTGCCCTGCCTCCCCCCTCTCTGTTAGCCCTTAAAGGCCTCTCCCTCCCAACATTCACCAGTTTTGATGAAGGGTCATGGACCCGAAACGCCGACTCACTTTCCTTTCTCCATAGACGCTGCCTGACCTGCTGAGTGTTCCCAGCGAAATCTGTTTTTGTTTTCAACAAGCGGCTTTCTAGATGCTGCTAGGTAAACAAAAGTGTGTGTGGAGTAAGGAAACTTGCCTAAGGTTTTTCCTGCCCCGGGAATCAAACCCAGGTCCTCTCACTTGTGCGTATGGGTGATTGAGTGAGTGCGTGCGAATGAGTATGTGAGTCAGTGTGTGTCCATCTGTGTCTGTGAGTGAGGGTGTGATTGAGTGAGCAATTGAGAGTGAGTATGTCTGTCTCACTTGCGCGTGTGTCCGTGTTTATGAGTGAATGAGACGATGAGTGAGACAGTGATTGAGAGAGTGCGTGAGTGAGTGATTCATTGAAAGAGCGAAAGATTGATTGAGAGAGTGAGAGGGTGAGTGAGAGAGTGAGTAAACTGAAACCTTCAGACAGTGATGCAGTTTTCAAACCATTGATCTCGACCAATTTTGTGAATAATCCTTGTGTTGTAACATCTTTTACGTCAGGAGATGTCTCAAAGTGCTTCATAGGGTTTTACTGTGTCGGACAGCCATGAACAATCAGTGTTGTCTGAGGGACTGTTGGCCAGGGCATTGGGAGAAACTCCTACTGTGTGAGGAAATCTCAACGTCACTTACTTGAGACTATGTTTGTAGATGTTTCCATCCACACCAACTGCGACCTTGAAGCGACTCAGCTTTCTGTTATTTTTTATCTTGGTTAAGATTGCTGTGAGACTGGCAGCGTACAAGGTGACAGAGCGTAGGGAGACTATGTGACAGATGTGCTGCACAGCCAAACAGTCCTCCTCGCTGGGATCCTGTACAAACTCCTTCAGGATGTGCCTTACTTTATCAATTCCAGTTCTTTCACTAGAATATAAGACAGCGAATAGAATAAATAAAGACAAGGACAAGTTTCCTCAGGGAACTGACACCCACACTGCACATCAATACCAACTTTCCAGGAGCAGGTCTGACACAACATTTGACATTAACATCGTTATACAGAGTTTGGCTAGTTATCCAATCAATTTTACATTGTATGAATTTCTAGAATGTGACTGGAGTAGTTATCTGTTAAGTGGAGCGACAAATAAAGTGGAGGACCTTATTAACATTCTGCAATGGGAAGTAGCCGGGATATTGATAGTGGTAGTGATTAGTTAAGGGAGTGTTTTGTTATCAAGAGGAGATTATTTTTCATTCCTGAAGATCATCTGTCACATAAAATAGCAGTCACAAAGGCTGATGCAAATATAAATTTCCATGAGTTTTAAAGCAGTGCCTGTGCTGAGAAATTTACCTTTCAAGTTCATAAACAAACTTAGTTTCAAAATTCCATCTGGTCATCAGGTGTGGTGTTGCCTTTTGATTGAAAAGAACATTCTCATTCAACAGTTTCACCAGAATGAGGCGGACAAGCTCACCCAAGTACAGGCCACTCACCATCTTCTCAAATCTGTGTCAACGAGAGCAAAATAAAAGGGCAGAAGCACATCACATTATTCCAAGCATCAAGAATCTAATTTGCGGAGTACTTTTACAGTAGATGTGTAGAAATACTCCGTCAATTCAATTTGTTCTAAAAAGTGAACAAATCTCAGTGCAAGTTTACAGACTCATAATTGGAACTGGTTTAGACAAATTATACTTGTTGCACACATGATGGAGAAGGGAATAGATGGATAAAGAATGGATGAGGAGGGGTGAGGCTAATGTGGAACTACAAGGACCAGTTAGGCCGAGTGTCCTCATTCCATGCTGTAACAATCTCCATGCTTCCATGTAATTCAGTTGCAGTGCTGGTCTCTAGGAATACTGCGCAAAATAGTCCATCTATGGGCCAAACAAACTACAGGCCCATTGATTCATGGAAATTTTCGGTGATAAAATGCCCATTAAGAAATTCTGCACATTCTGAACAAAAGTCACTCCAAACTAACCAATTTATTTCAAGACCACAACAGTCCATGTATGGAGAAAGGGTTGTATTTATCTTGACATTTCATAGATTCAATAGAACTGATGGAAAGAGATGCAAATGAAAAGCTGTGATCCTTGCTGCCTGCTCTATGCCAAGTAGTCAATCTTACTAATTATACGATTATCCATGGTATACTAGCTTACAATGAAGCTGGATGTCTATGTGGTGATTGTGAGCAGTACAGTAGTAAGCTCTCCAAACAACAATGGTTATGGCCCCAGTGTTAGTGAATGTTTCTAACATCAAGGTTGTTCAATATAGATGAAGAAATAGAGTTCCAGAGAAGTCTAGCTTGTTTTGTTTGGGGTCAACCAGATATCTGACACATGTAGGATACCCATCACCATGCTTAAGAGTACCCAAACCAGTGGAGTAGAGACTGATTTGTGGGCGAATGTGGCAGCCAATTTAGTATGATGTAGTACATATATAGATTTCCAAAAGATGTTCGACAAAGTACCACATGAGAGACTCCTTCTGTGATCACTGGATATCACGAGCAAGGGGTGGAAGTGGATTCAGAATTGTCTGAAGGGAAGTAAGTGGGGGGGTCTTTGTTAGGGGTTTTTGTGATCTTGTGAAGTAGCAGGAGCAATGGACTTTTGTTTGTGAATATGATACAATTTTTCACCACAAAACATTAATGGCAAAAAAAAATCTCCAAGAATGTTGTGCTCTCCTGATGTTAATCAGGAATGCACAATTAAATTGGCTGTCTGGTGACAGTGATCACTCACATCTGAGCTCCAGGTGACAGGGATAATCTGTCCAGCTCCAGGTCAAACTCTGTCTGGATATCATTCAGAGAGCCATCTGATCCGAACGACCCCCACTCCATATTCATGCACATCTGTCCTTCATCCCCTTCAACGAGCTCGATATTACGCACCTCCTCCATGTAACAAGCGTTTGTGCCTGTCCCTGTAATTGAAGACACAAATAATTTGAGGAACAATGTTGGGAAAAAGCTGGGCAATTCTGCATGTACAGAAAGCCTTTGAGAAGTAGATACTCAGCACCTCTCTCAAGGACGCAAATAGCAAATGCAGCAATGATGTGCCCCTGGAGCAGGAACTGGACAAAACTTTCTCCAATTGAATGTTGGTTCCAATCATCGCCTCCTCACCTCAGGCGCTGACAATATCTGCATTTATGGATGCACTCTACACCTTAATAAGTCAGTACGGAACCTTGGTGTCTCGTTCGATGCTCAACTATCATTTAAACCCCACATCCGTGCTATGACATGTTTAACCATTTAGCATTTAACCATCTATTGAAGATGCCAGATGAGAAAGACCCAGTCCTTGCCACTGTACGTATGAGTGAGGGACAGTTTCTTAATACACTATGTGATGGCACATGTAACAGAAGCAACTACAAGAGACGGGTATGTACCAGCCAAGTAAGGCTTCCCAGTTTCAAGCAGCTCTGGATGATGGATGACACCAACTGTTCCCTCTCTTCAGCATTTGATGAGTCCCAGAGTTCAGTGTCTTACCCAAAATGAGTGCAATCTCACAGTTCGAATCTTCATAGCAACAGCTCATCATAGCTCCGACAGTGTCATTGAGCACAGCCACTGGACCAATTTCGTAATCCTGTCACAGAGAAACAGGACCTTGGTCACAGAATCAGCTCCTCTTTACTCCTCATACATTGCCTGTGTGCTCTGGCAGCATCTACACAAACTTCAACTGGAGTGTGGATAATCCAGGAAGGAATGCAGCTATCCTTTTTTACCACCTCTCCCTCAAAAAAGTCAATATCATGCTATACTGGAGGCCAAAAAACAAACCCGAGCTCCTGTTTTCCTTCACACATCATCTCCACAGTGCAGCTCTCAAACATTTACATCCTCACTTCAAATTCCAAATTCTAACAGGTCATGGACTTCTTCACAATAAAAATAGACAGCATCACTTAGCCTCTTTCTCTTGCTCCCTCCCATCATCCATCCCTTCCCACATGTCCTTTGGAACCCCTATATACACTTCCAGCCACTGCTCACTTTCTACACACCTTTCTTCATCATCTTTCAAAATCCTCCAGATGAAACCGACCAGCTCCCTCCACCCCTTCCACATCCACACCCAGCTGCTGACCTCCCAACTGCCGCTCATCTCCCCTTCCCTCGGCACCATCCTGCTCCCCCTGATAACTGCTGTCATCACACCTCTCCTCTAAACCCCACCCTTGATCTGCCAAATTTCATTAACTACCTGTCCATCTCAAACCTACACTTCCTTTCTAAAGTGTTGGAATGTGTTGCTGCCATCTAACTTTGTTCACACCTTTTCTCACCCTCCCTTCTCAAGCCCTTCTAGTCTGGTTTCCACCCTGTTCACATCACTAAGATGGCACTAATGCATTTTCAAGCAGGAAAAATGTGGAGTTATGTAGCGTATTGGTTATAGCACTCGCCTCGCAAGCGAAAGGATCTGGGTTTAATTCCCGGGCAGGGCGAAACCATGGGCAAGTTTCCTTACTCCACACTCCTGTTTTCCTAGCAGTAAGTAGTAACTTGGTTTTTAGTTGAATAGCGAGCCACTTTTTTCTGGATGTAACAATCCTTCAAAAAGTTTTTTTAAATTAATAATTTAGTCACTCAATCCACAACTGTATGCAATTGGCTGCCACGTTTCGCCCACAAAACACACAGTCAATTCACTTTACAGTATATTCTGTGAAGTGCTTTGAGACATCTCAGAGTCGTGATAAGGCACTTATATGAAATGCAAGGCTTATAATTATTATTAAGTTCAAAGTGCTTTACAATTTCAGAGTAGAAAACTGACCGTGGCAGGAGATAGGAAAGAGTAGATGTGAGGTGACTGAAGTCCCAGTTGAGAAATTTCACACAGATCACACGCAGCTCTGTTTCTTACCCCTCTACGTTGAATGGCGTCTTGCAGGAGTTGAACAACGTCCTTGCCTTCAACTCCATTGACTTTGAAATCTTTGACCCAGCTGATCAGAATTCCCTGAAAATACGATTTAATCCATTGGTTTATGACACAACAGAAAATCATGGTTCATTTCCATTCAAACAAGTCTCGGGAGAGCAGCTCCCATGTTTCAAAAGAATAACCCCACCCATACAGACATCAGAGACCAGCCCCTCCCAGACACACATTAGAAAGCAGCCCCCACCAGACAGCACCAGAAAGCAGCCCCGTCCAGACAGACATCAGAGAGCAGCCCCTCAAGACAGGTCTACAGTAAGAAGATGGCACTCAGTATTTACATGATGAAACTACTCTCAACTACACAGCATCTCCATAGGCATTTCAGAATATTGGAGAATATTGCAGAATATATTCTGTCCACGTGATTCACAGCTAATTGAGTTCATATTGATAGCTTCTGACCTCATCAAGTCTCGTCTGTCTGAAGGGAAAGGGAAGAGTGAAGCCCAGTGGAATGATCTTACTTTCCATTTCATATTTCTCCAGGAAATTGCCGAGACATTCAGCGATGTAGTCAAAGTACTGCAAGCAGAAATGAACAAGAATGATGACCTGCCTTGTTGAGGATTCTTCACATAGTGTTACACAATGCCAATAAAGCGCTAGAACATGGGGGCGCGGGGGGAGGTGGTATCAATCAAGCTCAATCATGTGATATGTGTTCTGGCCATCTATCTAAAGGTGACCACATGTAAGGGTGCCATGCTGATCATTCTTTCTCAACTGGAAGCATAACTGAACGAGGGGAAATCCCAAACCAAAACCAACTGGAAAGGCTGAGTTGAGGTGCAATGCGTGTTGGATATCTACATTTTGAGTCCTGTAGTGTAGTGGTTAGCACGTTCACCTCGCAATCGCCTCATGAGGCCGTCATGATGAAACTGGAAACCACGGGAGTGCATGGCCGAATCCTGGATTTTATTCAGAATGTGTATTACTTCAGCCTCTCTAACCCCACCCTTTCTAACTCCATCCCACAGTCCCTGCATCTCGCTCCCACCCTTTATTCCTTCAAGGCACGTCTCAAGACCCTCCTCTTCGATTGTGCCTTCGGCCACCATCCTTACCCTCCACCTCTGCTGATCCCAACCCCCTGCTCGGTTCCAAATCCCTGACTGTCTAGTGCCTTGGGATGTCCCCCGACTTGGAAGGCACTATACAAATGGAATTTGTTGTTATTTTGAAAGTCCATACAGACAACATCAATTGCACTAGTTCATCAACCCTCTCTGCAACTTCATTGAAGCACTCAAGTTAATTCATTAGCTCCTGTCAGCACGTCGACACCTCAGCATCACCATCCAAGGATGCACACTCCACCTTACTAAGCCAGTCCAGAACCTTGGTGTCCTGTTTGACCCTCAACTATCCTTTCTACCCCATATCCATGCCATGACCCGCTCTGCCTTCCCCCACCTCCGCAACATCACCAGGATCTGCCTCTGCCTCACACCGCAGGCCACCGAAACCCTCATACACGCATTCATAACATCCAGGCTTGACTATGTAAACTCATTGCTTGTCTACCTCCCCAACTTCTCCCTCCATAGGCTGCAGGTCATCCAGAAATCTGCAGCCCGTGTCCTCTCCTGCACCAGGCTCTGCGACCGTATCACTCCCATCTTTGCCCGACTCCACTGGCTTCCCATCAAACAGAGGATACAATTCAAGATCCTGGTCCTCACCTTCAAAGTCCTCCATGGCCTTGCTCCCCCCCACCTCTGCGACCTCCTGAGGCCCTACCAATCTGCCCGCTCCTTTCACTCAGCGGGCTCCAGCCTGCTTCACGTTCCCCGCCTCACCCACCCCACCATTGGCGGGTGCAGCTTCAGCCACCTTCTGGAACTCCATCCCGCAATCCCTCCGTCTCGCCCCCTCCCTTGCCAACTTCAAGACCCTACTCTTCGACCAGGCCTTTGATCACCCTCCTTCCACCCCTGCCCTCCACTCCCCAGCTCAGGTCCGAAACACTAATTGTCTAGCGCCTTGGGACGTCCTCCTGATGTGAAGGGCACCGTACAAATGTTCTTGTTATTGTTGTTAGTTAGAAATAATTTGCCTTTAACAAATCAGTGTGGGCTGTCCTTTAAGTCATGTTTTTCCAAGTGAAAATTTATTTTATCCCAGATTTTGTCAACATCTTTAAACGTTCTGCTCTTTCATCTCCTCCCTAGATTCTGAAACTTTTCCTTCCTATCATTGGTTTCAACATGGACCACAGCTTCTGGCTATTCCCCATCCCTGCAGAATGTTCTGCATCCATTCTGTGACATCCTCTCCCCTGGCACCAGGGAGGCAACACACCATTTGTGGGTTGTCTTTTGTAGTTTCAACATGATAAAAAAAAACTTTCTGCTGGTTCTTTCAGAAGTGCTCGTCTGTGTAATTTTCCTACACTAAACAGCCATACCTGTTCTCCTGAGCCATGTAGGAGTTCCTTTGGGAATGTAAACGTCTCCTTCTTCAAAACGAGTTCTTTTTCATTGGCATTCAATTTTATCCATAAGATATTGAAATTCACTTCAATCAGATGGAGCCCTAGGAAGACTCCCTTTTCTGTCAGAAACACAGAGCAGAAAACCACAACTCTGATCGAAGAGTTCCCCAGACATAATAAGCAATTCAATAACAGATAGGATGAGACAAAAGCAGCCACAGAAAAATGGGACAGGAGATTTTGATCCAACAGGAAACGTTGACAAGCAGAGTGTCACTGAGTGATGCTGGGGTTAGTCACACGGGGTCAGTGTCACACAGGGTTAGTTACACAGGGTCAGGTGATAGTATCACGCCCACCACATGTTAAAACAGAAACACTGACCAGTGCCATCTGGCCTCGTCCTGACGAAGGTTGGCTGCATTAGTAGGGTAGAGTCATTGTGAGTTTCCTTTCTTAGTCCCTTCTTCATCTCCCGCAGCAATCGCCTGGAGATATCCAAGAGCTTCTCCTTGGAAAGATGGAAGGGTTTAAGGTATTGCTGAATCGAATGGACCTGGAGGAAAGGGTTTCAGTCAGTAACAGGTGCACATTCTAACCAGAGAATCCTCCTCCCCAAACAACCCCATACCCATAGCACAATGATGGAGACTAAGGGAATCTCTGAGCCAGGAAACAAGCAGGCAGAGAGAGCTCTGGTCATAGAGAGAGAGGATGTCATTTGTGATTTTGACAAGCACTGCCTCGGGGCTGTGGACAGACAGGTGTTGGGGCTGTGGGCTGGCAGAGACAGATTGTAGACGCTCAAATCGGGGGGAGTGTGAGCATGATGAAGGGTAGGTTTGAGATGAGATGTGAGCAATTTATCAAATTTGAAAGATCAAGTTGGGTTTTTTAAGGAGTGAATTGATGATAGCAGTTTTGAGGGATCAGGACAGTCCCACAGAAAAGAACAGGTTGACTTGTCTGTCGGTAGAGCAAGGGGCAGCAGCTGTGTGGGAAGGAGGTCAACGCAGCAGGTGGTAGGTTTCATATGGATGAGAATGAGTACTTGTATTTATTTGCGATGTATTGATGTTTGCAATAATGGAATTATGAACCTGCAGCATAATGGGAGGTACAGGTAAATACTGATGTGGGGAGAGAAAATATAAGAAAAAGGAATATTATAATAATAACCTGAGCTGCTGTGTGTTCCCAGCTACTTCTGTTCTTTTGTTTTCTAATAATAATAACATTTGATATTGCTACATTTATATCGGTAAGACCTCTCAAAGCACTTCCCAGGATTTACTGTAAAGTGCAGTAACTGTGTATTTTGTAGGTGAATGCAGCAACCAATTTGCACACAGCAATGCCTCACAAACAGCTATGGTTCCAGAAGAAAGAAACTCCCTGCTCTTTTCAAATAGTTCTATGGGCTATTTAACATCCATCTGAACAGGCAGATGGGACCTCGGTTTAACATTTCATCCAAAGGACAGGACCTTTGACATCCCCAGCACCAAACTGGAGTCTCAGCTCAGACTATGTGATCCCAAGTCCACACGTGGGGCTTGAACTCACAACCTTCTGATTCAAAGGCAAGAGAGCTACCATCCCCAGGCATATACCAAGGATTACATCAGGTGGCAAGCAAACAAAAAGATTTGAAGGCCTGGATGGTTTGTTTCTATGCTGTATGTTAATGGGTGAGCTCACCAAAGAAAAATTCCCCTTCAAACTCATGTTGAAATGTATTCTCCTTCAACCACACGCTTCACAAGCTCCACAAATTGAGGACAATATGCAGAGAGTATATTCTTGGCCTTAATTAAAGGAAAGCACACATTAGTAACACAGAAAAACAGAGAGCAGAAAGCCCAGTAGTGTGAGGAGGGAATTGAGTAAGGTGGAACAGAGTGAGAATACCGTTAAGGAATTTGGTGAGAGCGGGAATTCGGTGCAGAGGGAGAAAGAGGTGCACAGTTATAAAATATATAACATTTATATTAAAATAACATAAAATGTGTGGGAATTTGGCCGGACAGCTCTATGCACAATGTAGAAAGTGCCTCCGGCTGCTTGAGCTCGTGGTGTCACTACTTAGCGTACGGGAGGCGGAAAAGTTCATGGATTGAACATTTCAGGAGGTGGTCACTGCATAGTCACAGAGGGTTCAGAAGGAGAGTGAGTGGGTGATCACCTATGCACTCACAAACCGGATCTCCGCACTGAATACCGGTCAGACACCTCTGCGCAGGGGAGTCAAAAGAATAAAAGATGAGTCAAAGGTAAGGTATATTGGGTCTAATTAGGGGCACGAGGGGACTTGGGAAGGAGTGAGAGGGTCTCGAGGTGGATCCGTTGGGGGGTCGGGAGGCGGTGGGGTCGGCGAGGACTGGTGTGACGGGGGACGGAGTGTCGTGGGGGTGAGCGTCCGGGCTGCGGGGTCTCGAGTCGGTTGGACTTCGTGTGCGGTGGAGCCGAGGAGACCGGTCAGGAGGCCACTGGAGTATTCCGGCCGGGAAGTGACCCACAGGGTCTTCCCCACGTTCGGTCCCTGCCCCCGAGACCGCATTTGTCCACCTCCGCCATCGCGCGCCTCCGGGGGAGAGAAGCGACGCCCGTGGAGCTCGGGCCGTGCGGCCGAGACCCTCACCTGACGCTCTCTCTGGAGAACTTTCTGGAAACAAACCGCCGCGCGTTCCGGGGTTCGAACGCAACAATGACGGCTCACGTTTGACCAAAGATCCGCCGCACACAGACAAGAGGGTCCCTCTGTGCCCCCCCACTGCCAGCCCCGCCCCCCACTGCCAGCCCCGCCCCCCCACTGCCAGCCCCGCCCCCCACACTGACAGCCCCGCCCCACACTGCCAGCCCCGCCCCCCACTGGACAGCCCCGCCCCCCACACTGCCAGCCCCGCCCCCACACTGCCAGCCCCGCCCCCACACTGCCAGCCCCGCCCCCACACTGACAGCCCCGCCCCACACTGCCAGCCCCGCCCCCTACTGACAGCCCCGCCCCACAGTGCCAGCCCCGCCCCACACTGCCAGCCCCGCCCCCACACTGCCAGCTCCGCCCCCCCACTGCCAGCCCCGCCCCCACACTGCCAGCCCCGCCCCCACACTGCCAGCCCCGCCCCCACACTGCCAGCCCCGCCCTTACACTGTCAATCCTGCCCCTAACAGCCAGCCCCGCCCTATGCTGACAGCCCTTCCCCTGTCCTGCTAATCCTGCCCCTACACTGCCAGCCTTGCCCTTACACTGCCAGCCCCACCCTACAGCGCCTGCCCCACCCTGACAATGACAGCCCCACCCCTACAATGCCAGTGCTTGTCCTTACACTGCCAACCCCGCCCACTCCTCGCCCCCTGGGGAGGGGCTCCTGGATTTTTCTGTTGGGAGGAGGGGGCGACAGAGACCCCAATGTGCGACTCGGCAGGAAGGCAGTGAGGGGCAGATCAGGATCTGATTCTCTCCTCCTGACACTCTCTTCCCTCCCCTCTACCCTTCTTCTCCAACTTGCCCCTGACCGTCCTTCTCTCCAGCAGATCCCTCTCCTTTTGCCCCGACCTTCACTCTGAATTGACTGTCCCCCCTCTCTCCGTTCCTTTGCTCGGAGGACCCCATCCTCCATTTTGATTGCCTCAGTACTGACTGCCACCGATTTATTTCCTCCCAAGTTATGAAATACAGCATTAAACTTATCGACTGAGGCAGCCCGAGGCAGTGCGAGTGCTGAGTGCCAGAGCAGACCTTCCTTGCTGTTTGCTGCACCGGCGCTAGGTGCCAGTGTCGGCCTATTGCTGCAGCTGAGAACGTTCAATCATTGTTGGAAACTTTCACGTGTTCGGGGCAGTTGAGAATTGACCAAATATGGTTTCCTATCAGCTCTCCGTTTCCCCAGAGAAGGTTCCTGATTTCAGACTCCTGAGCTGCAGCTCGATCGCAGCCCTTACATGGAGTTTCCAGATAATATTTACATCACGAGCGGGTCACTGAATTTACATCACCAAACGGTTCCAGAGCTCTGAGCGCACTGTCTCCCAAGAGGATCGTTTTTGTCAGCTATGGTTAAAGAGTTCGGGCAGTGACATTGCACACACTACATTTCTTTAATTTCTTTATCTCCGTGCGATTCCACAACAGCCAATTTAAAAAGTAGCAACAACGACTCGCCTTTACATAGGCACTCAAAGTAGTTTGCGCAAACAAGCGCGGCACCTCGGTCAGGAGGTTACTCTGGAGCTGAACTGGCTCCAAGGTGACATGTTTGGCCACAGAATGTAGAGATTGAGTCCACCCTCTGTTGCGGTCTTGATAGTCCGGCTCCTGAGCCAGGAGGGTCCGCAGTATTCCAGGGCACTGCTGATGTGTATTCCAGGGTACAGCACAGCTTATCCTTCCACTCAGCTCCTGTTAACCCTGCAAACCAAAGCCGTAACAGGCAGGGTAGTCCTAGCTAGACGAGCAGTGGGAAAGCAGTGTGGGGGCGGGGCTGGCAGTGTGGGGGCGGGGCTGGCAGTGTGGGGGGCGGGGCTGGCAGTGTGGGGGCGGGGCTGGCAGTGTGGGGGCGGGGCTGGCAGTGTGGGGGACGGGGCTGGCAGTGTGGGGGGCGGGGCTGGCAGTGCGGGGGCGGGGCTGGCAGTGTGGGGGCGGGGCTGGCAGTGTGGGGGCGGGGCTGGCAGTGTGGGGGGCGGGGCTGGCAGTGTGGGGGCGGGGCTGGCAGTGTGGGGGGCGGGGCTCTCAGTGTGGGGGCGGGGCTGGCAGTGGGGGGGCGGGGCTGGCAGTGGGGGGCGGGGCTGGCAGTGTGGGGGCGGGGCTGGCAGTGTGGGGGCGGGGCTGGCAGTGTGGGGGCGGGGCTGGCAGTTGGGGGCGGGGCTGGCAGTGTGGGGCGGGGCTGGCAGTGTGGGGGCGGGGCTGGCAGTGTGGGGGCGGGGCTGGCAGTGTGGGGCGGGGCTGGCAGTGTGGGGGCGGGGCTGGCAGTGTGGGGGCGGGGCTGGCAGTGTGGGGGCGGGGCTGGCAGTGTGGGGGCGGGGCTGGCAGTGTGGGGGCGGGGCTGGCAGTGTGGGGGCGGGGCTGGCAGTGTGGGGCGGGGCTGTCAGTGTGGGGGGCGGGGCTGGCAGTGGGGGGGCGGGGCTGGCAGTGGGGGGGCGGGGCTGGCAGTGGGGGGGCACAGAGGGACCCTCTTGTCTGTGGGCGGCGGATCTTTGGTCAAACGTGAGCCGTCATTGTTGCGTTTCGAACCCCGGAACGCGCGGCGGTTTGTTTCCAGAAAGTTCTCCAGAGAGAGCGTCAGGTGATAATAATAATAATAATAATAACAATAACAATAACAATAACAATAATAATAATAGTATTCCTCGCATTTGATAGAGCGCTGTATCGCGTCGTTGCGCCGTCTCAAAGCGCTTCACGGAATAGACTGTAAAGTGTAGTGACTGTACATTCGGGGGTGAAACGTCCCCAAATGCTCCCCCTCCCCCCCCCGCCCTCCCCACCCACTCCCCCCCACCCCCCCCTCCCCCCAATCCCCCCACTCCTCCCCGCTCCCCCACGCCCCCCTCCACCCCCCCGCCCACTCCCCCCACTCTCCCTCCCTCCCCCTCCCCCCCCACACTCCCTCCCCCCCTTCCCCCCACACTCCCCCTCCCCCCCCCCCCCCACTCCCCCGCGTACGTCTCTTAGGTTTGACCTTTCCTGTGTGGCTGACGTGTCGTTTCCTTTAATTCAGGCCACGAGCGGATTCTTTGGCCTCAATTTGTGGTTCGTTTGAAGAGCGCGGTCCAAGGATCATGAGTTCCAGCTCAAATCTGAAGGGAAATGTTTCTACCGTGAGCTCACCTATTCCCACAGTAACTCACGCTGCATAGTGTTACGGCCACAGGGTTTACAGCACAAGGTCCAGGGGAAGCCAAGCGGGTGGCAGGGGAGACCCGCTTGCCTCCCCCTCCGAGCGCTCAGGAGAGGCTTCCTGACAGACCTCGGCGTGTTGAGCTGCGGGAGTGGAAACACCAGCCACTGCTGCAGTCTTGTCAGGTCGTCCCTTCCAGAGGAGTCGAAGCCGAGCGCGGGTCTCCTGACAGCCACATTCCCAGCCCCAACGTGGTTGACGTCCAACAGAACCCAAAGCATATGCTGGGGTTCCCAACCATGGGCTCCTGCCGCTGCAACATAGTGAGTCGCACGGCTGATTAAGAGAGAGAGAGGGTGATTGAGAGATGGAGATGGGGGAGAGGTAGGGGAGAGAGAAAGAAAGGGGGAGTGATTCAAAGACGGAGGGGAGAGAGAGAGTGTGGTTGGGGGGAGTGGAGGGAGGTTGGGGGGGTTGTGATAGAGAGAGAGTAATTCAGAGAGGGAGAGAGAGAAAGAGAGTTTGGCGAAACACCAATTTTTGCTGGAAAGGTAAAGCCTGCTGGAAGACAACCTGGAGTCTCAGTTTGTGAACATGGGTTCATATATCATGAGCATCCACCATGATTGTTTTGCAGAGAGGTAAGAAGATGCTTCTCAAGCACCACACCTGCAACTGCTGGAACAAATCCTGACGTAGGAATGTGTGTTGAAGTTGTGGGCAGGAGATGGTGGCAAATGCTCTCACACATATTAATGCTGAGCTGTGCTGCTCAACAGGATAGTTCTTGTTACCTGCTATCAACATATTGTGGGCTCAACTCTATGCTTGTCAGATGTCAAATCACAAAGTAGTGACAATCCTCGGAGGGTACTCTTGAAGCTGAACTGGCTCTAAGATAACATGATGCTTGACAACAAAATGTCAGGATAGAGTCAATCTTTTGTGGCGGACTTGTTTATCTCGTTTCTGAACCAGGTGGGTCTGCAGTACACCAGGGCATTGCCGATGACAGCCCATCCAGCCTGGCTCATAAGCAGACTTGTGGCAGGAATTCGTCACACTCAGCTCCTGTTAACCAAAACCATAACTAGTAAGGTGTTCCTAGTGGGACAAGCAACCGGAAAGCTTGCCAAACAGAGATATCAATGCTAGTTTATGTGGTTGAGGTCCATCAGTACCTAACGCATACTCTGGGGTTCCCAACTATTGGCTATAACCAGTTTGTACCTAATACTCTCCGGAATTAGGTAAACAGGATGTGTCACTCCAGGGAGACAGTATGCATTCTATCCCAATACACAGGAATTTCCATGTGTAGGGTGAAATGCATGAATTGCTCAGCCTTCTTTGGCTAATTTTGAGCACTTTGGTGATTTTTTTGCACGTGTCAATCGGCGAAACTAAAACAAACATACAGTTGTTACTGACTCTGGACGATTCTCTTTTAGACACAGGACTGCCTCAACAGCTTCAATATTTCCAAAGAGAAGCTACGGGATATCTCCAGGCGGTTGCTGTTGGAGATGGAGAAGGGACTAAGAAAGGAAACACACAATGACGCTACCCTAAAGATGCTGCCAGCCTTCGTCAAGGCGAAACCTGATGGCACTGGTCAGTGATGTGATTATCATGTGGGTGTGGTACTAACACCTGTGTTGCTCAGTGACACTGACCCTGTGTATCTAACCCCAGTGTCACTCAGGGATGCTGAACCCACAAAGATGGGGCCCTTCTCCCATTGCTCAAGGTTAGGCTCTTCCCCCAAATTTTCCCCCATCCATCAGGCTCTTCCTTCCTTGTCTCATGGTGTCAAGCTCTTCTATACCTTTGTCCCATGAGGTTCATCACCTTTACTGACTGCTGCTCTCCCTTGCTCTTTCCCCTATCCTGTTGGGTTGTGCTCTTCCCTCGCCCCACCCCTGTCTCGCAAGGTTATGCTTTATCCATAGGTGCTCTATGGAGTCAAACTCTTCTCCACCATCTTTCCCCAGGCTTAGGCTGTTCCCTGCCCCCTGTCTTGTTTTTACAGAATCAGTTTCACCTTTTATTGCCAAATTGCTAATTGTGTCTGTAGATCTCTTCAATCAGAGACATGTTTTCTTGATCTCCTGACAGAAAAAGGAGACTTCCTGGTAATTCAATTGTCTGGAGTCAATTTCCGTACATTGTGGGTGAGCGTGAATGCCAGCAAAAAGGAACTACTTTTGAAGGAGGAGGCATTTACACTACCAAAGAAAATGCTGCACAGCTCAGGAGAAGAGGTATGAGCATTTCTATTCCAGTTACACAAATGGAAGTTTCTGAGACAGATAATATGAGGATTAAGTAAAGGAAGAATTTATCACATTGAAACATCTTAAAGTGCTTCACAAGTAATAACTTACATTAACCATGTCAATCTCAAACCATCCGTCTTTTCTGCCCATGGAGAAAATTGTTCTCTAACACATGCCTTCTCGACAGCTGAACTCCTGTCCCTATGTTCCAGTTCTCAATACCTCAGATGACTTCTTTTTATTAATCCTAGCTCTCTCCCCATATCTCTTAAACATTTATTGTAATGCTCAGGTGCTTTTCTAGTTAGGCTTCCGTCTTGTTGGCATTAGATGCAAGAAGTTTGCGCTCCTCCTGGCCCTGATGTGTGCCAGAGAAGCTGATAGAACATCGGTGGACCTGAAGTCGCAGCTGGTGAAGGAGACGTAGATTTGTGTATCATCTGCATGCATGTGGAGGTTGACCCCATGTCTGTGGATGACACTGCCAAGAGGGAGCATGTAGATGAGGAAAAGGAGGGGGTCAAGGATGGAGCCCTGGTGTATAAGAGGATTCGGGCTGTGGGGTTGTGGATTATCTCCCTTAACTCCTCCATCCCACTGTCTCCCACCCAACACACCTCCATCTCTTTCTGACCCCAACCCCCACACCCCCCCCATCTCCGTCTCCCCTTTCTTCTGCCCTAATTTCATCTGAACTCCTGCTTCTCTGCCCTCGCGTTGACATTACCTCCTCGGGTCCCCTTTGTATCCAACCCCTAGCTCGGGTACAAACCCTTGATTGACCAGCACCTTGGAAAGTCCGCTTAACATGAAAGGCGCTATATAAATGTAATTTATTGTTGTTGGTTATTAACCCCAATGTCCATTTTCAATTATAGTTCTTTGACTACATCGCTGACTGTCTCGCCATATTCATGGACAATCAAAATATCAAGCACCAGATCCTGTCACTGGGATTTATCTTCTCCTTTCCCTGCAGACAGACAAGAATTGATGAGGTCAGCAGCCTTCAATATGAATTCAGTTAGCTGAATCACATGCACAGATGATATGTAAAATATTCTCCATCCTCTAAGACTGAAATCCCTATGGTGATGCTGTGTAGTTGAGGGTAGTTTCATCTTGTAAATACTGAGTGCCCATCTCTTTACTGTAGGCCTGTCTGGGTGGGACGGCTCTCTGAAGTCTGTCAGGCTGGGGTTGTTCTCTTGTAACATGGGAGCTGCTCTTCTGCTCTATTGAGACTTGTCTGGGTGGAAATGAACCATGATTTGCTGCTGTGGATTCAATTGTATTTGCAGGGGATTCTGATCAACTGGACAAAAGATTTCCATGTCAGTGGAGTTGAAGGCAAAGATGTTGTTCAATTCCTGCAAGATGCCATTCGACGTAGAGGGGTAAGAGACTGAGAGCTGTGTGTAATCCTGCCTTTGTGTATCCAAACCAAGCTGAGATTTCCATGTATCCCACCTACACATGGAGATCCCAGAGATAGATTGCTGGAATGGAATGATACTCTTTCCCTGGAGGGTCTCATCCTGCTTACTTAATTCTGGAATGTATTAAATGCAGGTTTGTAAGAGCCATGGTTTGGGTATCTGTGCATTGGGGTCGAACCAGCTAAAACTGCACAGCTTGCCATTTATATTGCTGATATGAGCTGATTCTGTGACCAAGGTTCTGTTTCTCTGTGACAGGATTACGAAATTGGTGCAGTGGCTGTACTCAATGACACTGTCGGAACTATGATTAGCTGTGGCTATGAAGATCCGAACTGTGAGATTGGATTCATTGTGGGTGAGACACTGAATTAATTTTAAAATTAGAGCTAAGCTGTGATATCAGGAAGCAGTTTTTCATCCGAAGTGTAGTGGAAATCTGGAACTCCCTCCCCTAAAAGGCTGTGGATGCTGGATCTGTTCAAATTTTCAAGACTGAGGTGATTGAGGTGTAAGTATATTAAGGGATATGGGGCAAGGCCAGCTAATTGTAGTTGAGGTACAAATGATTAATAATTATTTGGTTACTCAATCCACATCTGTTTGTATAACACTGCTGTGCGCAATTGGCTGCCCCATTTTGCCCACATAATATACAGTTAGTTCACTTTACAGTATATTCTGTGAAGCGCTTTGAGTGGTCTCAATGATGTGATAAGGCGTTATATCAAATGTAAGGATTATTATTATTATATTATTAATTGCTCTTTTGAAGAACCAGCACAGACTGATCGGCTGAATAACCTTCCTTGTTCTAAAATTTGGTAGAACATCTTTAAAGGTATAATTTTTGGTTTATCTTTCTTTCTGTGACCAAGGTTTTGTTGTTGTTGTTGTTTCTATAAGAATGTTCTCCACTGCTTCCTGAGTGCACAGTGAAGCTGCTTCTGATCCTGGTTCTCTTGGTTCTGCCTTGGAAGGCTGACCATGTTGAATATCAGTACTGAAGGCCAATATCAGCACCTTGGGACAAAGTGAAAGGTGCTTTACAAATGTAATTTTGTTTTTTGATGTTGAAGGAGGGTATCATGCTTATCACGTGCATTAAGCATAGTGACTGTATTTGTATGGAAAGGCGCCAGACAGTTTATGTCCCCACAAATTGTGAAGAAGTGAATAACCATTGGTACTTTAGCCTAGACTGTAAGTTCAGAGACCTGATTTAACCCACAACCTTCTGATCTAGAGGTGGGATTGCTACCAGTTGGGCTAGATTGACACTTGATACACTTCTTCACCCATCGCATTGTGGGTTTCAAGAGCAATGTAGACGAGTATGTGAAGGGTAGAGGCTTGAGGGGTATGGCAGGGCAATGGGATTGCAATTGCAGCTTGCTCTGAGAACCAGTGCAGACTTAATGGGCCAAATGGTCTCCTTCTGTGCTGTAAATTTCAATGATTCTATGAAAGGTTCTATAACAACAACAACAAAATTACATTTGTATAGCACCTTACACGTTAGAAGGACGTCTCAATGTGGCGCGTCGTCGGAATTGAGCTGAGTCCAAGGTGATGTTCTTGGCGACGGAAGTCAAAATAAAGGCAACCCTCTGTGGCGGTCTCAGTTAGTCCAATTCCGGAACCAAGTGGGTTCACAGTATTCTAGTGCACCTCTGATGACACACCAGCCACCCTGGCTCGTCAACAAGATTTAGAAGGGCAGACACTGAGATAAAGGATTCTTCCCACTCAGCTCTTGGTAACCATGCATCCAAGTTTTACCAGACAGCACTTGCAATGGCAACTTGTGTGGTTTTATCTGGGTAAACTCCAGCAGTTACCCCAATACAACCAAATTTCAGCTCTCACTTGCCTGCACTGAATAAGTGGGGTGGATTCTTCAGGGAGAGACTTCTTCTCTAAGCTTTCCTGTACATGCAGAATTGCCCATTGCCTTCCCAACATTGTTCCTCAAATTTTTTGTGTCTTCAATTCCAGGGCCAGGTACAAGTGCTTGTTACATGGAGGAGATGCGGAATGTCGAACTCATTGAAGGCGACGAAGGACGGATGTGCGTGAATGTTGAGTGGGGGGGGTTCGGATCGGATGGCTCTTTGAATGACATCCGGACAGAGTTTGACTTGGAGCTGGACAGTTTATCTCTAGCACCTGGAACTCAGATGTGAGTGATCACTGTCTCCAGACACCCAATTTAACTACGTATTTCTGGTTATCATCAGGATAGGGTTTGGTCAGTGCGAGTCCAGTCACACAGCAGGGCAAATGGGATTACTCAATATATATCGCCAGGTAATTGTTTCACCTTGTATTGGTGCCTGTGAGTCTCATATAGAATCCCAGGTCCCAGGATATGGGACATTACAGACTAGATGGAAAACCTTCCGAAAAGGGAGTGGAACCAGCCAAGAGCTTGATCCACATTGGAGGTCAGGAACAATAAGTGTGAAATAACAAGTCAGGTGGCAGTTGCTAATTGTTAGCTGACCAGTTGAAACTAGCTCTGTCTGAGGCGTATATAAAGGGGAGACTTGCAAGAGCATCAGTTGAACAGCAAATCCAACGGAGTAAGCTGTGAACGGAGTGATGTGGGAACAGAGTAAGACTTAGTGAAGGAATTTGGTGAGAGTGGGAATTAGGTGCAGAGGGGAAGGAGGTGCTAATATTAAAGAAAAGGGAATATGGCAGAACAGCTGAGACCTGTTGCATGCACATTGTGCTACATGTGGAAACTCCAGGATGCTTTGTGTGCCCTGGATAGCCACATGTGCAGAAAGTGCCTCCGGCTGCTGGAGCTGAAGCTCAGGGTTTCTGAGCTGGAGGAGAGGCTGGTGTCACTGCAGTGCATACGGGAAGATGAAGTCTTTATGGATCACACGTTTCAGAAGGTGGTCACCCCGCAGCCACAGAGAGTTCAGGAGGAGAGTTCAGTGGGTGACCACCCGGCATGGTAGGAAGGCGAGACAGACAGGGTAGAAATCCCCCGGGAGTGTGTCACTTAATGTGCTGAGTTGTGTTTTCTGTACTGGTCAGAGTGACGACACTTTGGAAGAGTGCAATCGTTTTGCATTCTTTTGCACAGGCCAAGTGCACTCACTACTGTAAGAAAACAGAAGTGAAGGTGTGAAGATCAGGTGGAAACTGGAATTTCTATGCAACATGCATTCAAACCAACATATCATTGATAAAAATAATCTTTACATTTCATATTAGCGACTTTCATGTCAGGAAGACATCCTAAAGCAGTTCACAGGATACTGTAAAGTGTAGTGACTGTTTTGTTGGCGAGCACAACAGCTAATTTGTGCACAGCAATGTCCCGTAAACAGCCATGACCAAGTGAATGACCGATTTTATTTGAGGGATTGTTGAACGGGTCACAGGGAGAAACTCACTTCGCTTTTCGAATAGTACCATGGGATCTTTAACCCACAAACAGGCTGACGGAGCCTCGATTTAAAATCTGATCCAAAGAATGGCATCTCCAACTATGTAGCACATTCCAAGCTCTGCAATGGAGTGTTATCTTAGACTGCAAGTTTCAAGTCCCAATATGGAGCTTGAAGTCACAACTTTCTGATTCAGAGGTAAGACTGCTACCAGGCTGATACTGCACTGTCGACTGTTACTGCACATCAACACTTTGCGCCTAACTGTGTGATGTTGATTTACACTCAATTCTGTTGGTTATGGTTATACTTTTATTTTGATCTCATTGACACAGATTTGAGAAGATGATAAGTCATATGTACTTGGGTGAGATTGTCCGCCTCATTCTGGTGAAACTGTTGAATGAGAATGTTCTTTTCAGTGGAAAGGCAAAGCCAGTACTGGTGACCAGATGGAAATTTGAAAGCGAGTTGGTTTCTGAAATTGAAAGGTAAATTTCTCAGCACAGTGGCTGCATTAAAACAGATAGAAATTTATATTTGCATTGTAGATGCATCCATTGTGACTGATATTTTATGTGACAGATAGCCTTCAGGAATAATGCAATTTAAATTGTGTTCTCAAGTGATGTAGTGCAGGCTGATATTGGCAGGATTTGAATTTTCATCTGCATTTCCCTCACACAATAACTATATGCGAGGAACATGGGGATCAGTGAGGCAGGAAAATCTGATAGTCAGTCCTCGGTGTTCAAGTGGAATCAATTACAACATTTAAAAGGAATTAAGGGAGAGAGGGAGCTTTCTAATTCGTAGCAGAGATCATCTGCATGGAGGGTAGAAGAGCTGGTGGAAGGGGTGGAGTAGATTGAAAGCTGCAACTTGTAGCTCAACTGCCCTGCCATATTTCCAGAAGTTGAAGTACTCATTATTTAATCAATTTTATTTAGTATTTGTTTATTTACATGCCTCTTATTAATTCCTATTTTTATTATTTCCATATTTAGCAGCTCTTTAGTTCGCCATATAGTTGTGAGATGTATAATTGAATGCTTGCTTTTGTTTTTCAGTTACTCTCTTATATATACAATAATAATCCTTGCATTTGATATAGCGCCTTATCACATCTCAAAATGCTTCACAGAATGTAAAGTGAATTGACTATATTTTTGGGTGAAATGTGGCAGCCAATTGCACACAATAGTGTCCCACAAACAGTTGTGGATTGAGTGACCAATTTTTTTTCACCCTTAGAAAATCGATCCACCAATCAACTAACAACCGGGTTCCTACTTACTGCTAGGTAAACAGAGGCGTGTGGAGTAAGGAAACTTACCCAACGTTTCACCCTGCTGGGAATTGAACCCAGGATTGGTACACGGAAATGACGCCACGTAGTCTTGGCCTTGGTTCAGGCGGGAGATTTTGAAAATGGATCTCCAATGCCTACATCAAACTGTTGGCTGCAACTCCTGCTCACCCAACAGTACCCGGTCCTCACTGGCCTCGCTCCTTGAGACCTCATTCCGGTGTCTGCTGGCCTCACTCCTGCCACAACACGTTGATCTCGTGTAAAGAGAGCAGCTACAAGCTGCATTGGAACAACTCGCTCACTGCCGCCACCCCCACCGATCCTATTTACCTCTTGCCCACTGGCCTCGAATCAGCTCTCGCAAGTGCTTACGCCAGCCGGTCATGCTCCTCTTCTATAAACCTCCTGGTTCCTGAAGCACTGATTGCTCACATCGTTGCAATCGCTGCTCACGTCTGCACACCCGCCTTCTCACATCTGTGCATGCCTGGAAACCTTCCTGTCTTTTCCCGTACCTTTAATTTATTCAGTTTTCTGTCTTATATTCTAGTGAAAAAAGTGGACTTGATAAAGTAAAGAACATCCTGAAGGATTTTGTGCAGGATCCTAGTGAGTTGGATTGTACCAATGTCCAGCAGATCTGCCGTGCTGTATTCAATCGCACTACTAACATCTGCGCTGCTGGTCTTGCTGCAATCTTGACCAGGATAAAAAAAAACAGGAATCTTTCTCGTCTCAAGATCAGCATCGGGGTGGGTGGAACTGTTTACAGAGAACATCCCAAGTAAGTGACGTTGAGAGATTTTGTCGCACAGCAGGTATTTCGAAACATGTAGATATGCAGCTGCTTCTCAAGCCTCACACCTCCAACTAGTGGAACATCACTCAGTGATGTGTGTGCCAAGATGTGGATAGGAAGATGGTGGATAGGAAGATGGTGGAAAAGCTTTCACGTATTTCAGATCAATGGTCTGTGGCAGTCTCGGGAGAGACTTGCCATCTTCATCCAACGCCTCTCCTCCCTCATCCACCGCAGTGGGACCACACTCACCTGGTTCGAATCCTACTTAACCAACTGCCATCACTTCATCTCCGCAAGCAGTTTTTTCTGCACAGTCACCTGAGGCATACCCCAAGGCGTCATCCTTGACACCCTTCTTTTCCTGAATTACATGCAATAAAAAGATGAATAGAATGGGTATTCTAGAAGGATAAGATCGAATGAGTGAAAGAACCTTTTTCATCTGAATCTCTCTTGTGATCATTCCATATGATACATTCCCCTCCCGTTATTCATGTTTTCACCTTCAACATTGATTTGCAGTTGTGTTAAATGAGTGTAAGCACTCTGTACAGAGAGAATCAGAAGTGTACTTTGTGATTAATTCATGATTCTGGAATGCCTTTCATTAATTCCTGGAGACAACTAGCACCATTAATAGAAGGAAAATAAGAACATTTGCATGAATATTGCATCCTTCATGTGGGGTAGCATTTCAGAGAACTTAAAATGGAGTCAAATCATAAGTTGGCATGAGAGGAGAAAATAACCCTCTAGTTTCTTGTTTTACATCTGAGCTTGGACTTACTACTATGAAATGATCTGTATGTCTGTAACTAAATGTTTAAAGCCTAAACCATTTGTCCCTGTTTTTGTGTTAGGTTCCAAAAAATCCTGAATGCTGCTATTAAATTGCTGACTCCAGATGTTGAATTCAAGTTTCTTCTCTCTGACGATGGTAGTAGTAAAGGTGCGGCATTGCTTACAGCTGTGGCCACCCGACTTGCTGCCCAGCGTTATGAGATCAACAAGATCCTCAATCCATTCAAACTAACCCATGAGAAGCTCACCAATCTGAAGCAAAGGATAAGGAAGGAGATGGAAATGGGTCTAAAGGCAGAAACCCACGATAAGAGCTCGATTGCTATGTTGCCAACATTTGTAAACCATTTACCTAACGGTTCAGGTGAGATATTGTGGAACTTTCTTTCCTAAATTCTGCAATTCCTTTACACTTGTGAAAAATTGAATGGATGTTAATACTATTACTCACAATAAATTACATTTGTATAGTGTCTTTCACATTGGAAGGACGTCCCAAAGCGCGGATAGTCAAGGATATGCACCCGAGCTGGGGGTTGGGATCAGGAGGGGTGGAGGGCAGTGAAGATGAGGGTTGGGTTTATGGGTTCATATAGTCTGGTGTGGAAGAGGACCACAAGCTGCAGGGAGGCAGAGAGGGAAAACAGCTTGTGGAGGGAAGAGTTTGGAAGACCGAGAAGCAGGCAGTTAACGTAATCGAGCATGGATGTGATGAATGTATGGATGAAGGTCTCGGCAGCCTGAGGTGAGAGTCAGTGGCAGAGCTGAGGGAGGGCAGAACAGGTTCATGGCATGGATGTGGGGTTTGAAGGACAGTTGAGGGTGAAACAAGACACAAAGGATCCATATTGGCTAAGTGAGGTATAGAGTGTATCTACGAATGCGTATAGGAGGGCATGGTGGGAGCCAGTCAAGAGCGCTCAGTCTTGTTGACATTCAATTGAAGAAAGTTAGCTCTCATTCAGGAAGTCTTACAAATAATCCGACAGGTCAGCAGTGGTCTTGCAGTCAAAGGTGGAGGTAGAGAGATAGAGTTGGATGTCATCCACATGGAAGTTAATGTGGAAGTGTGTGAATGAAGTCATGATTACCCCCGGAAAGCAATCCACCAATCGACTGACAACCAGGTTGCTACTTACTGCTAGGTAAACAGAAGCTTGCGGAGTAAGAAAACTTGCCTAAGGTTTTGCCCTGCCCGGGAATCAAACCTGCGTCCTCTCGCTTGTGAGGCCAGCCAGCACCATGCTATGGGACTCCACATTTGTAGTTTTAAACAGAGGCACACAGAGTTGGATTTTGCATTAAGGAGAAGAAACTTGATGGGACATGATCCAGATTTTTAAACAGCAGAGGCTCAGGCGATGTTGACATGAGAACTCTGAGGCCACACAATGAACACAGGGAAGACCTAAACAAAACAGGTTCAAAGGTTCAAGCCTCAAGTGAGATGGGATATCTCAAACTCCCAACAAAACTACATGGCTATTCTGGAGTTTTGTTCAATTTACTCTTTGGCTCTAGATTTTTGCAGGACATTTATTCCACAGGTGAAAAAAGTAGAATTTATGTGCTCCGTGGACGGAGTGAGCTCGACAGCTTTCATGTGAACTTAGGAACAGAACAAAGTGGGGTTTTTCTGTTGAATCTCGGTACAACACAACGGATTTATACAATGGAACAAAAGCGCTTGGGCAAATGGCAGAGAGTAAAAACATGAGCTGCGTAGTGAGTTTTCTTATTTGCACATTCATTTTCAGAGCAGGGCAACTTCCTGGCACTGGAAATTGGAGATTTTATTCGCTTCTTACTGATAAAGATTTCCAATCCAGACGAACGAGAAGCTGACACCATATCTCAGTCCTACAACATTCCCACCGATGTGCTCGAGAGCACTGGAGTGCAGGTATTGAAAATAAACCGATAGAGTTCAACTCCTGTGTATAAACCTGACTAGTCAAAACAGCATTGGAGCTCTGGACTCAGAAATTATTTCAGTTTATGATATGTTGTGACCAGAGCCGGATTAACTTTGATGAGGGCTCAGGGCTATTTTAGGTTTGGAGGTCCCTCTTTGCATGTCCCATTCCTTCCGTTTAATGTTTTAACACCACCCAACTCCATGGCAATGCCAAACACTCTATTGCTAATTTATCTCGGTTATTTTCCGTTTTTTAAATGTGACTTAACAATTGTAAAGCTGAACCAAAGTTTAAAACAAACAAAACATGAGGCCGTCATGATGAAACTGGAAGCCATGACTGAATCCTGGATTTTATCCGGAATGCACTGCCTGAAAGAGTGGTGAAAGCAGATTTGATAATAGCTTTCAAGAGGGAATTAGATATGTACTTACAAAGGAACTATTTACAGGGTTATGGAGTAAGAGCGGGGAAGTGGAACTAATTGGTAGCTCTTTCAAAGAGCCGACACAGCCACAATGGGCTGAATGGCCTCCTTCTGTACTGTAAGATTCTATGATTTGTTATTCCCAGCTTTTTGATCATGTTGTGGAGTGCATCGCTGACTTTCTGCGAAAGAATAAAATTGAGGGAACTCTGCCGCTGGGATTCACATTCTCCTTCCCCTGTAAACAGACCAAACTGGATGAGGTGAGGTTGGACATATGCGTTATATAGAATGGTACTTTATAGGTGAAGTAATGAATCATGTCAAGCAATGTGAGGATAATGAGAGGGTAAGCTCGAGATAGAATAGTAAAATGCGGGGTGTTGGAGTGAGAGTTGATATAACACTGGTGTGAGAGTTGTATCCAGAAGTGCTGCTGGAGTGAGAGTGATAGACACAATTGTGCTGGCGCATTTGCCTACAAATACACAGTCACTCCATCTTAGAGTAATTGCTGTGAAGTACTTTGACACGTCCTTCTGACATAATAAGGCGCTCTTCCAAATGATTATTATTATTGTTATTACGGTTTAAATCACTGTGTAGAGAGAGATTCTAAGTGGTTTTCAGTGATGGTCAGCCAGACCAATAACACCGCCATGTTACATATGAATGGATATTACATTTCTTAATTTATTTGAGCTTCCTAAAATAGCTACTTTTTGCAGGAAGTTGATATTTTGTTCCCCAGGTAATTTGTCAAACCATTTTTGAATAGTTTTATTGACAGTCCCAGTTGCACTGATGATTATTGGAACTAGGTTTGATTTACATTGCCACGTATGTCCGCATTCAATTTGTAGATCGATATATTTCCTGATCAATCCCTAGTTCCTCATTTTTCACATTGTAATCACTTGGGATAGTGTAGGAGGGTCAGAGTGGTGCCTAGAAAACAAAACTTTAACCAAAGTTTGTTCACCACAGGAGAGAAGGAAGATGCAGAGGTGGAAAAGCAGATATTTTGCCACTTTCAGATTCTCTTCTACTAATTCTTCTAATGTATGCTACGCAGGAGGTTGTTGAATAAGGAAAAAAGAGAAAAATGGACCACTTTGTCATTTGAATGCCGGGGACCTTCACACTTGATTGAGGCAGAAGCTGCTGCTTAAATTCTGCACCTTCTATTGGTGGAACCATCGCTTAATGGGAAGGAATGTGTGCCTGAGCTGGGACAGGCAGAGGGTGGCAATACTCTTACGCATTTTATGCTGAGATGTGTTGCCCACTAGGAAGTTCCTTGAACCTGCCATCCACCTAGTGAGGGCTCAAACCTGTGCTTGTCGGATGTCAAACAACAAATTAGTGACTGTGGGGTGGAGGGGGAGATCTTCTTGAAGCTGAACTGGTCCAAGGTGACATGCCTGGCAATAGAATGTTGGAATCGAGCCTGCCTGCTTGGTAGTCCAGTTCTTGAGCCAAACGGGTCTGCAGTATTCCAGGGCACTCCTGGTTCATCAGCAAGACCTGGAAGGGTAGACCAGTCACTGGGGGGAGGGAGTCATCCCACTCAGCTCTTGTTAACCCTGTAAACCAAAGCCCTAATGGGTAGGTGGGTCCTAGCTGGACAAATACTGGGAAAGCTTCCGAACAGCGATATCAATGACAAGCTATGCAGTCCAGCAGTTACCCCACACTCTGGAGTTCCAAGCCTTGGCTCTTGCCAACCTGCACATAATACTTTGGGGAATTAGGTAAGCAGGATGCGTCCCTCCAGGGAAAGAGTGCGGACTCCATTCCAACAATCTATTCTGGGATTTCCATGTTTAGGTGGAATGCATGGACATCTCAGCTTGCTTTAGAGACTCTTAAGCATGGTGATGGGTTTCTGCATGTGTCAGACAGCCAGCTGACCAAAAATCTTGCCCTGCCATCCCTCAGGTCCTTAGTGGTATTTCCTTGTTCAGTTTTGTTTTTATTTGTCAAAAACAAACTGATTAGCGACACCCCTTTTTGATTTTTCCTTATTCTAAGGTTTAACACAGCAGTGTGTGGATGATGCCTACATTCAAAGAATGAGGAAGACCCTTCAAAGTAGGTGATCTCTCTTTACTTACCAATAAGGTCTTCTTTCTTTGAATATAATGAACTCCCACACACGCTTTCTCCTTTCTCTCAGCCTTTGGGCACAATCTTACAAATTATTATTTATAATTGGTCAAAATTAAGTGAGGATGCCAGAAATGATACATCTTGTGGCAAAGGCACGATGGGCCAATTGGCTACTTTTGTGCAGAAAAATTCTTTTTATAGCATGATAATAATTGTTGCATTTGGTATAGCTCATGTCATTGAGATGTCCCAAAGCGCTTCACAGGATACACTGTAAAGCGGTGTGACTGTATATTTTATGGGTGTATGCAACAGCCAATTTGTGCACAGCAGTATCCCACAAATACCCACAGAGTGCGTGACTGATTTTACCTGGGAGATTGTTGGCCAGGACCCTGGGAGAAACTCCCTTCTCTTTATATTTGTGCCATTGGATCTTTAACATCCACCTGAACAGGCAGACGGAACGTCGGTTTAATGTCTCATCTGAAGCATAGCATATCCAACAAAGAGGTACACCCCAGCATTGCATTGGTTCCAAGTCTGGTCATTGGGCTTGAATCCACAAACTTCTGACTCAGAGGCAATAGTGCTGCCAACTGTGCCAGGCTGATGGTGGTATTCATGGGTGTGACATAGCGAACTAGAAATGCTTAAGGGCTTTTTTTCTGACTGTAAAATCCCCAACATTTTGTGAATCCAGGTAGACCTAATCCTTTGGTGTGTGAATATGTTATCACATTTGAAGAATGAAGACGTAATCTTGCTTTTTTCTTCCAGTGCCAGCCTGAATTTCTGACCCACACTCGCCTTAATGATTTTTCATTTGTCAAAGAAAATCTTGCTTTTGTCAATTTCTTTGAAGATGTACCATTGTTTAATGCCTCTTGAGTAAAGCCACACCTCTTGCATTTGATGGCTCCCTCGTAATCATTCTCCATCCAGTAATATTCTTGGCCTCACTATTCCTTCTCACAATCTTGGGCAGAATGCAACAAAAAGATATTCTGTTGGGTGATCTTTCTCTCACCTCCAACCATCTCTCTTTCTCTTGTGATCTGTTTTGTTGATCCTGATCTCGACCCGTGGATCTCAAACTATTAAATAATATTTATAATCCTTGCATTTGATGTAGGGCCTTAGCATTTTGTTGAGACATCTTAAAGCGCTTCACAGAATATACTGTAAAGTGAATTGACTATATAGTTTGTTAACGAAATGCGGCAGCCAATTGCACACAGCAGTGTCCCACAAACAATCATGGATTGAGTCGCCACGTTTTTTTATCCCTTCTTCAGCCAGTGGTGCTCGGGGAGAGGGTGCACACACATGCCCTGCGGCGCTCCCTGTGAACTGTCGTCCAGCCTTCAGCAGCACTGAGCCCAACTGCCGGGCACTGTGCGACATATACACTCATCCTCCCTCCCCCAAACTGGGAAATGCTTCTTTGGCCACACAAAATTCTGCGGGTGATTTGACCACAATGTCCGCATTTGGGAAATGTTGTTCTATGCAGCTGTGATCTTTTCTGTCTTGTTCCTCGCAATTCATTGTCCTGTGAATTCTTCCACCTCCCTCTGTCAATACGCGGTTTCAATAAAGATTCATTACACCCTTACAATAATTAATTCTTTCACAGAACTAAGGAATTTATTCCCCCTCGGAATCTCCTTTTCCTCCTAAAATCAATGGGTATTTAAAGGCCAAGCTTAAGTATCACCTGGTCATTACTTAATCATAGAAGTTGCTTGGAAAGAGTAGCCCATTCAAACCATTGATCTTCCTGGAGCTAACCTGTACGGTGGGCATTGGCCCTTCACTTGGGTCTCTCCGTAAGAGATTTTGATCAGTTTTTCAGTTATTGTTGTTCTGCTGTGCAGGGCTTTCTCATAAAATGGACCAAGGGACTGAAGATAACAGGCTGTGAAGGGAAGAATGTGGTGCTTCTGTTGCGAGAGGCCATTTCTCGCAAAAAAGAACTTACTCGTAAACTGAAAGCAACACACAAACTACCTCCTACATTTTCCCAGGATATTGATTTGGAAATTGTTGCTTTTGTAAATGACACGGTTGGAACAATGATGGCTGGTGCTTTTAAAGACCCAAAGTGTGAAATTGGCCTTGTTGTGGGTGAGTACCCCATTGCACAGATTATTAATTTGAAGAGCTACTGATGGGTAATACTGAGGGATCTTCAATCGTGGCCTTTTTTCCACTAGACAATTTTTACACTTTGCCGGATTTCTACAATTGCAATGAGTCATTTTTTAATTATTGTAATTTGCGCATCAAACCCACTTTATTAATTTCACAATTTAGGCCTCATTCTTGAGTGATAAATAGTCAGTAAATCAAACCAAAAGAGATCTACAAACAATAATCCTTGTATTTGATACAGCTCCTTATCACTTCTTCGAGACATCTCAAAGCGCTTCACAGAATTTACTGTAAAGTGAATTGATGTATATTTTGTGGGCAAAATGCGGCAGCCAATTGCGCACAGCAATGTCCCACAAACTTGCATAAGCTGTATCATATATGACTTATGTAAGAGACCTGTAGTGTATTGATTAGAGCACTCGCCTCACAAGCGAGAAGACATAAGAACATAAGAATTTGCTAGGTTCAAGAAGACCAAGGTTCATCCACTTCTCCTTCCACCAAACTGGCAGTCGCATGACATGTCGTGTCTCAAACTATACCAAGTTATTATTTCCTAACAGAACACTATCTAATTTGTTCTACCAGCACTCTTTACACTTTGATATTGATCTCTTACATGGAACCTTATCAAAGACAATCTGAAACAATAATCACTGCATTATTCTGTTATCCTGCATTGCATTATCCTGGGTAGGAGGAGGCTCATGTGAAGCATAAACACCGGACAGTTGGGTCAAATAGCCTGTCTCTGTATATTCTAATGTATCCTCATCTACACTTTGAGATGTCTCGAAGATGTGATAAGGTGTTATATAAAATACAAGGATTATTATTATATTATGCTCTTTTATTACTTAAAAAAAAGATTGGTCGTTTGACCAATTCTATTCAGGAATCTGTACTGACTGTTCCCGAGAAAGATTTTTCTCCAGATGCTTAGCTATTTTTTTTCAGCGTTGACATGAGATGAACTGGCCTCATCTTGTTTCAAACATTTCACCCAATTCCATGTATCAGCTTCAGTCACACAATTACTGATTCTAGAGTTTCTCTCTCTCTCTCATGTCTCAAGGCTATGACTGCTTACTGTATGACAATCTCACACTGTGTCTGCAGGAACCGGCACCAACGCATGTTACATGGAGGAGATGAGGAACATTGAGATGGTGCTTGGCGATGAAGGACGAATGTGCATCAATACGGAGTGGGGAGCATTTGGGGACAATGGTTGTCTGGAAGACATTGTCACATCATATGACAAACAACTGGATAATTATTCTCAGAACCCAGGACAACAAACGTAAGAAATTCTGCCCCAACCTGCTCCCTGATTAAAGTTCCAATCTGTAAGGTGCTTCTTATATTGAGAAAAGACATGCTTTGTCTTAATTGGGTAACATCACACGCTACTGGATTCTCTGCTCCTGTCACTTCACGAGGTTCTTTCCTGAGGGAAATCATGCAAGTGATCATTTGATTCTTCCCTCTTTGGTTCTATCACAGTTAACTAAATATAATAATCCTTGTATTTCATATAGTGCTTTCACGTCTTCTAGATGTCTCAAAGTGCTTCACAGAATAGACTGTAAAGTGAATTGATTGTGTATATTAAGAGAATGATCAAGTAAAATGGTTAGATGAGTAAAAACAGAGGGTGTAGATACTAAATATTGTGAATATCTTCCCATCTTGCGGCAAACATTCAGGATCATGTCTGCAGTGGGTCCATTATTACATCTCATTTGCTTCCACTCTGCAAGAATAACATCAGCTTGCATTTATTTAGCATCCTTCATGTAAAGTAATGTTTCAGAGTGTTTTAAAAGGACAGGGTTGGATGCTAAATAGGTGAGGGTGACATAGACTTGTTCAAAGAGGTAGGAGTTAAATAAAATAATCCTTGCACTTGATACAGCATCTTATCATGTTGTTGAGAAGTCTAAAGGCTTCACAGGAAGTACAGTGACAGTGTGTATTTTGCAGATGAACGCAACATCCAATTCGCACACAGCAATGTCCCACATTAAATGAATGACCAGTTTTATCTGGGGGATTGTTGGCCAGCATACCAGGAGAAACTCCCTTCTCTTTTCAAATTGTGCCGTGGGATCTTAATGTCCACCTGAACAAGCAGACAGGATCTTGGTTTAATGTTTCATCTGAAGAACGGCACTTTTGACAATACAGTGCTGGTTTTGGAGTATGAATATTAGGTATTGGAGTTTAGACTACATGAGTTCCAAGTCCTTAAAGAGAACCTTAGAAATTTTGTGACTCTTTTGAGAGCAATCCCTTCGGTCCAATTTACCTGCCGTTTCCTTGAAATGAATCCACCGGAAACAGGAACACAGTGAAGACTGGCAAGGAGGGGGTGATAGATGTGAGGTGCAAGTGAGGATGCATATGGTGGAGTTTGGGATGATTGTACCTTCTGAATGGTGGAGCAAGGAAGAACAGTGAGCAGAACACTTTCTACAAACAACAAAATGATCCTTGAGGTTCTGCTGATGTCTTTATTCGTCCATGTAAATTTGACATCCTTCCTCCCTTTCCTCTTCCCTCACTCCACTAACCTTGCATCCTCCACCAATTCTTCTAACATCCTCCCAGTCACATCCACTCACCCTTTTGTTTAAGAAACAATTAAAATCTCCTCCCAAATCACATTCTCAGTCCTCAACACTTCTATTTAGTAATTTAATTTCAAGGCTCAATTATGGAAATTCCCTCCTCATTGGCCTTCCCAACTCTTCCCTTCACAAGCTGCGGATCATCCAAAACTCTGCAGCTTGTATACTCTCACACGCCAGGCTCCGGGTCCCCATCACTCCCACCCTCGCCCCACTCTGACTCCCCATCTCTCAGAGGATTGAATTCAAGATCCTCGTCCTCACTTTCAAGGCCATCCATGGCCTTGCCCCCTCCTACCTCTCTGACCTGTTGACTCCCTACCAACCTGCCCCCTTCCTCCGTTCAGCGGGCTCCGGCCTGCTCCATGTCTCCCGCCCGACCCGCCCTACAATCGGTGGCCGGGCTTTCAGCCTCTCTGTCCCGACACTCTGGAACTCCATCCCACAGTCCCTTCACCTCGCTTCCTTTCTTGCCTCCTTCAAGGCTGGTCTCAAGACCTTCCTCTTCGATCATGCCTTTGGTCTCCCTCCAACCTCTCTGCCTTCCCTCACCCCTACACCACCCCTCCCCCATGCTCGGCCCTGACCCCTGACTGTCCAGCGCCTTGGGACATCCTCCCGAAGTGAAAGGCGATCTATAAATATAATTTTCTTGTTGTTAACCCTTTTGTGCACCTCTGAACACGAACAGAAAACTGCACTACACTGGCAAAGTAGCTTGTTAGCGAGGCTGCTGTATCTGACCGCTCTGTCCTCTCCACAGGTATGAAAAGCTGATCAGTTCTATGTACCTGGGTGAAATTACCCGGACTATTCTCATCGATTTGACTGAAAAAGGAATCCTCTTCCATGGCAAAATCTCAGAACAGCTAAATACAGAAAACATATTTAACGAAGTCATTCTCGCACAGCTTGAAAGGTGACTAAATCATTGATCACACCCAGGTCGCGCTCCCCAGTCTCCCTCCCAGCTCACATTCCCCATTCAGTTTGTATAAATTGCTTTGAAACATTTTCCTAACATGAAAGACTCTATATAAATGAAAATTGTTGTCTGATGTCTGCTCTTCTCTGTATTAACAGAGATGACATCGGACTGTTGCAAATACGTTCAATCCTTCAAAACCTTGGATTGGAAAGCACGTGTGATGACAGCATGATTGTGAAGGAGGTGTGTCTGACCACGTCTAAACGAGCAGCTAATCTCTGTGGCGTTGGCATTGCTAATGTCGTGGAGAAAATAAGAGAAAACCGAGGACTGGAAGAACTAAAAATCACTGTCGGAGTGGATGGCACTTTGTACAAGTTACACCCACAGTAAGCAGCTATAAGTTTAATTCCCACTTGGGATGTCGCTACCTTTAGTTATTTTCGGGGACTGAAACCAGGGTTAGGGTTAGGACTGGACCATCTGACAATCACTGTTGCAGTGACTGGCTCTTTGTACAATGTGGACCCACAGTAAGTAACTTCTCAAAAATTCTGGAAATGGTTTTAATTCTCATGTGTATGTGTATTTCCTTTCATTGTTAAAACATACCACATAGTAGGAGACTATACTGCCCATTTTTCCATGTCAGAGTTTGCTCCTTCAAGAAGCCAACCATTCTTATTCCTTGCTCTTTTCCATATCCTCTAATTGCTGTCCTGTAGCTCAGTGGTTAGAGCACTCGCTTTGCAAGCGAGAGACCTGAGTTCAATTCCAGGCAGAGGGCGAAACCTTGGGCAAGTTTCCTTACTCCACACAGAGCCTAATAATAATCCCTCCAAAACCAAAACAATAATAAATTGATCATTTTCAATCTACGACTGTTTGTGGGACATTGCTGTGCGCAATTGGCTGCAGCGTTCGCCCACAAATATACAGTCAATTCACTTTACAGTGTGTTCTGTGAAGCGCTTTGGGACGTCCTCCCGACGTGAAAAGCGCTATATCAAATACAAGGATTATTATTATTATTATTATACTCTTCCTCTGCCTGTGCTTGTCAATTCTTTCTTAAATGTCACAATCAAATCTAGTTAATCGGGAATCCTATTTTTAGCTCACCATAATCTTTTTTTTCCAGTCAAATTGCCTGGATCTTCAACTTTTCCTTCCATATAATAATATTTGTAATACTATTTTCCTTCTACATGTTCACAGTGAATCTAGCCATATTGTGGTCACCATTACCCAAATCCCACTAAGTTTCAGCTCCAACTTGCTCCACTTCATTCCCCAACAGCAGGTTAACTTATGATTTCCTTCCTGGTTGGAGAAGTAACATATTTATTTTTATAACAAAAACTTTTGACTCTTAAATGTAACTCTTCTGGAATTTGAAAATCATTGTCATGCTGCCATTTATCTCATTCTGCTTCTCATCACAGTTTTTCCAGAGTTGTGGAGGAAACAGTGAAGACACTTGCCCCAAAGTGTGTGGTTAAATTCACGATGATAGAAAACGGATCATGCTTGGGTGCAGCTCTTGTTGCAGCAGTTATGTGGCAACAACGAGAGCTAGGATAACAGTCCGAATGTGTCTGAGTTGAAATTGGCACTGCAGGAATTTGTAGTGCAAAATCAGGCTAATACTGTGAATAATTGGTGTCAGCTTCAGTGACTCTGCAGAAGATGATTGCAACAAGAGGTGTTAATCTACCCTTACTGTTTCCTCATGTGAGACCAGACGGACAAACGACTGTCTAGACCTCATGGATTTATGGATGAGCTCCTTGAAATGTGCTCCCTGGTCATAGGCTCCTCCGAAATAAATGACCTACAAAATATGCTCTCTGGATATTTGTTACTCAGACGTAGGCAGAAGGGAATTTCTTCTCGGTTTGGGACATTGCTGTGCATAAAATGGCTGGCACATTTGCTTCCAGATACACAGTAACTACATTTGACAGCAATTCCCTATGAAACACTTCTAAATATTACAAAATAGCACCGCATCAAATATGAATGATTATTTAGCAAGACATTTGCTCCCTGAAGATAATAATAATAATCCTTGCATTTGACAGTGTGAAGTCCTATAGCCCGTAGTTAGAGTACTCGTCTCGCAAGTGAGAGGACCTGGGTTCGATTCCCGGCAGGGTGAAACCCTGGGCAAGTTGGGCAAATTGGGCAAGTTTCCTTACTCCACATGTCTGTTTATCTAGCAATAGGAACCTGGTTGTTAATCAATAGGTGGATCACTTTTCCAGGGATAATAATTCCTTCAAAAAATGTATAATAAATTGGTCACTCAATCCACGACTGTTTGGGTACACTGCTGTGTGCAATTGGTTGCCGTGTTTCACCCACAAAATGTAGTCAATTCACTTTGCAGTATAATCTGTGAAGTGCTTTGAAATGTCCCAAACAAGTGATAAGGTGTTATATCAAATGCAAGGATTATTATTATTATACAGCACTTTTTACGTCTTTGAGATGTCTCAAAACGCTTTACAGAATATACTGTAAAGGGAATTGACTATATTTTGTGAGTGGAACACGGTAGCAAATTTTGCACAATAGTGTCTCACAAACAATCGTGGATTGAGTGACCAGATTTTTTTTTAAATTACTTTTTTTTAAGGGATTATTGCCCCAGGAAAGTGATCTGCCAATCAACTAATAACTGAGTTCCTACTTACTGCTAGCTAAACAGGCGTGTGGAGTAAGGAAAATAATAATGTATTCCTGTGCTTTATGTTCCTCCTGTGCATTCAACACTGCAGAAAAGTCTTAAACTTCAGTCTTAATATGGAAGATGGTTTCTTTTTAAGAGCTACAGAAAACTGGATTCCAGTTTAAAACTTAATTTAAGAATCTTCAACAATTCTGCATCACCTTCAATCTTAAAACAAAATGGTCTTATATTTATATAGCCTTGGCATAACACTAATGTCATGTTTAGATGTTAGCCGTGGTTCTCGGATGTGTTACGAGTTTAAATTTGCTGTTGTTTATGAATTAATGTTGCAAATAAAAGTAGTTCAGTTACTATCAAACACGGCCGGAATCTTTGTGCTTTACTTGAATTTCTGTGATCTCACTTGCATCGGGACTAATCTGGGATTTATACAGTCAATTCACTTCACTTATACAGTCAATTCATCCTGCAGTCCCACCGCCTCACCCCCTCCTTTGCCTCCTTCAAGACCCATCACCAGTCTGGAACAGTTTCACCTTGCTTCCCCCGCTGGCCTTCACCCTTCCCAATCCCGACTCCCAGCTCGGGTCCAAAACACTGACTGTCCAGCACCTTGGGACGTCCTCCCGACGTGAAAGGCGCTTTACAAATGTTGTTGTTGTTGTGGTGGTGGAAGCTGGCCACGTGGTGGTGAGTTGGGATGCAACTGTTTGAGACTGAGACTGCTTGAGCGTGTCTCTTGGAATTCTTGTAAAAAATAATAACAATAATAATAATAATAATCCTTGCATTTGATATAGTGCTTTTCACATCTTCTAGACGTCTTAAAGCGCTTCACAGAATATACTGTAACGTGATTTGACTGTATATTTGTGAGCAAAACGCAGCAGCCAATTGTGCACAGCAGTGTCGCATATCAGTTGTGGATTGGGTGACCAAATTATTATTTTTATTTTCTGAGAGATTATTATCAGGCATGTGGAGCAAGGAAACTTGCCTAAGGTTTCGCACTGCCGGGAATCAAACCCAGGTCTCTCTTGCGAGGCGAGTGGTCTAACCATTAAGCCACAGGACCTGTGCTATTCTGTGCTGTTGTTGGAAGTGAAAGGACTGAGAGCAGAAGGAGAAGTTTTGAAATACTTCTCCCAATTGTTTGGAGAAGGTATATTGGGGACACTTAAAAGAATTGGATGAGTGCCTTCAGAGAGAGGGTATTAGAAGGATGGGGAAAGAGCAGGGTATTAGTTCCAGAGAAGCAGCAAACACTGACAGGAAAAAATTGGACCAAGTGATAATAATCCTCACATTTGATATACAGTTAGCTCTTTATCACGTCAATAGGACGTCTCAAGTCACTTCACAATAAAGTGTATTGAAAGTGTATACTGTAAAGTGAACACCTGTTTACCTAGCAGTAAGCAGTAACCCGCTTGTTAGTCAATTGGTGAATCGCTTTCTGGGGGTAATAATCCCTCCAAAAATAATAATAATTTAGTCACTCAATTTACGACTGTTTGTGGGACACTGTTGTGCGCAATTGGCTGCCGCGTCTTGCCAATAAAATGCAGTCACTACACTTTACAGTATAATAATCCTTGTGTTTGATATAGCGTTTTTCACGTCTTCTAGACGTCTCAAAGGCGCTTCACAGAATATACCGTAAAGTGAATCGATTGTACATTTGTGGGTGAAACGGGGCAGCCAATCGCGCCCGGCAGCGTCCCCACCAACAGCGACCAAACTATTAGCGTTTTTTTTTGCGGGATTATTACCCCCGGAAAAGCGATCCGCCAATCAACTAACAAACGGGTTCCTACTGACTACTGGGTAAACAGAGGCGCGTGGAGGGAGGAAACTTTTTCTCGTCCTGTCGGGAACAGGACCCGGGTCTCTCGCTTGCGAGGCGAGCGCTCTAACCACTGAGCTATTATTCCGTGACGCGCTTTTGGACGTGGCGAAGACGTGATAAGGCGCTGTTACAAATGCAAGGATTATCATGATTGTTGAAAGCGATGCACTGGACAGCTCTGCACTTGTCTGTACAAATGCAAACCTTGTGGTGGTTGGAAAGTGGGGGGTGGGGGGGGGGGGGGAGACCTCTCACACCAATACCAGGCTCCTCACGGCTGGGAACAAAGCCTGGTACTTGGTCCTCCTAACAGCAGCGCCGCTCACGCTTCACACTCCTCGACGACTGGTCCCCTCTTGCCTCCGGACCGGTGATCGTCGGTGATCACATGAGCTGGTCCGGCGCTACGATTGGTGCATTCAAACGCCGGCCCAGAACACGCGGCGGTTTGCTTCGAGAAATTTCTCCAGTGGAAAGTGGCGGGTAAGAGCCTCGCGAGCCCCGAAAGCCGACTCCGACGTGTCTCTGCCCGGGATCTGAGTGAGGGTGAGCGGCTCGGAAGGCTTTCGACGTCCCTTTAGCGTTCCTCCCGATGTCTTGGAGCCGCTGCTATTTGGCCGCTGATATTGTTGTCAACGCACCCGCCCCTCCCTTTCCCCCACCCGTGTCGGCTGTTTGCAGGTGACCCCCCCCCCCCCGACCCACGATGGCACCGGGTAGTCCATTCACTGCTGACCTGGGACAGCCTGACTGGTCTCTCAGAAAATAGTGGCCGAAATGCCTGAAGCAAATCGCTGACTTGTTCTCGCTCTTCAGTGTTTCGACCTTTCACCCAGTGCCACTTTCTCAGTGGCTGCTGGGACTCGGCTGTCCCTGCGCGGGGGCGACCGCAGGTGCCGTTTTCCTTCCTCCTCCGAAGACGAAACGACATACGGCGCCACTTCCACCGTCTATATATAATAATCCGGGCGTTTGAGACAGCGCCTTAGCACGTCCTCGAAACGTCTCAAAGCCCTTCACGGAGCACACTGCAATGTGAATTGGCTTTGTCGTCATGTTGACGTGACAAACTCCGCGTTTGTGTCGGCCAGGGAGTACTTTGACCACAACATTTTCCTTATTGATTCTATCAACCGGCCTGCGAGGCCCTTGCCAGTGAGCTTTCCGCTTGTCCTGCCTGATGGTTCCAAAAAAAATAATAATTTAGTCACTCGGTCCACGACTTGGGAAACTGCTGTGCACAATTGGCTGCCAAATTCAATTCGCTTTACAGTATATTCTGTGAAGCGCTTGGCGAAGTCTCTCAACGACGTGATCAGGCGCTATATCAAACGCGAGATGTACCACAGGGGTCTGTCGACCTCTTCGCCCACAAACAAAAGATGCGGCAGCTTCTTGTCCCACTTAAGTGGGTACGTGAGGGCAGCATTCAAAGTCCTGTTAAACTTTTCTGTTATTTTTGATCTCTAAATGACCTGGACTTGGGTATGGGGAGTACAATTTCCAAGTTTGCAGATGATACTAAGCTGGAAAAGTAGTAAATAATGAGGAGGATAATAGCAAATGGCAAATGGACATAGACAGACTGGTAAAATGGGCAGACACGTGGCGGATAAAGTTTAATATGGATAAATGCGAAGTGATGCATTTTGGGAAGAAGAATGAGGAGAGGCGATATAAGCTGATGGTACAATCTTAAAGGGGGTGAAGGAACAGAGAGATCTGCGGGTTCATATAAGTAAATCTTTGAAGGTGGCGGGACAGGTAGGAATGAGGGACTTCAGTTATCGCAAGAGGCTAGAAAAGCTAGGCTTATTCTCTTTGGAGCAGAGAAAGTTAAGAGGAGACTAAATAGAAGTTTTCAAAATTATGAGGGGATTTGATAGGGTGAACAAGGAGAAACTTTCCACAGGCAGGTGGGTCAGTAACCCGAGGAAACTGATTTAAAATAGTTGTTAAAAGAAACAGAAGCGAGATGTTCGGAACTGGACTACATTGCCTGAAAAGGTGGTGGAAGCCGATTTGATAACAGCTTTTAAGAGAGAAGTAGATATTTATTTGGGGAGGACAAGTTTGCGGGGCTATGGGGAGAGAGCGGGGGAGTGGGATTGATTTGCATGGCTGTTTTTTTCAAAGAGTCAGCACAGAAACGATGGGCCGAATGGCCTCCTGTGCTGTATAATTCTGATTCTATCCATTCATGTGAGCATGATAAGGTGTAATGCAGAATCATTTAACCTCACATTGCTCCGAGAATTAACTGCCGTATGCCCTAATCAAACAGACACCATTTTCAGATGGTAGGACTTTGAACTCCTTGTCTAGGCTGACATTCCAATGCAGTGCTGGAAGTTTGTTGCATTGTGTAAGGTGCCATCCCTTCAGATGAGATGTGAAAATGAGGTCCCTTTGACTTGTTTCAGGTGTTAATTGGAGTATTGCTGACTGTAGTTGCATACCCTTGTGGAGTAATGTAACCCATTAATTCTGTTGGTGGAGCAAAGGGAGTAATGAGCGAGCACATATTGTCTGGAGAAGATTATGTTAGACCATGGAGAGATTTGAAAAAAAACAGTGATCTTAAAGTTGATCCACTGAAGGAATGGGAGCAAATTGATGGGTAATGGAAGATGTTGAAGCTTCTAGAGAGTTTCTTGGAAAATAATATTGGAAAAATGTATTTTGAGATAGTGAAGCGTTGAGGTAATATGATAATATACAATTATCCTTTGATATAGCATGTTATCACATGGTTGAGACAATATGGGGGTCTAAATGGGCATTAATTCACTGGGCATTTTAAAACTCAGCTTTTCTGTGATGGTGATGTAGGTTTTGCTTTAATTCAGAATCCATGCACATTCTGTGTCTTCAGTTTGTGGAGCTGCTGAAGAGTGTGGTCTAAGGAGAATGAGTTCCTATGAAATCCCCAAACAGGTAAAGCATTCCCTATATCGTTCAGCTCACACGTTTCAGCTCAATAATTCAATAACTCAATAATTCTAGCATTTAATTCCTTGCTACTAGCTGCTGTACAGCACACCTGGGAGCATCTCAGGAGGACTTGCTGGGAGTTATACAAATTAATTCAATTCAGAATTCTTAATTTATATTGTGTAATGATGGGTTGTGAAGCAACATTCAAGCTCAATGATCCCATGAAACATTTACTGGTCACAAATAACTTGCACTTTATTTCATCCAGCCCAAGACCATTTCCAACTTTGGGGCACCTGCTCCCTCCATCCCCGGGGAACTGTCCTCTCATGGCAGTGGCAGGAGCCGGCGTTTGGGAGGACAGTGTTCAGGCAAAAGCACTGTGTACTGCCCTCCATGTGCTGGGGCGTTGCCCTCTGTCTACTGGAGGCCTCTTGCTGTGCACGGAGAATATGTGGTTTCTGCGTATGTGGGGCAATTTCTCTCTGTGCATGGTGGAGCTACATTAATCATCTCCTAACTCGTAATGGCACTCCCCTACCCTCTGTACTTACCGGCTGCATTGAATCGCAGGAAACAAAGTTCTGATCCGTCAACGCATGCACAGAAGAACATCATTTCCCACGATTCAGTGCGATTCCAATGCTTGGTAAGTGCACATGCGGCAACTGGTCAAGACGCATTGAATCATAGGAAATATATTCTTGACCAGTCACGTATCGACTATAGTGACAAACTACCACATGTACCCTTGCTGACTGCATTGAATTATTAGGAACCTTGTTAAAATATTAGTGATCTGAATGTTTCCTTTCCAGGTTGAAGAATACGTCAATGCCTTGTTTATTTCTGAAGACAAGATGTTGGAAATTAGTAGTCAGATATCACAGGAAATGGAGAATGGACTGAGTAGAGAATTACACAGTGCTTCTACTGTGAAGATGCTACCAACATTCGTCCGGGCTTTACCAGATGGCACGGGTAGGTGCTGCTTTTCCCACTGTTTATCCATTCTCAACATCCCTAAGTGACTCCATTTTAATTTGTTGACTAGATCATTGTGTGTGGTTTGGAATCTCCTTGTCTGCCTGCAGTCTACGAGCACAGAAAAAAACTCAAGCCTATTTAAGAAATGTGAAAGAGCATGAGGGACTTAACAGATGGAATTCCTCTGCGCCAAATAAACTTATATGTGTCACTGTAATTAGTTTGTTTTTATTTCCTGTGTGTTACAGAGAAGAATGCTCTTTTCTGAAACATCACAAGATCACAAAATTGATTTGGATGAATTTGTCCTCTCGTTCCACTGTCTTGGTGCATCCGACGTATTACTCTGGGTTTACTTTTTCAATCCCATTTAAAACATATCCCTTTACAAAGGTCCACTCTGACTTGTCGTCTTTTGAGACTGAAGAGCCCTAACATGTCTAACTGTTGCTCACAGCTCATTCCTCTAACACTGAGGCTCACCATCATTGTTCTCCTCTTCATAGCCTCTTGCACCTGGGCAGGCCTCTTACGTCAGAGTGACTATATGCAGAGCACTACACTTGAGAATGACTTTTGACGTCTAAGCCAAATTGATTTAGCAACGAAGCCCAGCATCCTGTTTGCAATGATTATTGCTGTTTCACACTGTTTTGACATAGTGAGGGACAAGTCAACTAACACTTCCAGATCTCTTTTAGCTTCCTCTTTGGCAAGTTGAGTCCCATTATTGGACAATTTGCTTTTAATCATACAGGGCCACTGCAACTCCTCTGCTGGGCGGGAACGGTGTTTCAGTTAACCTTGGACATCGCTTAAGTCAGACAAAATGTATGTCCCACGATGCATCCATCTTAACCAGCTTCCATTGTATTTTATTGTACCTGTTGGATAGGACCAGTTTCATCAGTTCTTCTTTCCCTACGTCTCTGTTTCCCTATGCCTTCTCAAGCGACAGAGAATTTAACATAATTTAACAGAGTTATTACTGGAATTCAGTGCCAGAAAGGGTGGTGGATGCAGATTCGGTGAAAGCTTTCAAAGGGGATTTGGCTAGGTACTTAAAAAAGAAAAATTTCCAGGTCTATGGGTTAAGAGCAGGGAGGGGGGTCTAGTTGGTAGCTCTTTCAAAGAGCCGGCACAGCAAGATGGGCCAAATGGCCTCCTGTGCTGTTAAGATTCTATGACAGTTACACATTCTTCCTTTTCCTTCTGACTGGTGTGACTCCTCACTTAATGAAATCATCCAGATGTCTCTCCCCTCCCTTATGTGACTGAGCCAGGGCGTTTCAAGAGTCACTGCCCGCATGTGTTATCATCCAGGTCACTCATTGTCCAGAAATTCCCACAGCTTGCAGGTCCCACATGTCACTTGTGTTCTACTTCTATCTCCATCCACTGATCAACAATATTGACTTGCATTTGTAATGCACCCCTCGCTGAGGGTAGTGTTTCGGAGCAATAGCAGGAATTTAACATAGAGAAAGACAGGTAAAGAGCGGGCAAGGCAGAGTAATTGAGGCTGGAAGCTCCAGAGGTTCAGAGCGTAGGGGCTAAAATCACAACTTCATAGTGGGGTGGAGGGTTCAGGGACATACAGAAGGCCTGAGCCTGCTGAACGCAGCGGTTGGTTAGAGGAGTGAGGTGTAAGCAGCTTGGAGAGGTAGTAATAGGGCATGACGTGATTTGCAGGCGAGTGAGCATTTTGAAATTGATCAAACAACACAATCACTTTCCTGAATGAGAATTTAGTGTTGAACACCTGAGAGGATATATTACAGGCTGTAGACGTTCATTCTCCTCAATAATTATTGGAACTCCCTTGTCAGCCTCCTGTTCAGCTAATGTCAACGTGAATACAAGAAGAACTGTTCATTCTGCAATTTGCACAGTTCTGCTCAGGTGATCACATTCAGCCGCCACTGAAAACTTGACTGTATTTGAGAACTTTTTGAGGAGGAAGGAGAGGATACGAAGGCTCACAATTCTCAGCTATAAACTCCAATTGTGGCTTGTATAATTTGTCTGGAATCCTGATTATCCGTGAAAGCTTTCAAAAAATGGATCTTGTTGCTAATCAAACTTTAACCTGGCACTCAGCACGCTTGCACATGATGGTTGCTAGTTTTAACAGAGAATGTTGGATTTTGCAGATTACGTGGAAAAATTGCAGCGCTCTTTTCTATTGGCCTAGGCTATCACTCCAGTGCAGTGCTGGAGGTATGCTGCAGTGTTGGAAATTCCGTTCTTTGGATTAGACATTAAACTGCCTATTTAGGTTGACATTAAAGCTCTTGTTGCACTATTTAAAAAGAAAAGGAAATTTATCACTTTGTCCTGGCCAACAATCCCTCCAAAAAATTGGTTATTTACTTTGCAGCTATTTGGGAGACATTACTGTGTACAAATTGGCTGCCATGTGCGGCCACAAAATATACATTTCGCGTATATCCCGTGAAGCGCTTTGAGATAATAATAATCGTTGCATTTGATATAGCACCTTATCATGTCTTTGAGGCATCTCAAAGCGCTTCACAGAAGATATTGTAAAGTGAACTGATGTCTTGACAATGTGATTAGGTGCTATATCAAATGTAGGGATTAGTATAATTATGTATTGTAAGGATTTTAGTTGGATGAGATTTATTAAGTGACTTATTATTAATATACAGGTTACTGTATCCTGCGTTCTTTCCTGCTGTTTTCTGTAGTGAGTTTTTTCCATGTTCCAAATCTGTGGCTGGGTAAACCCAACAAGATACCAAATTCAATGAATGGTAATACTGTACAAGATAGTTCTTAAGTTCTCTTGGAATTACAATCTTCTCCTTTCCACTTTCTGTCTTGTTGCTAAATGGCTTATTATGTCTGTAGAACTCTTCAGTCCGAGTTGTGCTGCACATTAAGACCTGTGCCTTGCTCTCTGTTTTTCACAGAAAAAGGAGAATTTGTTGTGCTTGACTTTGGTGGAGCCAGTTTCCGTATCTTGTTGGTGAGATTGGGTGTCGATAAAAAATGTAAACTGTTAATCAAACCAGAGGTCTTTACAGTCTCACATGAAATCACGCAGGGCACAGAAGTGCAGGTATGAGCGCTTGTTACCCCAAACAAATATAGAGACGTGCTACTGTGAGAGAATTTGGGTGAGATTAATGGAAGATAGTTTTGGACTAAAGCTAAACTCCAAGCAGAAATAAACATCGTCACCAAAAGCAATAATGTGAACTATGTAAGAACAGGTTGGAAAGATTGTTGAGCAGCTATGAGAAATCCCCCTCTGCATCCTGTGTAGAGGGGGATCCTGAGCCACCTTGCGGTTGCTCTGATTCTCACCTTGGTTGTGTTCTGTTAAGGAAATTCTCGGATCCTCAATCTGATCCCTACTCGGTGCTGTGCATCAGTTTGATATCAACGCTGGAGGTGCAGATGTAGAATTGCCCTGCCCACAGAATGCAGTACAGATGGAATCACAAGGGATGTTTCAATGACAGTTAGACTGCTAGTGGAGGCATAAAGGAATATGGCGAAAGGACAGAATATTGGGATTAAACAATCTACCATGACCTAATAAACTTGGAACGTGGTGTTCCGCCACTGTCGAGCACTCTGGGACACCACCCTGTGGGAAGGGCGCTTATATAAATGCAAGTTGTTGTTGTTGGATGATAGATGGACTGAGTGACCTCCTCGTGTTCTCATTTGCCAACACTTGATTGGATACCTACACACTACGCCAACACGTGCTCCATTCTTGTTCCCTCCCATCCATGCTCATAGCTGCTTCCCTTGAACTTGTAAACTCTTAGGTTTAGAAAGCTGTAGTTTACATGAGCCTATTTAGGTGGTGGTATGAGAGAGATTATGGTAGTTAGTAAATTTAGTCATGGTAGTGAGAGTTGTTGGTAGTTGGTATATTTAGTGAGGTTGGTGTAGTCAGAGAGATAGGTGTTGGTAGTTAGCATACTTTGTCTGTTAGATGTTGTGGTCATGCTTTGATCTTTACCATGCTTGTGCCCACCCAGGCACCAGCAATGCATTGGACTTAGATCTTGAGAATATCAAGGTGGCTGGTCCATCACCAGCTGTCCTGTAAAGGTCCTCCCACCATGCTCAAGGCAGATGTCTGTCAGATAGCTGGTGAGGAAACTCTTGAGGAACAGGACAACAGCTGCTGAAAGGGGTTACCTGGAGTCCGAGTTTGTGAACATGTGTTCATATTTTCAAGGCTCGGAATCCACCTTGATTCTAGGCAGGAAGATGGTGCAATGCTGCTACGGATTTAATGCTGAGCTGCTCACCAGCAAACTGCATTTCCAGTAGCAGAGTTGAATGCCAAACAAGGGATGGGAGAGGTGACCATAGGCATGGTCAAAGAGGTGGGTCGTATGGTGGAATTTAAAGATAAAGAGGGGGGAAGCAGCGTGATTGAGCCATGTAATTCAAGGTCAGGAGTGTAGCGACTGAAGGCACTGCAGCCAATGGTGGCTTGGAGGGTTTAGTCATGAGCAGGTAGGCCTGTGTCAGCTGAACGAGGAGTCAGGCAGAGGAGTGGGGTACGAGAAGGTCAAGAGATGTAGGGTGGTGCTGGGGTGTGAGGGGACTCGTATGAGATTGAGGATCTTGAAATCAATCCTTTCTCAAACAGGGAGCCAGTGGAGCCTGGTGAGGATTGAGGTATAATAATAATCCTTGCATTTTATATAGCGCCTTATCATATCTTTGAGATGCCACAAAGCGCTTCAAAGGATATACTGCAAAGTGAATTGACTATATTTTGTGGGTGAAACGCGGCAGCCAGTTGTGCACAGTAGTGTCCCACAAACAGTCGTGGATTGAGGATGATGGGCTATGGAATTTGGTAAAGACACAGGCGACAGTGTTTTCGATGAGCTGGACATTGTAGATGGTGAAACTTGTGAGTCTAGCGAGGTTGAGGGTTTCAATGCCATTTGTGGTGATGAAGGGAGGGGGCTGTCAACGTCATAGAGGTGAAGGAAAGTAGTACTGGTTCAGGGATGTGGGATAGGAAGGACAGATTGAGATGGAACTGGATACCTGTAGTCTGGGTTCCCGAGCCAAGCAGGTCTGCAGACCTGCAGGTCACTGCTGATGACAGCCCAACCAGCCTGGCTCATTGGCAGGATTCAAGAGGAGCAGTCCTGTCACTGTGGGCAGGAACTCTTCCCACACAGCTCCTGTTAACCCTTCAATTCATACCGTAACAAATAGGGTGGTCTCAGCTAGACAAGCAGCAGGAAGCTAGCTGGACAGTACTTTCAAAGGCAAGCTATGCGGTTTTAGCTGGTTAGATTCAAGCAATTATCCTAACGCACACTTTGTGGTCCCCAAGCCTTGGCTCTTGCCAACTGCGCGTAAATCCCTCTGGAATTAGGTAAACAGGGTACATCTGCCTGGAGAGAGAGTGCATTCTATTCCAGATTGAGGGAAATTAACATGTGTAAGTAGCTCATCTACATTGCTCTAGAAAATGTCTGCTGCCTCTACAACAAAACTCTTGCCTGCCATGACCTTTTAATGGATTAGCACGTTGACTCAGTTTAATCCCCATCTCTCATTGGGTACTGGGTACAATTTTCACCACACTCCCTGTCTACACCGCAATGGTGATGAGGCTCCCATCATCTTAACCTCTCTTGGTCTATCTCCTTTTTCTTCCTTAAAACATGACACCCTCCATTATCCTCCTTTCATTCAAGATCGTAATAATCTGTTGCCACCATCCACCTCAAACCACCCAACTCCTTCCTCGTTGACATCTCTCTTCACTTTCCTGGTCCTTCAAGCCTGCTGACAAGTCAGACTACCAAGACCCCCACCTAGGGTTGATTTGATTCCAACATTCCTTTGTCAAACATATCACTTTTGATTCAGCTCAGCTCTAAGGAGATGCTGTGGAGTCCTGTAGCTCAGTGGTTCGAGCACTCGCCTTGCAAGCGAGACACCTGGGTTCAATTCCAGCCAGAACGAAACCTTGGGCAGGTTTCCTTACTCCACACGCCTAATAATAATCCCTCCAAAAAACAAAAACAATAATAAATTGGTCATTTTCAATCCACAACTGTTTGTGGGACATTGCTGTGCGCAATTGGCTGCCGTGTTTCGCCCACAAATATACAGTCAATTCACTTTACAGTATATTCTGTGAAGTGTCTTTGAGACGTCTAGAAGACATGAAAAGCGCTATATCAAATGCAAGGATTATTATTATTATTACTATTATTATCCTGCCTGTGTCCCACCCAAAGAGGATAGTCACTACAACACAACTTGCATTTATATAGTATTCTTCACACAAGTAGTGTCTTGGGAGTGTTTAAGCTAGTTGGTTAATGCAATGTACAGAGCAGAGCATATGATATTTATATATAAATAATTGAAAGCTAATAATATTTAGGTAACCAATAAGATAACGCTTTGTAATTCAGTGCAAACAAAGTTATGTAAAATAATCTATAAAATTGTGATATACCGATATCTGAAAAGTGTACATTGATATGTACTGAAATAAGTGTATATTAAGTATGTACTGAGCATGCTTCAGCCTACGTTATTGACTACTACAGAGAAGACAGTTAACAACCGTTGCTGTGTGCATGCTGTTACTGTTTCACCTATTAACCTCAATATCCATTTACAGCTCTTTGACTACATCGCTGCCTGTCTTGCCAAATTCATGGAGAAACAGAAAATCAAGGAAATGATACTGCCCCTTGGATTTACTTTCTCATTTCCCTGCAAACAGACAAAACTTGATGAGGTCAGCAATCTTTACTGCACCAAACAAACCTTGGGGAGGGCAGTCTAAAGCAAATTCACAGCGTCATGAGCCAAATGACTGCACATGGGGCCAGGGTGTCGCAATTCAGTTGTCAAAGGGGATTCGATAGTCAGGGTGATAGACAGGTGTTTCTGCAACTGCAGTTGTGAATTTTGCATAATGTTGTTGCCCCCTTGGTGCCAGGGTGGAGGATGTCATGGAACAGGTGCAGAACATTCTGCAGGGGAAAAGAGAACAGCGAGAAGTTGTGATCCATATTGGAACCAATGCTGCAGACAGAGTTTCAGGAACTTGGGAGGAGACTACAGAGCAGGACTGCAAAGGTGGTAATCTCTGGATTACTCCCAATGCTATTTGCTAGTGAGTATAGGAACAGCAAGATGTGGCTGAATTCCTGGGGCATTGGGACCAGTTCTGGGGCTCTTACCCCATAGCCCTGCATATTCTTCCTTTTTAAGTACCTATCTAATTGAATATCAAATCTGTTTCCATCACCCTTTCAGGCAGTGCATTCTAGACCGCAACAACTCTGGGTAAAATAAATTCTCCTCGTCTCCCCTCTGATTCTTTTGTCAATTATTTTAAATCTGTGTCCTCTGGTTACCAACCCACACACCAGAGGAAATAGTTTCTCCTTATCTACTTTCTCAAAATCCCTAGTAATTTTGGATGCCTTTATGTAGAGTCCTGTAGCTCAGTGGTTAGAGCATTCGCCTTGCAAGCGAGATACATGGATTCAATTCCAGGCAGGGAGAAACCTTGAGCAAGTTTCCTTACTCCACACAGAGCCTAATAATAATCCCTCCAAAACAAAACAATAATAAATTGGTCATTTTCAATCCACGACTGTTTGTGGGACACTGCTGTGCACAATTGGCTGCCCGTTTCGCCCACAAATATACAGTTAATTCACTTTACAGTCTATTCTGTGAAGCGCTTTGGACGTCCTCCGACGTGAAAAGCGCTATATCAAATGCAAGCATTATTATTATTATTATTCTGTGAAGCGCTTTGAGACGTCTAGAAGACTTGAAAAGCACTATGCAAGGATTATTATAAATTAATAATAATATTTTGAATATTAAAACCTCCTACCCTCCCTGACCTCCACCCTCCCTGATCCAAACCCCCTTGCTCGGGTCCAAATTTCTGACCGCCCAGAGCCTTGGGAAGTCCTCCCGACCTGAAAGACTCTATACAAATGTAATTTTGTATTGTAATACTGCTGATTTTTTTCAAGTCTGGGTTATCTCCTGAAATTCGATAGTGCTTTCTTTCTTGGCCAGCTTCCTCTTTTTGTCCATATCTGCTTTTAGACAAAGATGCCCAACTAACGCTCTGCGTACTGATTGTATAATCATCCAGTGCCTTCTTGCTGAAATATACTAACTAAATGCAGCAATTCCAGTTAGTCGAGATGCTGCATCAGCGTTCACAGCTTGCTGGAGTCTGAGATAAATTGGATTCCTGTGACAGTAATTTCTATCTGAATTGAAAGTGAATATTCATTATTGGTGTGGGAGAACTGAACTGCAAATTTACCGAATTTAAACTTTAACCTCTAGTCATTTCATCTGCATCAATTATGAACACTTGCTGTATCTTTGTGTGTGCGGCTATATATTTTCCCTGATACTTACTAGCAGAACTGAGAGGACATTTACCCCGAGCCATTCTCCCATGTCTCTTGGGATTCCCGGGAGACTGTGCCTTCCAAGACCAAAATAACTGATATTTCGAACCTCATAAAAAAATGGATTTATTTTTATTTTTCAGGCGATTCTGATCAGCTGGACCAAAGGTTTCAAAATCAGTGGAGTTGAAGGCAAGGATGTTGTGCAACTCCTGCAAGACTCCATTCAACGCAGAGGGGTAAGAGACTGAGAGCGGCGTGTAATCCTGCCCTGAGACATCCCCATAGCTCACTGCAGCCGTGTGTGTTGCACAGGACAGAAGGTGTCAGATTCAATCCTTGTGCTGTCATCTAATCTCAGTTTGGCCAATCACATTCCCACTACAGTTTGCTTCATTATCTCTGGACAAGAGAGAGTAAATATAACCAGGTCCATGCTCCTGATTCTTACTCTAGATTTTCTGCGCTTAAGTTTGATGCACGTTTCCTCAGTCTTCTGTGGAGGACACCTACGTGTCTCCTACCGACCTCCCTTCCCTCCCCTCACCCTGACCATTTCCCCCCTCCTTGCTCCCTCCCTTCCCTCACCCTGACCATTTCCCCCCTGCTCGGGTCATGACCCAACTGTGCAGCGCCTTGGGACGTCCTCCTGACGTGAAAGGCGCTTTATAAATGGAATCTTGTTGTTGTTGTTGTACGTGTGAAAATATAATAGTCAGGGTGATAGACAGGCACTTCTGCAACTGCACAAAATTTACAAGTCTATTCACTTTACAGTACATTCTGTGAAGCGCTTGAAACATCTCTAAGACTTGATAAAGTGCTAAAATCAAATACAAGGATTATATTATGTAACAAAAAAACCCATACAGAGTCTCTTTTTATAACTCATTAATGATGCACATTATAAGTGTTCCTGCAGTTGGAGGGTGTGCAGATGCTGCAGGAGGACAGGCAATATATGAGGAATAAAGAGGAGCTGATTCTGTGACCAAGGTTCTGTTTCTCTGTGACAGGATTACAAAATTGGTCCAGTGGCTGTGCTCAATGACACTGTCGGAGCTATGATGAGCTGTGCCTACGAAGATTCGAACTGTGAGATTGGACTCATTGTGGGTAAGACCTAAACTCCGGGACTGATCAAATGCTGAGGAGAAGGACCAGAATGCCTGTTAGTGTTATCCATCATTCAGAGTTGTTTGAAACTGGGAAGCGTTGCTCGGCTGGTACATGCCAGTCCCTTGTAACTGCTTCTGTTACACATTCCATCACAAGGTGCATTTTACTCATTTTCCAAAACTATCCTGGAGCTCTTGTTTCCCATTTACAAGCACCGTTCCTGTGTGGTAGAGATTTGATGCGCTTAATACTGGTGGAGTTTGACGCTAAGCTGGTGGGAGAGTGGAGATCACCGTAGGCACAATTGGAAGGTGCAATCTGAAGTTGAGCGAGCAAGGGGATGGCAGAGGGATTGAGGCAGAGAGTTCTAAAGTTGTGGGGCAAAGAGCGATGAAAGCAAAGCTGCCAATGGTGGAATGGAGGGGATGAGGGACTTTAATAAAGCAGCTGGGTGATGGCGAGGAGAGGAGTGGGTGTAACCAAGTGGGAGAGGTAGGGAGGTGTCAGGGTATGAAGTGATTGTACGAGAAAGTGAGGATCTTGAAATTAATCCATTCTGCAATAGGGAGCCAGTGGACCCTGGTAAGGACTGGTGATTGGAGTGGAATGGAAGGTACTCCAGAGAGCGTACCATCCATTCCAGACACTGGGAAATTTCCATATGGAGGTAGAATACATAAGTAGAATTCTGCAAGGTTTGGATACATTTCAGATTGGATCAACTGAACAAAAAAAATGATTTTTAAAATGGAGCCTTGAGTATAAAAGCAACCACGGAAAGGTTATTCCAGGTATATAGAATGGCAGATGAGCCCTCAGTTTAATGTCTCATCTGAAGATTGGCGTCTCTGACAATGAAGTACTTTCACAGTACACTACATTGAAACCCTAATCCAGGACTGTTTAAACCATTTCCCTACTTTTCCCTGCAGATCCCTCTTTCTCAACCAAACTAGACTAAACGTGGGACTTTGTCATATCTGTATGTTGGCCACTATTTTTACAAACTGATAAGAACATCAGTGCTTTTTAAACCATGTGATCTCAAGAGTGAAAAGTGACTTGAGTACTTCTCAAAGCTGTTCTGCCCACTGACTTCCCAGCATTGTTCCTCAAATTATTTGTGTCTTCAATTCCAGGGACAGGCACAAATGCTTGTTACATGGAGGAAATGCGGAACATTGAGATCGTTGAAGGGGACGAAGGACGGATGTGCGTGAATATAGAGTGGGGGGCGTTCGGATCGGATGGCTTTCTGAATGACATCCGGACAGAGTTTGATCTGGAGCTGGACAGTATTTCCGTGGTACCTGGAGCTCAGATGTGAGTGATCACTATCACCAGACAGCCAATTTAACTGTGTATTTCTGGTTAACCTCAGGATAGGGGTTGCTCAGTGTGAGTCTCGTCATAGGGGCAGTGCAAATGGGATTACTCAATAAGTTGCCAGATAAATTATTTCACCTTGATTTTAAACAAAGGTCTCTGTTTCAGCCATCACATAATTCTCTCCAGGCTCCACTGGCTCCCTGTCTACAAAGGGATCGATGTCAAGATTCTCACCTACAAATCCCTTCACCTCTAACCTGCTCGTGCACCTCTCCTTTTGTCCATTCCCTTTGCTAATTCCCTTTGCTATCTACATTTAAATCCCACCTAAAAACCAACCTCTTCAACCACTATGGTCTCTTATCCCTTCTTGACATCCAACCCGCTACTGTACTGTGATCTAAGACATTAACCAATATGAAGGGTGCACTTCCTCTCTCTCTCTCTAAGCCCGCCCCTCTCTCCCCCTCCCCCCTCTCTCCCCCTCCACCCGCTCTCTTTTCCTCTCCCCTTTTTCTTTCCCCCTCCCCCTCTCTCTCTTCCCCCACTCTCCCCTTCTCTCCTCCATGTCTCCCTCCCCCAGCAATATCAATGGTAAGCTATGTGGGTTTAACTGGTTAGACTCCCGCAGTACGCCAACACACTTTTTTCCCACCCTTGGCTTTTGCCAACCTGCATCTAATACTTTGCAGAATAAGGTAAGCAGCAGGAAGCACCCTCCAGGGGAATGAACCTTAGCATTATTAGCGCCACAAGCTAGCCAATAGAGCTAACTAACCTTAGCTCCACCCCACAGTCTCTGCATCTCCCTCTCCCTTGTTTTGAAAGCATGGCCAGTATCAAGACTGCAACTGTGCCTTCATCACCCTCCTACCCAACCCTCCCTGCCCTCCACCACTCGAGATCCCAACCCTCAGCTCAGGTGCAAATCCTTGACTGTCCAGCACCTTGGGACATCCTCCCGACATGAAAGGCACTGTGTAAATGTAATTTGTTGTTAACTGCTCTGATGCTGCTTGATATTGTTTTACCTTTGGCCCTATTGACTGCTGATGCTTACACTTTTATTTTTCTCTCATTGACACAGATTTGAGAAGATGGTAAGCCATAAGTATTTGTGTGAGCTTGTCCGCCTCGTTATGGTGAAATTGGTCAATGAAAATGTTCTTTTTGGTGGAAAGGCAACACCATACCTGATGAACAGTTGGAATCTTGAAAGCGAGCTGATTTGTGAAATCCAAAGGTACTGTTCTCCGCTATTCACCATCTCCTCTGCACACCCCCTCAAGCTTCCCCTATCTTCCAAGGCCAACAGTCAACCTCAGGCTTTGTTCCTCTCCCCCTTTAAAACAGCTGTCATGAATCCCCTGCTAAAAAAACACGCTTGACACCTCTAACCTTGCAAACAACCATCCTATTTCTAACCTGCCCTTTCTTGTCAAAACTCTGGAACGCTCTGTCGCTAACCAGCTTTGCTCACATCTCTCCCTGCATTGCCTCCTCGAGCACCTCCAGTCTGAATTCCGCTCTACCCACAGCACAGAGATAGAACTTGCCAGAGTCACAAACAACATCCTCTCTCTCTCTGTGACCAGGGCTCCCTCTGCCTCCTCGTCTTCCTGGACCTCTCCACTGCGTTTGACACAGCCTGCCATTTTCATCCACCGCCTCGTCTCTCTCATCCACATTAGTGAGACCACACTTCACGATTCGAGTCCTACTTAACAAACTGCCTTCACTTCATCTCTGAAAATGATTTCTCCTCCCATCCCTGCCCGGTCACCTGTGTGCATACCCCAAGGCTATATCCTTGGCCCTCTCCACTTCCTCATCAACATTGCTCCCTCTTGTCGATGTCATTTGCAGATAGGAGGTTAACTTCCACATCTATGTGGATGATGCCCAAATCTATTTCTCCTCCTCCAGCTGCGACTCCAGGTCCACCAATGTACTGGCAGCTTGTTTGGCAGACTCAGGACCTGGATGAGTGTACTTCCTGCGGCTGAATGTTGTCAAGACGAAAGTCAAATTCTTTGGCTCCCGTCAAAGTCTTCTGTTCTGCGGCTCTGACCTCCTCAACCTCCCCAGCCTATCCCTCAGACTCACCGAACCTAGGCATAAGATTTGACCCACAACTGTCCTTCCTACCCGAAACTTGGAAAATTCTCCCTCAATCCCCCTGCTTTGCCCCATCCTACCCCATATACAGATCAAGCCTGAAGACCTTCCTCTTCAACCATGCCTACAGTCACCTCCCCCGGACTTGGTGTCGTGCTCTGCCACAGTCAAGTTCTGGGATGCTACCCTGGGTGAGGGGCGCTATGTAAAGTCTCACACTTGACAGGAAGTACTCTGAGATATTGCAATGTGATAATGTATTCTAAAATGACAATGTATTTCTTTCTTACTGTTTGTATTTGATGTTATCATAATTGGATTGGATACTCACCAGGTTATTTTTTTTTGTTCTATTTACAGTGAGACAGGGCAATTTGAAAAAGTGATGAACTATCTGAGGAAATATGGGGAAGATCCCAGTGAGCACGACTATGTGACTGTGAAGAAGATCTGCCATGCAATTTGCGATCGCTCTGCCAGCTTATGTGCTGCCAGTCTCATAGCAGTCTTAATCAAAATAAAAAAAAACAGGGGTCTTCCTCAGTTCAAGATCACCGTTGGCGTGGATGGAACGCTCTACAAAATAAATGCAATGTAAGTGACTTCCTCAAATAGCAGATTCATGTGATAAGGCGATATATTCGAGAAGCGCCCTGGGACTCTAGGGCGCTATATAAATGCAAGTTGTTTTATATCAAATGCAAGGATTATTATTATTGTATATTGTCATAATGTGCCACTGGCAGTGAGGGGGAAGGTAGAGGTTAGAGGCATTCCACAGGGTGAAAAAGAAATGTTGTGAAGAAATAAAGGGAAATGATGAATAGGATGATACAAATCATTAAAAGACAGTGAAAAAAGTATCAACCTGAAGAATGGGGGCAAGGCATGTTTGTTCCTAATAGCCTGGAGTCACGGATTGTTAAAGCACTGACAAAGTTAATTTGGCCCAGCAGAGGTTGGGTATTCTGGAAGGATGAGATTGAAGGTGGGCCAAAAGGCTTTTATTATCCCACCTGTCTTGTGAAGCCTGCGCTAGTGATTTTCACCACATGAGCCCATAATCTACAACAACTCTCTCTATAGAGAACCATAAAAATCGGCGACACAATAAGAGGCCATTTGGCCCATTATTCTGTGTCAGCGCTTACTCCTCAAAGAAGCCATCCACTCTGATCCCAATTCCCTTTCCTTTAGTTGTCCCCACAGATATCTTTCCTTTGCATCTTATTGTCGATTAAATGTTCCCTCGGTTCTAAATGTCACCTTCGGCAAATCACGTCCCAAATTGCTGAGTCAAATAAATAAGTGCTAGACCTGCTGTGAAAAGATCTGTATTTCCAGAGATAATTGTTTAACCTTTGAAATGTTTTGTCGCTTGTCACTGTGTCAGGTTCCGAGAGAAGTTGCATTCTACTGTTAAATTGAGTGTTCCAGATGCTGAGGTCAAGTTTCTTCTCTCTAAAGATGGCAGTGGTAAGGGTGCAGCCATGCTTACAGCTGTGGCCTCCCGATTGGCTGCACAGCGTGTTCAGATCAACAAAGTCCTCAGCCCATTCATAATAAGCGAAGAACAGCTCGTTGATATACAGAACAGGATGAGGAAGGAGATGGAAATGGGTCTAAAGGCTGAGACCCATGAAATGAGCTCGATTGCTATGTTGCCATCATTTGTACGCGCTTTACCTGATGGTTCAGGTGAGCTACTTTCAGATATTGTGGGAAATTGTTAGTTAACCTCTGTAATTCCTTTACACTTGTGGAACATCAAATTGATGTTTGGATGTTAATATGGTTTGTGTTTCATTCCAAAAAAATCAGATTTTAACCATTATATTTGGAATCTTAATAGTGTTATTGTTAGGTTAATAAGTCTTATATCTCATGGGTGTGAGTAAAGATTGCAACAGAGGGGATGGGGGGTAATGCTTTAAAATAGGCAAATGTTTGTTCCTGACAAGCAGTATGGAGGAAGATTTAGAATCATAGAATCTTACAGCACAGAAGGAAGCAATTCTGCCCATTATGCCTGTGTCAGCTCTTTGAAAGAGCTACTAACTGGTCCCACTCACCCCTCTGCAATATTTTCCTTTTTAAATACCTATCCAATTCCCTTTTGAAAGCTTGTTATCAAATCCACCCTTTCAGGCAGTACATTCCAAACCATAACAACTCTCTGAGTAAAACAATTTCTCCTTATCTCCCCTCTTGGTGACATCATCTGAAGACATGGGGTCAACTTCCACATGTATGTGGATGACACCCAACTCTATCTCTCAACCTCCACCTTGACTCCAGGACCATTGTTGTCTTGAAAGACATAGCTGTCGGACTTTAAGTCCTGGATGAGAGCTAACTTTCTTCATTTGAACGTCAACAACTGATTGGCAAACTCCACCTTACTAAGCCAGTCTGGAACTTTGGCGTTTTGTTTGACTGACCGTCAACTATCCTTTCATCCAGAACTCTGCAAACAATGTCCTCTCGCGCACCAGGATCTGTGACCCTATCACCCCATCCTCACCCAATTTCATTGGCTTCCCATCACACAAAGGATACAATTCAAAATCCTGGTCCTCACCTTCAAAGCCCTCCATGGCTTTGCTCCCCCCTACCTCTGCGTCCTCCTAACCCAATACAACCTGCCCGCTCTCTCCGCTCAGCTGGCTCCATCCTGCTTCATGTCCTCTGCCTTGCCCACCCCATCGTTGGCGAGTGGGCCTGATGTGTGGAGGCGCTGATGGGAGCCAATCAGGAGGACCTCAAAGGGCTTAAAATCAACAAATCCCCTGGACAGTGGACTAATTTAAAAAGCAGCTTGATAGAGTGATGAGGGGTGGTTCTGGAGGCATGAGATCCAATGGGCCAAAGGGCCTTCCTAATCAAGACCAGTCTTGTGATTTTGTGAGCTCTGCATGCTGAGTTTACTCTTGTTACTTATGTGCACATTGATTTGCAGAGCGAGGCAACTTCCTAGCGCTGGATCTAGGAGGCACTAATTTCCGTGTCTTAATGGTGAACATTTCCAGTCCTGAAGAGGGAGGAATTGAGATGAAGAGTGAGATCTACAGCATTCCTCAGAACGTGATGCAAGGTGCTGGAGAGCAGGTATTGATCTAGTGTCCAGTTGAGAATTATTGCACTACAAATAAATATACAATGCTGGAAAGGAGGCAGAGAAGAGGAACAATACTGATAATGTTTAAAGTGGATGAGCTCAGAAATTTTTGTGAAAATAAGGAGACAACTATCTCATCCCCGCTCCACCATCAGCACCAGTACCTTCAGCCATTTTGCCTCAACCCTCTAAATCTGTCTGCCTCAATTCTTCCACCCTGCTCCCTCTTTGCCTACCTTCAGATTCCCCATGAAGAGGTTTTGTTCAGTCTTGGCTATGGTCACAGCACCTTCCCCTTTGGCTCAGCAACAAACTCTGCCAATGTCCACTGCTCTGAAAGGTAGATGGAAAATCACTCAGATCTTACTGCTTAACTGCCAGTTCACAATGGTCTCATTTTCAGCTCAGGCTTCTAACATCTTTATTTTCCAGCTTTTTGATCATATTGTGGATTGCATCATTGACTTTCTGCAGAAGTTGAACATGGAGGAAGGATCTCTGCCACTGGGATTCACGTTCTCTTTCCCCTGTAAACAGACCAGACTGGATGAGGTGAGGCTGCGCATGGATGTTACAAAGCCCAATTCGTTTCGCTCTCTTTCTCATTTTTCTGTAATTTGTTACCCCATGTTAGATGATAAACTTAGACTGACTTAACAATCATGAATGGACCAGACAGAGACAAAAGTCACTGTCGTAAGCATCCTCTGTTCATGGCCAAACAGTTCCTCTCAGTGCTGTTATTCACAAAACACAGTCACTCTACTCCCAATATACACTGTGAAGCATTTTGAGATGTCTCAATGGCGTGATAAGGCACTGGAATCCCCAAGCCTTGGCTCTTTTAAACATGCAATCTCAGGAGTTAGGTAAGCCCAAGTGCCTCTTGAGAGAGAGTGTGCATTCCATTCAAGATACAGGGTATTCTCAAAAAACAAAGATTGTGCTCAGTTTTCGAGTTATTATTCTCTACTCTGCAGGGCTATCTCATGCATTGGACCAAGGGATTCAGTGCGACAGACGTTGTAGGAAATAATGTGGTAGAACTGCTGCGAATGGCCATTTCTCGCAAACAGGTAAATAACTTAATTTGAAAAATTGAAGCAAACCTGCTTCACTGAGAGCTGAGCACCAACTGAGGCCAGAGCTCAGCACTCTGAGTAGAATTGGTGGTTCAAGTGAGATGCATCTAGTTTAGGCTAACACTCTAATGCAGTGTTGGAGTGTTGGAGCCCTACATTGCTGGAGGTGCTGTGCTTCAGATAAGTTGTTAAACCTCGGTCCTGTCTGCCTGATCAAATGAACGTTTTGCCCACAATATACAGTCAATTCACTTTACAGTATATTCTGTGAAACACTTCAAAACGCCTCAATTACGTGATAAGATGGTATGTTAAATGCAAGTATTATAATTAACTTGGCTGTTGCATTCACCTACAAAATCCACTTTGCAGTAAGTTCTGAGTGGAGATTTGATATATACGCCCGATGTGAAATGCAAAATATCAAATTAAAGGATTCTTATTTTTTATTATTAAGCAAATGAAAGAATTTTTATTTATTATTATCATAGAGGGTGACAGCCTATTTATTATTATTATCTAATGAAAGGATACTGTGTTATTATTATATTGGGTGTCAGCCTGGCGCAGTGGGTTGAAGCCTACATTGGGTCTTAGAATCTCATAGTCTAAGCTAACATTTCAATGCAGTGCTGGGGAAGTGTTGCATTGTTGGGTGCCATCCTTTGTATGAGATGATAAACCATGGTCCTGTCTGCCTGTTCACTCTCCAGCTACCGCTCCATCTCTAACTTCCCATTCCTCTCCAAGATCCTGGAACGAATCGTCGCGTCCTGGCTCCGCTCCTTTCTTTCTCACCGTTCCCTCTTTGAACCCCTCCAATCTGGCTTCCGTGCTGCCCACAGCACGGAAACAGCCCTGATCAAAGTCACTAATAACATTCTGAACATCTATGATCAGGGCTCCAACCTCAATTCCAGGACCACTGCAGTCCTGACAGACTGCCTGTTGGACATCAAGTCCTGAATGAGGGCAAATTTTCTTCAGTTGAATGTGAACAAGACTGAGGCCCTCCTGATTGGCTCAAGTCAGCGCCTCTGCACCTCAGGCTCTGGAAGTATCAACCTTCATGGTTGCACACTACAACTCACCAAGCCAGTCAGGAACCTAGGTGTCTTGTTCGACCCTCAACTGTCTTTTCTTCCCCACATCCAAGCCATGACTCATTCTGCCTTCCCTCACCTCCATAACATCGCTACCTCACTCATCAGGCCGCTGAAACTCTTATTCATGCCTTGATCACATCCAGGCTCGACTATGTAAACGCCCTGCTTGTTGACCTTCCAAACTCCTCCCTCCATAGGCTGCAGATAATCCAGAACTCTGCAGCCTGTGTCCTCTCCCACACCAAACTCCGTGACCCCATCTCCCCCATTCTCGCCCGACTCCATTGGCTCCCTATCCTTCAGAGGATACAGTTCAAAATCCTGTCCTCACCTACAAACCCTTCCATGGCCTCGCCCCACCCTACCTTTTGCGAACTCCTAAACCCCTACGAACCCGCCCACTCCCTCCACTCAGCCAGCTCTGGCCTGCTCCACGTCCCCCGACCCATTCTCCCCACCATTGGCGGGAGAGCCTTCAGCCACTCTGTCCCAGCCTCTGGAATTCCATCCCCCAATCACTCGGCTTCGCCCCCTCCTTACCCTCCTTCAAGTCCTGCCTCAAAACCCTCCTCTTCGACCATGCCATCGGTCACTCCCCCTTCCCCTCCCCTCCCTTCTCCCTCCCTGACCCCAGCTTGGGTCTGAAATGCTGTGCACTGTCCAGCGCCTTGGGATGTCCTTCCAACGTGAAAGGCGCTGTACAAATGCAATCTTCTTGTTGTTGATGTTAAAGATCCAATAGCACCATTCTAAAAGAGAAGAAAGTTTCTCCCAGTGTCCTCGCCAACAATCCCCCAAATAAAATTGTTCACTCACTCTGGCTGTTTGTGGGACATTGCTGTGCACAACTGGCTGCTGCTGCCCACAAAATAATACAGTCAATCCACTTTGTAGTATATCATTTGAAGCTCTTTGAGGGCTCTCAATGACGTGATATCAAATGCAAGATTATTATTATTATTTATTATTATGTTTTTCCAGACCTTTGGTTTGGACGTTATTGCCCTCGTTAATGACACAGTTGGAACGATGATGGCTTGTGCTTACGAAGACCCAAAGTGTGAAATTGGCCTGATTGTGGGTGAGTACTCCATTGAACAGGTCATTGATTGTGGAATTTCATTCTGTAGGCTTTTCAGAACTTGCCAGACAGTGCTATCAATGGCAAGCTGTTCGTTTTTAGTTGGTTAGACTCCAGTAATACCCCAATGCACACTCTGGGGTCACAAAGCTTTGGCTCCTACGAACCTGCACCTAATGCTATCCAAAATTAGATAAGCGGGATGTGTCCCTCCACGGAGAGAGTGTGCTTCCCATCCAATAATCTATCTCCAGAATTCCCATGGGTAGGTGACATGCGTATATATGTATGTCACCACACAGATCGATTTGAAGATCCTTACACTCAACTACAAATCACTTCATGTCCTGGCACCTTCCTACTTTTTCAACCTGCTAACACTCCAGTCCTCTTCCCACACCCATCAGCCAAAAATGTTGGACCACCCTTGCGTAGAGCATTGATTCTGGCAGTTCTCTCACAGTTCTCTCTGTGTCTGCAGGAACCGGCACCAATGCATGTTACATGGAGGAAATGAGGAACATTGAGTTGGTGTCTGGTGACGAAGGACAAATGTGCATCAATATGGAGTGGGGAGCATTTGGGGACAACGGTTGTCTGGAAGACTTGATCACATCATTTGACAAAAATGTGGATAGTCAGTCTCTGAATACAGGACTGCAGACGTAAGAACTTGTCATGGTTACGAACTACCAGATAAAATTTGTCCTGATCAATTGGGAACCGATACATTCTAATGCAAGGACTATTATTCTATAGATGTTTCTGGGGCAGCTCTGAAAAGATCACAAGATTCGTCTGGATAAAGAAGACCCGTTGGTCATTCACTCAAATGAGTCTGCCGTTTAAAAAGCACCTAACCTGGAAATTGTTCCAGTCGTTACTGTCTAAATATTTTCTGGTGTAACCGCACAGCGATCTATCTATGGCAAGCCTGAATCAGCCTGGCTGGTGTTTAAACTACATCTCACACTCTGGATGTGATACTGTAGTTCTAACCTTGTGTTGGTCTCCAGAAAACCAATAGGAAACTGCACTTTGGCAAAGTAGCTTGTTTGCGAGGCTGCTGTATCTTGACTGCTCTTTCCTCTCCACAGGTATGAAAAGATGATCAGTGGTATGTACTTGGGTGAAATTACCCGAAATATTCTCATCGAATTGACTGAAAAAAGAATCCTCTTCCGTGGCAAGGTCTCTGAACGTCTAAAAACACGAGACATCTTTACGACAACCTTCCTCACACAGATTGAAAGGTAATTGAACTCAGTCCCTTCACTGCACATTTAAGGGTAATTGTCCTGAAAATAATCAAATAGGAGTCTCCTTAAACACATAGCAGAATCCTGCAGATATTTTGTGTCCTGCAGTCTCTCGCTGGGCCCCATACGGTTTCTCTCAATTTCACCAACATTAGAATCATAGAAATTGGCAGCCAGAAGGAGGCCAACTGGCCCATCCAGTCTACACCCACTCTTAAAGCAAGCTGTATTATCAATCTGTTGTCCTGTCTTATCCCCATACCCCTTCAAGTCTCAAACTTCCATATACCTGTCTTTTGTTGGGTTTTATATTATGTTTCTACCTTGTCCTGGCTCTAATACCACAGTTTACTGGGTTTTACCTGTATGTTCCTCTTGAAACACAATAGAGTCAACCTCCATCAGGCTCGCCTCGCAAACGAGAGTTCTATGTTCAATTCTCAGGCAAGGCAAAAGTTGGGCGAGTTCCCTTACTCTACATGCCTCTTTACCTAGTAGTACGTAGGAACCCGGTTGTTAAACCTGATTAGAGTATTGTTTTTCCGGGGGTAATAATCCGTTCATAAAATAATAATAATAATCCTTGCATTTGATATAGCGCTTTTCACGTCGGGAGGACGTCCCAAAGCGCTTCACAGAACACACTGTAAAGAGAATTGACTGTATATTTGTGGGCGAACGTGGCAGTCAATTGCGCACAGCAATGTCCCACAAACAGTCGTAGATTTAAAATGACCAATTTATTATGGTTTTTGGCTTTGGAGGGATTATAGGCGTGTGGAGTAAGGAAAATGAAATGAATAACAATAATAATTTGGTCACTCACCGCGTAACTGTTTGTGGAACACTTGGCAGCTGCGTGTACAATTGGCAGCTGCATTTCACCCACAAAATATACAGTCAATTCACTTTACAGTATGTTTTGTGAAGCACTTTGAGATGTCTCGAAGATGTGGTAAGGCACTATATCAAATGCAAGTATTATTAATACTATTATTATTGTTAATACTTTCCGGAATTAGGTAAGCAGGATGTGTCCCTCCAGGGAGAGAGGGTGCATTCCATTCCAACAATCTATCTCTGATATTTCCATCTGTAGGTAGGATAAATGGAATGTTCATTTTGGATTTGGATACTTTTAATCAGGGTATCAGACACCTGGCTGACCAAAAAAAAAGAAGTGATTCTGCCAGGCTGCTTGATGTCTCCTCTTTGTATTATCAGTGATAGCCTCCAGCTGTTGGAAGTCCGTTCAATCCTTCAAGACCTGGGATTGGAAAGCACGTGTGACGACAGCATCATTGTGAAGGAGGTGTGTCAGACCATCTCTAAACGAGCAGCTAATCTCTGCGGAGTTGGCATTGCTGCTATCGTGGAGAAAATAAGAGAAAACCGAGGACTGGAAGAACTGACAGTCACTGTCGGGGTGGATGGCACTTTGTACAAGTTACACCCACAGTAAGCAGCTATAAGTTTAATTCCCACTTGGGATGTTGCTACCTTTAGTTATTTTCGGGGACTGAAACAAGGCTTGGATGAGTGCAAATTTCCTGCAGTTGAATGTCGGCAAGTCGGAATCCATACTCTTTGGCTTCCATCAACGTTTTCTCTCCTGCGGGTCTGAACTCCTCAAACTCTCCTGGCTCTCTTTCAGACTCTCCAAACCCTTGCGCAACTTAGGGGTCAGGTTTGATCCCCAGCTTTCCATTGTACCCCACATCTGTTCCCTGACCAGGAATGCTTTCTTCCACCTACATCACATTGCCCACCTCTGACCATACCTCACAACCAAAGCAGCCAAAGCCCTCGTCCACGTCTTCGTCAGTTCCCAATTGGATTATTCCAATACCCTCCTCGCCAGTCTACCAAACACAACATTCAATGAATCAAAACTCTGCCACACAGATACTCACTCACCCGTGCAAAATTACATACCCCCATCACACCAGTCCTCGCCAAGCTCCACTGGCTCTCAATTACTGAACGGATCAATTTCAAGATCCTCTCACTCGTTTTCAAATCCCTTTATGTCCTCGCATCTCCCTACCAATCTGCTTACATAGAAACAGGATTAGGTTATTTCAGCTCATCAAGCCTGATCCGCCATTTTATAAGACGGTGGCTGATCTGTACATCAATTCCAGTTAATTGCCCTTGCCCCATATCCCTTAATACCCCAACCTAACAAATGTGCATCCACAGCCTTTTGGGGAGAGAGTTCTGGATTTCCACTACCCTTTAGGTAAAAAACTTTCTCCTAATCTCACACCTAAATCGCCTAGCCCCTTTGTTCTGGATTCCCCTACCAGAGGAAATCATTTCTCTGTAGCTACAACAACAACAACAACTTGGATTTATATAGCGCCATCCACGCCGGAAGGCGTCTTGGAGTGCTTTACAGTAACGGATCCCGGGACCGAGCCAGGGGGAGTGGGAAGAAGGTGACCAAAGGCACTACCCTATTGAATCCCTTTATTACTTTAAAAATCTCAACCTCAACAACAACAGCTTGCATTTATGTAGCACCCTTCAAGCCGGGTAGTGTCCCAGAACGCTTGACAGTGGTGGAGTCTGACCCCGAGCCAGGGGTGGGGTAGGTGATCGTAAGCATGATGAAAAAGCAAGGTCTTCAGGTGGGCTTTAAAAGTGGGGAGGGAGGGGGAAAGGCGGAGGGATTGCGGAAGAGAGTTCCAGAGCTTTGAGGCGTAGTAACTGAAAGCATGGCATCCGATGGTGGAGCGAGGGACGAACAGAAGGCTGGAGCCCACCGAGCGGAGACAGCGGGTGGTGGAGTGGATCTTATGAACGAGTCGGAGAGCTAGGGAGGTGAGAGGGCATGAAGGAATCTGAAAACGGGAGAGGTTCTTGAAGTCGATCCGTTATAAACTACCCCCTCTCCTGACCTCCCAGCTCCACGTCCTTGCACCCCTGCTATAATGGATATTGTGAACATCTCCCTTTCCACTGATTCATTTCTTCAAAACTGCTGTCATTTACAAAAAATCCTCCCATGACCCTTCCATGTTCTGAAATTACCGTCCTATCTCTATGCCTTTACTTTGAAAGGTACTAGAATGAGTCATTGCTTTCCAGCTTTGCTCCTCCTCTTCCTAGCACTCCCTGCATGAATCCCTCCAATTCAGTTTCCACCCTGCCCCCAATACTGAAATTCTGGTCAAAGTAACCAATGACATTCTCTTCATCTGTGAACTCTGCCTCCGCCTTCTCCTTGATCTCTCTGCCGCTTAAGACACTGCCACCAATCCTTCTCCAATACCTCTGTTCTCAGCTCCACCTCTATGGTTTTGTCCTACCTTGTTTTCACTTTTACCTACTGATATGAAAGGTGTGAGATAAATGTAAATTGTGTGCTAGAACCACTAATTAGCCAGTTGGATTTCGCTGACTGGTTTCATATTTTTTTTAGCAATTCTTCCACTTTAACCCTAATCAAACCTTCCATCAAAGGTTCAGTTTGTTTTTCATATCCAGAGGCATTCTGGAGGCTTCTTTTGACCCCAAACTTCCTCCTCTAACACAGCAGCTAGGTTTACTGGAAAGAACCTGGGAGATCTAAGTCAAATCAAGCCTCGGAATTTTATGTTTGACATGCAGAAACCCCATTACCATGCTTAAGAGTATCCAAACAGATTGAGAATTCCACTTACATGAGAAAATTTTCCCTGTATCTGGCATGTAACACACACACTACACTCTCTTCCTGGAGGGACACATCTGCTTATCTAATTCCAGAGAATATTAGATGCAGGTTGACAAAAGCCAAATGTGTGTGTTCAGAGTAACTGCTTGAGTCTAACCTGTTAAAATTGCTTTCACTGTCTGGCTGGCTTCCAGACAGCGAACCTAGGACCACCCTACCCGCTAGACTTTGGCTTGCAGTGATAAAAAGAGAATTCCTGCCTCCCAGTGATTGGCCTGTCGCTCCAAGTCCTACCGATGAGCCAGGCTGGCTGTGCTGTCATTAGCAGTGCTCTGATGTACTGTGGACCTGTCTGGCTCCGGAACTGATCTCCTGACACCACCAAAGTGACTTGATTCTGACATTTTTTTGTCAAGCATGTCACCTTGGAGCTAGTGTTGAGTTTCAAACACCACATGTGAGAAAGGATATACAGTAAAACTTGCTGATCTGTAAAAATCATATAATTACCTAATTGGTACATCTACCCAAGTCCTCTTGAATCTATTAAAGCCACTTAAATTTATTTGCACTCGTCACCTTAACAATAGCACAGTGGAGTCCTGTAGCTCAGTGGTTAGAGCACTCGCTTTGCAAGTGAGAGACCTGAGTTCAATCCAGGCAGAGGGCGAAACCTTGGGCAAGTTTCCTTACTCCACACGCCTAATAATAATCCTCCAAAACCAAAAACAATAATAAATTGGTCATTTTCAATCTACGACTGTTTGTGGGACATTGCTGTGCGCAATTGGCTGCCGCGTTCGCCCACAAATATACAGTCAATTCACTTTACAGTGTGTTCTGTGAAGCGCTTTGGGACGTCCTCCCGACGTGAAAAGCGCTATATCAAATGCAAGGATTATTATTATTAACTCATAACGCCAATACCACACTTACCAGCTGCTGGGTAAGAAATTAGTTTTCCACGCCTACCTCATATTGAACCCGGTACTTGCAGACCAACAGTTTCCATGCCCACCCTCCCAGGAGCAAAACATCAATGTCATTTGACTCTTAAATGTGACTCAGATCTGGAAGTTGAGGTTTGTTCAATGTTGTGCTGCCATTTATCTCATTCTGCTTTTCGTCAGTTTTTCCAAGATTGTGGAGGATACAGTGAAGATGTTGGCCCCAAAGTGTGTGGTTAATCACCTGCAATCACATGATGGCTCAGGCAAGGGTGCGGCACTTATTGCGGCAGTGATGAAGCGAGAGAAAGATACACTCTGAATGTGGCACTACTTATGTTTGCACATGTGAATTCGTTGGAAAACCTGCAGAGTAAACACAACATTGAAGCCCATGCGAGTGTCCCAGGACTTACCTATATAATTTATTGGAAAAATGGGAGAAAGATTGTGTAAATATTGTTTGTGGTTCAAAACACCTGGTTTGTACTTCTTGCTGAAGCTGTTTAAATGTTCCAGAACCTAATTTCATAGTTTGTGCTTGTTCAATGTAGTGTTTGTCTGTAGGATATTAAAATCAATTGTTAGATATGTAATGTGTTTAAGAGCTATCACACAAATAATTCTTTAATAACATTTAAATTTTGCCAGAAAGTTCCATTGAAGCACCCAAGAAATTTCAGGAGCAATCCAGGATCAAAGCATAATTTGAGTGCCACAGACTGTAATTGGCGCCCCCACAGACACATTAATTGGAAAACCACCAGTATAAATTCAAGCCTATGTAAATTACCCAGAGTCACATGATGCAGAAATGCTGTACAATTGTCATTAGCGTCATGAGCACAGTCACAGACTACACAATAAAAGGAAAGCTGCTCCACTCCTCCCTCCAGCCTTGTATCACGAGTCTGACTCCACACCTAATTTCTGTTTTCATATCTGCATTATAATAACAAACGTTTGCTTTTAGACAATGCCCTTCACATAGGATAACATCTCTTTTGAGATAGCGATTTAGGAGGAAGGACTGTCGAACATTTACCTGATTTTACTCCAATCTTGTGTCATTCATCTGCCTCCAAGCTTAACTTTTGTGTTAATAGCAAAACTCTACGAACACGCAACAACAACAACTTGCATACATATAGTATCCTTCACATGGGCAAGGTGGGAGTGCAGAAGGAGATAAGTGACAAAACATGGGTGTGAAGGCAGACCAGTGTGCAAGGCAGATGTGAAGATAAACTCGTGACACAAATTCCCTACACCACTTGAATGAAAGAGAAGTCTTCAATTTGCAGCACGAGTTTTGTCTCCTCAGGTGTGTCACCTGTCTGTACACTCGCTTTGGGTTACCTGTCTGCCTTGTGTCATTGAGTCAGCATCTCCACACTAATGCCACTAATTACTTCTTCATACCAGCATTTTTGTGTCCCTCACCTTCACACCCATCTGTGTCCCTATTAACTGTCTCTGGAATGCAATTGAAGGAATTACACTTATCTCCAGTTTAGCCTTGTGCCACAAATATCTCTGCACCCACTTGAATTAATTCTTCTCTTTTCACAACCGTCTGAAGTCTCCACATACACCTTTTGCCCCCATTTCTCACTGCATACATGCAATATTGTCTGCTCCACATGAGCATTGTGCTTCCATCTCCATCCTATGCTACTACCCTCTGCTTCAATGGTCCCTGGCTCACTTTGTGTTAAAATGCCCACTCAATAATCCATATGTACAGTTGTGTCCAATCTATCTCCACACCTTGTGTTACTATAGACACCTTGTGCAGGTCTTCACACCTGCCTTGTGTCACTGGTTTGCCTTCGCACTCATGTTTTGTCTCTTTATTTCCTCCACTCCCATCTGGTGTCACTCGTGCCTGACACATTAATCTGTCTTGTAACACTGGTTTCTGTTTCCACACTTGCTTTATGTCTCTAGTTTTGACTCTCTTCCCTTCCTCCTGCCCCACTTTACTCACACACACACACACACACACACAGAGTAGCTGTGCCAGAAACACCCATTGTGACGGTGTGTGAGCGTGCTCACAATATTTAGAAATCTGTTGAAAGGTAGTTTGTTTGCTGTTAGTTGTGGTTCTTGGTTATAAGTTTTAATTTGCTATTGTTTTTGTGAATTAATGTTGAAAAATAAAGGTTCATTTACCACCAAACCCATGAAAAACATTTTAAACCAAATTTATTGCAACACTTTTACACTTCATTGACAACCGGTGAAACATTACAACTTTTGACATATCGGGGTGGGAAAATTGACGCCTTTTCACAAAAGGTGAAAAGAACAAGCCCAGGAACTGGTAATGTCTTCAGTTATTGGTCAACCATTTGTCTCTAAAATAGGGTGAAATCATTGAGCACTTACACGTACCCCCACCCTACCTCTGTAACCTCCACACATGATTTGTCTCATTGCTCCACATCAGCATTGTGCCTCCATCACCACACTCACCTTATGACACTAGTCTCTGCTTCACTCGTCCCTGGCTCTACACCCAAATCGTACCAAAATTCTCACCACTCTTATCATATTCTGAACTGCCAGTCAATGTCACGCAAGACACTGAACTTACAGTCACCATGTTTCACCAACTGAAAGTCACCATGTGTCACACCAACCACTCCCACATGGCCGTCACCCTATGTCACACCAAACACTGATCAGACAGTCACTGTCAAACCAACCATTCCCACCACCTCTCATCCACTTTCATGGGACCACACTAGCCTGGCTTGAGTCCTACATAACACACCTCTTTCACTTTGTCTCTTCAAACAGCTTCTCCTGCCTGCGCCCAGTCACCTGAGGTTCCACTGATTTCAGAAGGCTATCAATGGTGAAAACGCTTTGAAGAAGTTCCAGAATGCGGATGTGCTGTGCTTGTAAGCTGTTTTTTGGCTTCTCTAGCTTCAGTTTAAAATATCCTGTCTTGTTACTCTTCGCCATCACCAGCTGGAAGCCAGAAATAATCGATGAGCTTCCTGCCTTTCTTTGAAGCGAGAGTCTCTGTGTGTCCAACAGAGGCAACTTCACTGAAGTATGCCCGGGCTGTACAGTCAGGTGCCGCTATTTGATATACTACCCTGTGAAAAAGGAAATATCTTTTAACTTATGTCAGAATAATTCATGCATTTCATACAGAGCCTATAACATCAAGTGCTTCATGTGTAAGTTCTGTCAAGTGCAATGTCTTATTTGTTGGTGAATGGCAGCCAATTCGCACTCTACAAAGTGGCCACAGCTTTGAAACTTCATGACAAATTTTCTCTGGGGGATTGTTGTAGGAGCTGTTGAGACGCCGTCCGTCCGGCATAGAGGGCGCTATATAAATCTAAGTTGTTGTCGTTGTTGGCCAGAACACGACGATAACCTGACCAGTTTTTAACCACAGATTCTCATTATATGGACCCAAACACCACACCATGTTATAACTTGAAGGGAGTAGGAATGTCCTGACATTCTAACAGAAAACATCTCTACGTTGTCGCTGCGATACCTTAAAGAGCCATGGCCGTGTTCATCCGTTTCATCAACAGGCAAAGATACCTCCACTCGCTCTCCTCCCTGAAATGATTTACAGAGAGTTCACTCGCACTTGAAACCCCTTTCAGCCATTTCCCGGGTCTCTTGAAAACAAATTGTTATCTAGTCTTAAAGTCAAAGTCGTTCGCTTACCACAAAGCTATTTGGAGTCCCATCGTGCTTTTTTGCGATGCTTATCCGCTGGTCAATTTCACTCATGCACAAGAAATAGGTCTGGAATTTAACCTGGCACTGGGAGACAGAGACAGTGGTTACCGGGGGGCGAGTGTGGACGACAACAAAAGAGCCAAGAAAAGAAAAAACCCAAATTCCACCATTGAAGCAATTACAGGTTCAGTAATAATAATGACAATCCTTTCATTTGACATAGCGCCTTATCACATCTTCGAGATGTCTCAAAGCCCTTCACAGAATATACTATAAAGTGAATTGACTGTATATTTTGTGGGAGTACTACCTGTACTGCCAGAAAGATACAGAAAGAACTTACATTTTATAGAGCCTTGTCACTTTTCAAAGTACTTCACTAGTAATTACTCTCAAGTGCAGTGACTGTCCTTTCTGGGCAAAACTGGCAACTGTGCTGCCTGAGAACTTGCTATTGCCTATGCCTGGAGAGCATGGACTGACTAAAGCCATGGCATTGGAGATCCACGGTGTGAATCGCCGTCTTTGGGAGGAGATGGAGGAGAAGTCAATACTGTACTCACGGCTTTACTCTGTCTTTTGGACTTTTCTTCCTCCTGCCCCCTGAGGATGTCGCTGAGCGAGTCGTGCTTGCGACGCCACAGATCGCACTCGCTCTCCCTGACCTCCCTGTGGTGCTCGGCCAGCATCCTGCCCCGCTCGGACTCGCACTGTAGCTGGGCACACCTCTCCCACGCCTCTTCAGCCGCTGAGGCTCTATGCCTCGATGCAGCCTCCCTGCCGGGCAGAAGGGGAATCGCCAGCAGACAAACACACACACACACATTGCACACATTTGCCGCAAAGGTTTTACAGCATTGTAACAGGAATATTATTATTATTTAATAATCATTGCATTTCTTAGTGCGCCTTTCATGTGGGGAGGATGTATCGAAGCATTCTACCAGAGTTACAGTCGTGCAATGACCTATATTTTGTTAGGGAAATGCAATAATTCGCCTATAAAATACAGGTCATTACATCCATTCAAATAACCCAATATTAATGATAATCGTTACATTTGATAAGGCTCCCTATTACATTGCAATGCCTCAAAGTGCTTCATGGTTATTTGTTATTTGCTATTGTGTATTTGTAGGCAAATTTGTTCTGCAAACAGCCCATAAAGGGAATGACCAAGATTTCTGGGGCACTGTAAGTCAGGACACTGGGGGAAAAAATTCTCTTCTCTTTCCAGAGAGTGTCATGTTCACCTATAACAGGACAGAATCTCAGTTTAACATCTCATTCAAAGGATGATTTCTATGGAAATTGGAGTTCTGGAATGTCAGAGCCTGGACTATGAGCTAACTACATTCTGACTCGGAGGTAAGAGCGCCACCATTTGCTCCTTGCGCTGGGGTCAGTTGGTGCTGTACCTGAGTGAGCTAAAGATCAGGGATTGTTCAGTGAACATAGATGCATACAATCTCTCTTTAGTGACATGAATGTGCAATCACCAGGCAATCCACATACTTGTCATTGAGTTTGGAAACCTTTTCCTTCAGTTCCTTCACGATAACCTTCTGCTCATTCTTCTCGTGCTCCAGATCCCTATTTTCATCCGAGATCAATTGTTTTTCCGTGATAATCCGATCCAGGTTCAATTTGCTTTCAAAGTAATTCTTCTGCACTAGGGTCAGCTGGTGCTGTACCTCAGTGAGCTAAAGATCAGTAAACATAGTTTCTGAGTACCATAGAGTTCAATTAGCCTCCATGTATGCTATTTTCTAACGTATGTTCGGGTCTACAATGCATGTTGGGATAATAGCCCATGGTTACTTCAATTATGCAATTAACCCATAAAAGGATAAGATACAATGCCATTTAAAAAATGTTTGCATTTGATATAGCACCTATAATAATAATTTTTGCATTTGATACAGTGTCTCCCTGTTGTTGTTTACCTTGTCCTTCAGTTGCACGATCTCCTCCTGCAGTCTGATGTTAAGAGCCCTCAGGTTATCTCTCTCCTCGTTGATCTGCTTTGTCTGCGACTCGGCTTGTGTCCGGGCACGGTCAGCCTCCTCCCGGGCAGTGCCAGCCTCCTCTGCCAGCCTGTTGGCAGTCACCAACTTTTCTTGGGCAGCAAAGTTTTTCTGTTTTAACTACATGAAGTTGCGGGTGGAGGTGAGAGGGAAGAGGTTAATGGACAAATAATAATAATAATCCTTGCATTTGCTACAGAGCCTTATCACATCGTTGAGATGTCTCAAAGCGCTTCAGAGAATATACTGTAAAATGAATTGACAGCATTATGTGGGCAAAACGTGGTCAGCCAATTGCGCACAGCAGTGTCCCACAAACGATTGTGGATTAAGTGACCAAATTCTTCTTTTTTTTGAGGGGATTATTACCCCCAGAAAGTGATCTGCCAATTGACGAACAGCCGAATTACTACTTACCTTCTGCGTGTGGAGTTAGGAAACTTGCCTAAGGTTTTGCCTTGTATGGGAATTAAACCCAGGTCTTCTCGCTTGCAAGGTGAGTGCTCTAACCACTACGTTACAGTTCACGGTCAGTATTGGGAAGAAAGCCTTTTTTCCTCTACGTTCTTCCAAAGCAATGATTTGTGTATAATTAACACGGGTTAAATCTGATTTTGTAAATGAAGCAGGCTCCCTAGGGAGACGGTGGAAGCAGAAAGTGTTGATTCTTTCAAGGACAAATGAGATAGATTTCTGTTAGAAAACAATATCTCAGGATACAGTATGTAGTTTGGGACATGACATGCACATACAACTGCCAGGATGATGGAAGGCAAACTGAATGGATCACCTAGCAAATTCCTTTATTTTTATGTAAATCAGCTGTGCAGGAGTTGGCGTACAGATTCATACACAGACTCCCTAGGGTTCCCTCACTACCACCACCAGACTGCCAGTGCCCAATCTCAGCCGTTCCGTTGGGGCAACTGTGTAAAGCGAAGATTAGACTTGTTTCCAGAAGGGAGGTAGAGGATTGGAAGGTCTTCGTGCCCCACCTAGTGGCCAGGGTCAAAAACTACACTGGCACAGGCCTGATCTTGATTGTCTGCGGATGGTGGAAGGCAATAAAAAATAAGTGGCTGGGGTTGGGCGGAACTGAAGCCAGACAGAAGGGAGAAGGGCAACTTTATGCATGAACTGTAGAGAAATATGATAGTTTACTGCTTCAAGCTTGAACAAAGTGTAAATCACCGGCGAGGTGGACTTTATTTGAGTGTTGAGTGATTTTTCCAATATTAAATCTAAAGTTCTTGATGATTAAAGAAACCTTATTGGACTTTCAAGGCAGCAAACCAAGTGTACGTCTCTTTTCCGAGTGATTTTATGAGGAAGAAATGGCCATTATCAGTGATTGAAAGGGGAGTAGCTGATCTATGGAACCCATTTGCGCTCTGAAAGGGGAAATGAGGAACTCTTGATGCCAACTAGTTTCTTTG